CCCTCCCCGCCTTTTCCTTCCTTCTCCCGTCCAGCAAAGCAGCAGCAGCAGCATTCGGAGCCGAGTGCCGAGCGTTGAACCCAACGGTGTCCCGCATTCCTCCGGTGTGTCCAGGGGATATGAAAGAAGCACCGTTGGGTTCGTTGCTCCTGCCCTCCTGGTGCCCCAGTTCCGCGGCTGCGATGTGTGAAGGATGCCCTGTGGGCGAAGTTCCTTGCCCTCGTCGTCGTCGCGGATGTGCTATGACTATGAGCTGCTGCGGGGCTCGGCTGAGGGTGGAGTGGGGGACGATGGACGAGAGACGCGCCCTTCTTGTGATGAAAAAATGATACTGCAGTACTGTACTGATGCATTTACAGTTGAACCTCTCCAAGTCCAATTTCAAAGGGACCAGCAAACACATTTGACTTGGGGAGGTCAAAATTGTTTAAAGATATATATCTGTTATATAGACCCAAGTGGGGAGCTATTTTTGCTGTGACCCCACAGTAGGTGCACACCAAGGTCCCAACTGCTGGTGCATATGGGATATTCTAGGGTTACAAGTGTGCACTCTTATGCTGAGGAAATTTTGCTACCATTCCAGGGCTAAACTTGGTGCACAAATGTGACTTAACAGGAGTATCACACAAATGCACCAACTGTAACCTTGGTGTAACTTATTTGTTTACAAATGTGACCCTCAGTAATCCTGGTGTGAACACACAATTGGTACACATTAGGGATATGCATGTGCAACATATGAACTTCGGTACACTTCAGGTGCACAGCAGGGTCACTGTGTAGAATTACAAACATATCCCCAGTGTGCACCAATTTCCCCACTTGGGATATATATTGTTATATAGATATATATATATATATATCTGAGTTATATATAATCATGTATAGATGTTTGTCTTCTATAGAAGCAAGCATTTTTATTGTGGCAACATAAAAACATTGCACTAAATTGTACATTTTGATATTCTGGACCATAAGTTGCTTCCAAAATGAATTGACAGGGCAGACAGGGGTTCATTATTTGCCCAATTCAGTCATTCACATCCTTTCAAATACCACATCAAATAACAGGTTTTATTGCTTTTTTCTTTCCTGTTTCAATAAAATAATAGCGTAAAGGCCTCAGAAATTTGACTTATGGAGGTTTTAGAGGAAAATACTAGAATAATGACCAAAAATTTTAGTTATGGAGGATCAAAGCCTTTGATTTAGCTGGAGGTATTCAATACATTGTTTCTATATACAGCAAGTCCAAAACATTAAAAATTGCTAGGTATTCGACATACGGAGGTTCAAGTTGTCCATGTTAAAAAGTAATATTAACAGCAGTTAATGCTGGGTTTTTCAAAAGAATGTATGAACATCCGAACAAGTAGACAATTTATGTTTCGGAGACTTTGAAACTAAAAAAAACTCTTCCGCAACATCTCAACACAATGAGAGTAGTATGCTGGTAATGTATATACACCATATACGAACACTACCAAAATTTGAAAAATAACATAGAAAATCTTGATATTTCCTGAAAAAAATATAACAATGCTATGACATGATTTTATTGAATTTCCGGGGGAATTTTTTATTTGCTTCCAAACATACTGTACACGAAAAGGGATTAAAATGTTCAATATTGACGTAAATAACGAACATGTGAACCGCCAATAACACATGGACATAGTCGGAGAGGTAATTAATGTGCCAAATGTATCTTCGGGCCACACTGTACTGCACACTAATTTAAGAGAGAAACTGCGAACCGAAAATACATTGGAAGCTTCATAAACTTCGGAGCAAAGCCGCCGGACATTCCTGTAGATTAAGTTGAGTAATCAGCAAGGCAATAAAAAATGGAATAAGGTCTTGGGTTCATGGAGCTCAGAAAAAAAACCAAGATTGAATTAAACGGGTTAAATACAGTCTGTTCACAGCATAGATCGTTTTATTTATTTGTTTTCCAAAACCCAAGACCTGGGTGATCCCTGTAACCCACATCACGAGAGACTGAAAAACGAAACAGGGCGGAAGGCTTTCAAGACGTTCCCGCTGGACTGCCGAAGAAACTTCAACAGCAGTCGATATTCCTTTTCAATTATCTTCCTTTCAACTATCAAGCATCAACACAGATGGTGATTGAAAATTTAAGTGCAGAAAAAGACATGAAAAATAATATTAATAGTTCCTGACGTTTTAGGGCGTGAAACCGGGTGAATTACATCCCGCAGATATACTTGGAGAAAAATCTGTAGCAAATTTTTATCTTTGGCCAAGAATTAAATATTAAAAATACCTTCCCCTGCACAGAATAAAATTATATGAGCAGCGAAATCTTCAGTCATTAGGTTTTGAATTTGTCGAGAATAATTAAGAATACAATTAGATTAAAAACAAGCAATAATACATGTTCGCCCAATTTTTAAAAATTCCCATTCCCAAAACCTGGATAATTTATTAAACCCGCCAAAAGATATGCATTTCCGGAGCTAACCTGTGGTTGCATAATTGGATTAAATTTGGATGCCCACTGATGAGCAATTATTGGCCACAGATTTAACTATATGACACGCATTAAAAATTCAAATAGTTCATTTTTAATACTTCCCCTACGCTACGATTAAAAAACCTTCATTTGGTATTGGAGAAATTCAAATAACATCCTTTCCGAATCATGAGAACCTCAGTATTTTAGCAACTTGCTAAAGTAAAATGGCAAGTTTACAGCAAGTTATCAGTGAAAAATTGCTGAAATTTTGAGCTCTCAATTACTTTCAGCAATTCACAAACTTTCAGGACTAGTAAAGGCTAAACTGAACTTTTCGTTACTCTCACATTTCCCCCTTGATTAGGAAAAAAGCCCGGAGTTTCACCAGAAAATATGCTGTAAAATTTAGACATTAATGACCTTGAAATTGTGTGATGTGAAAGAATTGCATTACTCTCATAATTTCATTTACTCTCTTAAATCAATCTCTTTCCAATAGCTCGACCATTATTTGATCTTTGTCATATGGGTATTTTTTGAATCACTGCCCTTCAATTAAAATTTTTTCTAGCCGGTCGCTTGAAACATTCAAGATATTTCGCCCATTGATTTTTTTTTACCCACCTGGTAGATGAACAGTGATTCAAGCCCTCATATTTCGCAATCTCGGACTCACATCGGCGTTTAAAACTTTAACCACTGCATGATGGACATCATCCTACAGTTACACCATGAAAATGACAAAAAAGAGGCCAAGTACCGGAAGGAAAACGTTGTCCGAGAGGAATTTCAAACACACCGAACCCCCAGGCCCAGAACGTCTTCCCAGCGTTATCGCCTTGACGGCGTCGGTCAACGAACCTCTTCGGAAATCTTCCCGCATTAATCAGACAATTTCTGTATATATATACAGAGAGAGAGAAAAATAAATAAAACATAATCGTCGCCCCGGGAAAGAAAAGGGAGAAGCCAAAAACGGCTTCACATACACTGCTTCCATTCGAGCATGAAGGAAAATGAACCCGAGAGCTTCCCTCTCAGCACCTGGCTGCCTGTCACCGCAAGGAACCGCGGTGATGCATCAAAAATCATTCTCACAAAATGCACTTTAAAAAAAGGGATAAACGCATGTCGACGTGGCAGAGCACAGTTGAACTTGTGCGTTAATTGTCCCGAACACAGCAGCAGCGCATCGTCGTCTCAGAAGTGGCAACAGCTGTTTCCACCCTTGGAGTAGCACAATAGTGCAAGTGAAACACGTACATACGTCCGTTAATGGAAGCAAAATGGCATAAAAAATATATCAGTGAACCTCCATGATCCAGGCTAATGATGACTGGATGCTTCCTCCTGGATAATGGAAACTCGACGAAGACGAAAAACGTGATTCTATAGACCTATACGATCACCTCTGACCTAATTACAAACGACCTGCTCTAACACAACAATACACGGAGGGGAGGTGATCATTCAAAGAGAATATTGCTGATCATGAGCCATCTTACTCCGAGATACCTGGAGGAGTTACATTGACAAGAGGGTAAATGTGGACCAGAAAACAGTTCGATAGACAAAACAATTTGGGTGGTCCATTCAAGTAACTTGCACTTAATGCATTTATCACACAAGTACCACACACAATTTTTTCTCAAAACTGATAGGAAATAAGGGAGTACGCGTCATAACAATTTGCAACAGGAACTGAAAAAATTAAAACAATTGAATTTGGGTTGAGTTCATGTCCAAATTTTGGNGGTCCATTCAAGTAACTTGCACTTAATGCATTTATCACACAAGTACCACACACAATTTTTTCTCAAAACTGATAGGAAATAAGGGAGTACGCGTCATAACAATTTGCAACAGGAACTGAAAAAATTAAAACAATTGAATTTGGGTTGAGTTCATGTCCAAATTTTGGCATCAGTTATTCTTGAAATATTGTAGTTTTCAGTCAATAAAAATGAAAAATGGGGTGTATGTACCCAGGACAGTCCAGTATTTAATAAAAAATTTAGTATGGAAAATGTGGGTGTGTGCCTTACTTGAGGACGCATGGTACTTGAGTATATATACAGTACAGTACTGAGCAATATTGTACAGGCGGTACCTTGCAATTCAACCTTAATCAGCTGCCAAACTTGGGTCAAATTGCAAGACACTCCATAAAATTCAAAATTATAAGTACAATAATGGAAAAAAGTGGTCAAAGCAGGTCAAATTGCAGGGCAACGGTCGAATTGCAAGTCAACCTCCTTGAAAATTCAACCAAGGTACCACCTGTACTGAGATTTGTGCATTCATAATTCTGAGACACAAAAAATCAGACCTTCAAGTGATGACTAAAGCCAAAAATAAAAAAATATTTGAATTTTTCCGAACCTAAACATGTCCTCTTGATAATTTGCCCAATAAAGAATTGGTAACGCCCACAAGATTGAATTAGGATGCTGGATGCCTGAGGAAAAGACAAAACAAATATTGTACTAATTTTGGTAATTTATTTCAGATAATAAGACCCAACAAATTAACTACACATCGTTGTTCAACACTGACAAACTGTACTATTCCGCACAAACGCTGTTCTACACGGAAATCGTGGTCTTGGAAATGCTTCAGCTCAAGTCCAGTTCTATTATGCTTTTAATTGTTTTCGGTACACGCTGCATTGGGACGCACCGAACTCCGGTCACGAAAAACGGGACGAACAAAATCAAAGCTTCATTGTCTCACACGACGCTTTTATTACGCTTAAGAAAAAAGAATCCCGTCCACCGTTAAAGGCATGCTGCTCACTCCCCTCAGGCGTATGCTAATCAGGCAGAGCACCCGGACATCACAGCGTTTTTGGTTTCTTCCTTTTTTATACAGTAATACGGAATCCTCCATCACACTTCCGACTATTGACCCTGGTCCGCGGGTTCACAAACCCGCCGGGGTTCACGAATTTCAAACGTGGAATAGTTTCGTCACACCTTGACGCTAACCATGTTCAGGCGAGTAACACGCAAGCATATGCTAACTATCCTCGAAAAAAGTAAAATAAAATAAAAATGCAAGAAAGAAGGACTCACACACAAAGAAAAGACGCAACATACACATTGAAAAAAAATAGAAGAAGCGGAATGGGGTTCCACCATAAAATGCAACTTTTCCATATTCTTTCGTTCTTTCATTGAAGCTTGGTGATCTGTGCGTTCAAAGGAAACGATGAGAGAGTAAGCCATAAATGCATTACAGCATTCTAAAAGAGGTTGCGGATGGAAGGAAGAAACGATAGGTAGGATTATGGCAAAAATGAATAATTCCAAAATTACTGCGGTAAAACGGCACTTTCGGACAAGACGACTCATCTCGGCCTCAACTCTCGAAATACCATACGTCATTTCAAAGAAATGAGTTGAAGGATAAATTTAAGGATTGCTTCGGCTACTCGTCGAGGATCAAATAACTGACAACATTCGTCAAACAAGTTGGCTGCCAATCACGTGGAAATTTGTTGAATAAATAATTAAATCGGGTTTCTCAAAATGGAAAAAAATTGTACGGCAAGTATCACTTCATGTACTGCAGTGCTAAAATTAAAAATTTTAAACTCCCCATGTTTATCCAGTTGTCCAGCTCTTTTTACATCCACGTGGCCTTGGAATTGATACCGTTACGAATTTTTCTAAACCAGCTCGGGTCAAAAAATGCCTAGAACTTTTTAATTGCGATTATTTCGTCCGTATATTTTTTCGTTTTTTCATTGAAGCTTGGTGTTCTGTGAGTAAAAAAAAAAAAAAAAACGATGAGAGAGTAAGCCATGAATGCAATACAGCATTTGAAAAGAGGTTGCGGATGGAAGGAAGAAACGATAGGTAGGATTATGGCTAGAATAATCATACGTCACACAGAAGGACGGACGCAAAAATGCCAACACACAGCTTTTCCAACATCTGATCGGAGCAAGAGTATAATTTGGTCCAAATTTTGCAAAATAATTGCGAGGAAACATCGAACGATATTTCCCAGCTTTCACGAGAGAACGTATTTATTCAAAAGATTTTCTGTAAAATTGGATCTCAACAGAAAATGATGGGGATGCGTGGATGAGAAAATAGTTTTCAATCGAACTTCAGCGTCAAATACCCATATTGCACTTATGAGCAAATATGAATAATCCCGAACTTACAGCGGTGAAATGCCACTTTCGGAGAAGACAACTCATCTCGGCCTTAAAGCCTCAACTCTCGAAATACCATAAGTCATTTCAAAGAAATGAGTTGAAGGATAAATTTAAGGATTGCTTTGATTACTCGTCGAGGATCAAATAGCTGACATCATTCGTCAAACAAGTTGGCTGCCAATCACGTGAAAATATGTTGAATAAATAATTAAATCGGGTTTCTCAAAATGGAAAAAATTGTACGGCAAGTATCACTTCATGTACTGCAGTACTAAAATTAAAAATTTTAAACTCCATATGTTTATCCAGTTGTCCAGCTCTTTTTACATCCACGTGGCCTTGGAATTGATACCGTTACGAATTTTTCTAAACCAGCTCGGGTCAAAAAATGCCTAGAACTTTTTAATTGCGATTATTTCGTCCGACTCACAGAGAATTCCTCCACAGCTCACTATATAAATCATCCTTGAAAAAATACCCACATTCCGAAAATTAGCTGCGGGATTCCTCGTCGAACAAAAATCCACGGAATTCGCAAACTTTTGAGAACCTCGTTCGTCACGGAACCGCTAAATCACGTCGTTGTCCCTCAGAGATCCTTTGCAATACGCCTCATAAATGTACATGTCTCTGACAGTCGGCTTTTGTGGCCCTTCCAAACCAGTGGCGATGTACTTTTCGTAGACGGATCTGGACTTTTCAGAGACTGACACGGGCTTCCAGTCTGTGGAGTCACGTGTGAACTTCGACTTGACAAGAAACAGGTCGTCGAAGTTATCGATAACAATGCCCGCATTTGAAGCTTTTTCCATCGGTTTCGAGAGGGCTGCCACAGCTGCGAACCTGCAGAGATTCGATAAGGACAAATTGTCAGAATCTACCACGATCAGCGGACCAATTTCCAAGAAACGTCACTCAATTACTCAAGCAGTTCTCATTGATTCAAAAATATCATGATTAATATTCAACGCACCACCGCTCGCGGCGACGGAATTTGTTCGGAAATATATCCCTCTATTCGTGATTACTCTGCGAATATCATCAGTGTCAATCAAGAGTGAAATATTTCCTCGAGATTTACGCAGCGGAACCTCACGCCCGGGAAGAATCTAATTTGTGGTTCACATGCCAATTTTATGCACCATTTGACGGAGACTAATTGGATGGATAGAGATGGACGCAATTTTCAAAGGGTATTAATCTGTCACCGACTCAAAATTGTTTGAACGATTTTCGCTCAACATGCAGATAAGACAAATGACTCAAACCCGACATTGAGGTAATGAGGTTCGCATGCCGGTTAACCACAGCAAAATCAAATATTAGGCAGTCTGTATAAGTGTTGACAATTACTTCCCAAATATTTTATTTGGAAAGATATCCTTCGTGACGGATTTGAAGAACATGGAACGATGAAACAATGGTTTCGATCCCAGCAATACAGTAAAATCTCGTCACAACGAAGCTGTCGGGACCAAGTAAAAGGCTTCGTTAAAAATCGATCTGAATCATATCGTTAATATTGGGGCAGGGGCCTGAAAATTAATTCGTTGCGTCCAATTATTCGGTTTAATCAGATTCGTTGTAACAAGCGTGCTCGTAAAGATTCGTGTACGTGAAGCTGAATGCGAATGCCGCTCTAGAATGTCAATCTGCAAACTAGAAATTTCCAAAAATAGGGCTTCACTCGAAGCAAATATTTCGCCAAGGACAGGCGCTCGTTTCAAGTCCTTTTATTCCATTGTATATCTATGGTTTGGAACATCGCAAGTAACTCAAAAATTAAATATCTATGCCTCAAAAATTTACTTTGCACCGACTGAAAACGCCTTTCGATCATCAGTAAAGCACAAAGTGAACAAAAAACTGACAAATTTAGAAAATAAAATGTCTACCTAACTGCTCAACGGTCTCACTGAAAACATGAAGTCAACCAACATTTAAATGGTTTTCTTCTCAAATTAATCCAAAGCTCCGTAGTGCAAATAAACAAAAAATTATCAAGTTATTTTTATTGTTAAAAAATTTAATTATTACATATTAATAATCAATTAATCACTTTTTATCTTCTGTTTCTTCCTTTTTATCTTTTGTTTCTTCCTTTTTTATTAGCGTACCAAAGCAAATAAACCCATATAAACTTACACTGTTAAAATGCCCCCAATAAGCACCACCCTCATCAATCGTCAATTCATTTTGAAAAATCAATCTTCTCTAATGAAAGAAGCTTCGGAAACCCCAATAAAACCGCATCCGCCAAGATTGGCGAGAACAAAAACATGCTCCAGTCAATTACATTTCGTCTTCGACAGCCCGCCAATAATATTCAAGTTACAAGTTTTTGCAAGATGTCTTTAGGTAAAAAATCACCAAGACGAAGATGGCATTGGGTAATTTACTTCTTCGGAGAATTAGCTCGACATAATTTAAGCATTCCGGGGCTATTTTGATGGTTTTCTACAAGAGTAACACTCATTTCCTATTATACCTAAATTTAAAATTATTTCAACTTTTTTGATGAATCACAAACCCCATCGAAACGCCAAGCCAGTTAAACCTGACAAACAAATGGTGGCGGTCTATCGAAGTTTGACTGGGAATTCGTAATTCAACAAAGAAGAAACAGTACTCACATTGCCTCAATTTACCGTTTCTTTACATGACCAAAATTTCATAAAATATTAATGTTAGCAGGCGAAGGATTGTTTTAGAAATTATTTCACCAAAAGATTTTATTGGTTCAATAGGAATTTCAATTAAGAAACATGGGTCCCATCTTTTCAATGCAAAATCAGAAAAGAAAAAAAGTCAACTGAAAATAAAGAGAGTATCTCATTTCGAATGACGTGTTTAAAAAATCATTTGTTACAGTGCAACCCGCAACGATCGGCGGGCATCGTACTCACTTTTCGTACAGCTGGGCATCACTGCGTTTCAGGTCCTTCACCAGGTTCCCATACACGGCTTTCCCGTCTGGGCAAAACGACGACAGCGTGACGCGTTCCTTGGCGGGCTCTGTGTAACTCACGATGCGACATTCCTCGTCCGAGGAACCCATTCCATCTTCGCTGCTGGCTTCGGAGTCGGAGCTCGAACTGTTGCTGGAAGGGGTCAAGGATAAGGAACTTTGTCCGGTCACCGAGGGATTCCGAACTGCGCCTGGATTGGCTTCCGCTCGTTTCCCCGGACGCACGCGGACGGAGAACGGACTGAAATCTGTCGTGAAATTCGGCATGAAGTCCCTGGAAAATTAGGGAAAAAAAGAATTCACTGCGGTGATTTGATTACCTGGCTTGATCCATTCAAAACAGCGAGTCTGCTAACAGGGCTACTTATGATAAGACAAATCCATCTCTACTGACGGAATAATTTAAAGCTAGGAATGGCTTCTCCGTTCAGCATCACGAATACAAGTTTTTTAGTGCTGAACGTTGTTTGAATTGTTCCCGGATGGTTTGCCGGCACTGTAATGCTTGCAAACTTTAAAAAATTCATCGAATCATCATACGACATTTATAATAATGCCTCCGAAGATAGGAAACTCGAGCAACTACAAATATTCCAATATACAGATCAATTTCGAGATCATATAGTCAATTTTGAATGATCTTCTTTAAAAAAATCCGTATAATGAAAAATGTGTCGCGACGAGTCTTCAATGTCGTTTGTTTTCCGAAAAAGTGAAGTACAGTAATATTTAAAAGGTAGTTAACAATTAAATTCAAATGTAAGCGACGTTCAAAAAGGTCTTGTGCTGAGGACTTCGTAATCCATTGGATGAATTTGCTTTTCCTCATTCGGCACAAGGACGAATTATTTTAGCGTGGGCGGATTCTTTTAGGATTGATTGGGTTAATGGTATAGTGGCAGGAAAAAGGCACATCCCATTGAGAAAAATTGAAGGCTCCTCTATTGGTCTTTTTAATTCACACAATAATCCTAAGTTAGTAATCAATGTAAAATGTTGAAATTAATTTCGGACATGAAGACTTAGATTTCAATAAAGCAGAGAATCGGTGTAATGCACTAGATATCACGCAAAGCTGGTGGAACAAACCCATTCCTTTTTTATTTTTTTTTATTCAGCTGATTTTTCTTTTTCAGAAGAAAATCAGCGACAGGCATGTGATACCTTCTTGTGTGACAAAGTGAATTTTGCACAAGACTCGCATCACATGAAAGTGGAGCATTTGAAATTCAGAAAACACAAAAGAAATGCTACAACAAAAAAACATATACATTTATACAGTAAAGTAGGCATAGTGCAGCGAACCTGGATGAATGGCTCATGGTCCAAGTGAAGAGGTCAGACAAAACCGCGAGTTCGTTTGGACGGTAGAAATCAGAATATCCATCCACATCATCGCTGAGTAAGGAGTCCGGCAGGTCAACAACACAGCACAGCTTCTGTTCCTCAGCCGCGGCGAGCGGCGAACATTCCATCACGTCGTTATCCCACCACTGGGAGCAACTGAAAAATTCGAAAACTGTACTGCACTACTCTGACTTTTCCCGATAGGCGAGAAAAAGCGTTTGGCATAGTTGTACAGTAGCATACGGCTGACTCTTAAGATGTGGCCAAACAAAATCTAGTACAGTACCTATATATACCGTAACACGGATGTTCTAAATTGTTCTCAAGTACTATACCAATTAAGTAAAGCTCTCAGGGCTTCACTTGAAGTTCCTATATAGGTGCCCCACGACAATCTTGGATGAATTTCAAAAGGAAAAAAATTGAAGCAGAATCGATCAAAATTTTTCGCAGGGCGATGTACTGTATTACGACTTCACGGAAAAAATAGCACGCATAAATGAATAATACAGTAGTTAACTCAACATAAAGGTAGAAGAAAACAATGTCATCAAGAAGTTTTCCGCTACAAATTTTCATTCCAGAAGAGCTCGGCGAGTTTGAATCCCCCTGAATTCAAAAGCACTCCTAAATCGTGATTCATGAGCACTTCTTGATAGCAGAATGCTGCATATTACAGTCAAATGTGGCAGTCTCCTGAGCAATATTGTACAGAGAATGTACAATTCTTCAACTTGAAAATTCCAAAAAGTTCAGAATACATATTCCGAAGTTTTTCCCGCAAAACTTATTGAGCCTTGAAAACAGCATACACTCCATCAATATCAACGTTATCTCCCGGGAACCAAAGAAGGAGAAACGAAATGAAAATCTAACGGGACGCTTTCGATAGGAAGTACTGTAAATGAAGTTTCAGGCAAATGTACCCTTGCCTTCAAGTTCAGTATTTTGGCAACTCATTTATCCAGCATTTCAAGTCCCAGAATACAGTGCCATCAATTCTAAATTCCCGTAATTCTTCTTGCAATGTATCCCCCGTCAAAAACGCTAGTTTTCCTAACTCACAACTTTTGAAGTGGAATTTTTTGTAGGGCCTCTGAGTTTGACTTATAATGAGGTTCGCCGGCAGCTCATAGCAATTTGTTTGACCACTCCACGCTGGTTAACACGAAGAAATATCATACGCATTATTTTTAAAACAGAAAAAAATAGTGCATTGAAATACCAAGAGAAATACGGAATACCTGTATCAGTACACGTAAATGCAGTGACAAGACATGAAAGCTTTGTAACGTTCGGCCATATACTACATCAGCACCAAAATATACTGTAAATGCAAACGCGGAATGTCTTATCACGCACCTTTTACCGGAAGCTGACAGCAAGTCATTATGCAAGTGCACATCTGAGCTCATGTCCCAAATCGCCGGCTTGCCTTTTGAAGGCCGAAAAACACCCAGCAGCAAGTTGATGGAATTCTGCTTGTCGTTGTCGGAAAATGTGTTCGAATAGTATCTGGATAAGGTTTGCATAATATCCGAGCCTTGGGCTGTCCACGGAGCGGTTCTGCGATACGTTTGAATGCGGTGAACCAGTTGGGACCCGCCGTACTGTAAGGCCAAGACATCTCCGTGGTCCTCGTACAACATTTCAAGCATGCGGACGCAGTCCGAGTCGAATTCCAGCTCCGGACGCTGAGTCACGCCCAAGGCATAAAACTGTAATAATCAACGTTTGGGTCTAATTCAACTTTTTTCGAGAAAAATTACACTCGGAATTACGGTACGCATAAATATAAATAAATTTTGCGACAACACATACGAGGGCTGGTTCCTAAAAGATGATAAACAGCCAAATGCCGTCTTCGGAGGCGGATGCTATTTTTTTCTTTTGCTCCTCAATTCTTCATTGGTGTCTCAACTACAGACGGAAAAATACCTCACAGTCAATGCTCTCCACTGAAGTGAAGTTTAATGGATCAAGAGGAGCTGCGCACTTGAATGCTCTATAATCTATTTTGATTCATTAAACTTCACTTCAGTGGAGAACATTGACTGTAAGGTCATCTCCTTCTTGTTTCCATCTGTAGCTGAGTAGTGGATGAACAATTTCTAGACACCAATGAAGGATTGAGGAGCAAAAGGAAAAACTGCATTCGCCTCCAATGAATGCATTTGGCAGTTCATCACCTTTTACGAACCAACCCTCGTATATCCAGGAACAGCCATATGAATTTTACTTCCCAATTGGTGAGGCAGTTGATGGATTTAATCCATTTTAGATGCAAGTCCATAGTCTAAAAAAATATCAGGGCTTTCATTTTGAATTTATGTAAAATGCAGTTCGTGACGGATATTTTTTACAGCTCTGATCCTAAAAATCAAAGCCATAAAACTTAGGCTTAGTGCACCATAAGCCAAAGATTGATGGGAATCGTCCCACGGATAAAGTATTTCATCTGTACAGTATAGTATAACTGCTTCCTACCCTATGTCTAAATTCGTTTGCAAAATTATGGAGTTTCACATGCATATTCCCAAGAGATCATACTCGTGTATCCAGCACTTAAAATTTTTTTTTAAAGCTTTTTCTGAAACACGATTAAAAATATCGCTATAACGGATTTTAAAGCTTTTCATAATGCAGGTTACAAACGTCACGTAACCCGATTTACGATATGATCGAATGATCAGCATGACTGAAAATTATGCTCGAAATTAGATTTGAATCCAACAAGGGTTCTGAATTAAAAACGACAACATTATTCATGTGTACTCGTTAAATCAAGCATTGTAATACTGTACTGTGAACTATAACACTAATTTTCAGAACTCACTCCATGAGTGTCGGAAAAATGGTGCATTGCTACAAAAATTCCACAAGAATGCAGATCTTAGATTAGCAAAATATTTGAATCGGAAGCACTTCGTGAATTAAATTGCTTCACAGTCCCCTGTACAACAACTTCGAAAAAGGAAAATGCGAACAGCTTTTTTTTTTAAATCGAATGTCACATCTGATTGACAATGCTGTTGAGCCTTAGATTTCTTTGATTTTCTCTTTTGGAAAGATGGCATCAAAACGACAGCGTAAAAATGGTTTCAAGTGTAAAAGGAAAATAAATGTCTTCAACTGCATACCTGATACGCCAAAGCGCATTTTCCGATCGCGAACTGGGCCGTGTTCGTCCGGTCTAAACAATCGACGCAATTCACTCGAACTACTCCGGTTTGCCGACCACTGGCATAAAAACTCCTCCTAATCTCCATACTCTTATACCGTGGGTCAGGATTTGCTTCATGTGCCTTATAAGATTCATGAGAAAAGTAAATTCCAGTTCGCTTTACGCAATGGTGTCCAATCGATGCTAGTCTTGACATTACGTTGGCTTTCCTGTTCGGAAGGAAAAACAAATGCCACGGTAAATCTTGAAACCGATATCTGGAGGCTGGTCCGAGTTCCTTACATCTTGTTGATTCTTGCCATGTCAAGGGCGACGTACTGGATTTCATGCGGACTCGGAAGAAACATGTTGAGATTTTGTATCGCGAAGCTGAACTCCTCACTCAGTTGAGTTTCCTGGCGCTTTTTCTCCTTCTTTTTCACAAGGTTCACGGCCACAACGGGACTGCCATAGTTTTTCAACAGTTTGTTGAAATGCGCACCTGGAATGTATTAACCCCAGTAATGTATAAGTGATCAAGTGAATCCAGCTTTTCTTCAAGGTTCATCACGACACACCAGCAATTTGAGAATACGGATCTGCAAGGTGAAAGATGATCGGCGGCTTTGGAACCATCTTCGAGATATCTTGACTCCATAAACCAGGAATTGATCCACGAAGTTGGACAAAAGACGTCACACGAGCTCCGTTAATGCCACCCAACTTCGATAATGCTGCATCTTGCAGAATTTGTTCAGTTTCAACTTCATTCGCTACATCACCCTGGAAAGCAAGATTCGCGTTTTTTAGAAGGAAAATATCAACCAAATCTTCAACAAATGATTTATGCATAGATTTCAAAAGAGCTGAGATTTTCATTAATCAATTCCAACCGCAATTTCCAGGATTCTGAACTTGATAAAGAAAAAGCGTTCCCGGTGATCGAGAAAAATCCTTTTTCCACTCCTTCGCATAAATAAAATAAAATAAAATCTCGCATTTAGCAGTGACTGCAGGATTCAGCATTCTTACATGAATATTAGCTCCTCGCTTCAAGTACCGCGTGCCAGCATATCGAGTGGACCGCCTCGCCACCAGTGTCAGGTAGAAGCAACGACCGAAGATCGACACATTCGACTGGCCGACGAACCCGTGGGTAATCGGTAGAACCCAGTCGGAATGCACTCCGGCGTCTACAGCGGGCTGCATCAAAGCAGCGTTCCAAACGAAGGAATTGTTCGGCACGTTCACCACCGCAGCAATCTTTTCTCTCTCTTTCGAAGCGTCTCGATTGGGATTTCTGCAATCGAAAATTTCTGTGATCCAGAACAAAATGAAACCAGCTGATAGGTTCCCAAAAATATGAAAGGACTTGATATAAATTTCCACAAAAAAAAACATAGGAAGTATTTTTTTTCAATGGAGAAGACTACGTAAAAAAGAATTTGGTGATCGGAAAAAGGCATACAGTATTTTTCAAGTTAGGCTACTATTGCAAGTAGTGCCAGAAACTTATTCTGTTGGCACTTATTTTTGGATTAGCAAGTAACTCATAGAAAAGAAATGCTTTTAATCACAGATTTTTCAATTATCGCAGAAGTTACTTGAAAACATTATTTTTTCGGGAAGCATGTATTTTCATTTTATAAAATGTATCAGTATTGATCGGGTCTATTTTGATCAAGCTATTGTATATGGGTTAGGCCAGCATACGTTGGCTTAGCCTCATCTGGATTATTTTCAGATACGCTCAGGGGAAAACCACTTGTCACTTCAAAAAAGGCAGTTCGGCGTTGAAGTCGGACCAATACTGTTCCTGAACTTACTGCTTGCGGAGGACAGTCTGCAAACTGTCAAAAAGCTCTTCGAACGCGCCAAAATTGCACTGGAATCCATGGTCTGAAAATGAGGAAAGAGTCAGGCTGAAAATCTTCAGGCTTCGTAGGTACTTGGAAAAAATAAAGTTAGACTGCTTGACTCACGGGAATTTTTCTCAACCCTTCGCATCTTAACTTTTGGATCAGATTTATCCGCTACGTTGTACGCGTCAACCAGATGCGATGGCACAAGAATTCTTCGAGCGGGTGAGAGGTTGTACTGCAATGTGTGGCTTAAATCGTAACTGTAACTAAAATTCAAAGAATAGTGACATATTTGAACCGGATGCAGAAATTGAAGGAACTCTAAACAAACCTGAAATAAAAGTTGGACGACAAATCGATGCTCTGAAAAAGACGAAGGTATTTCGGCTCGTCAGGGTGTGATTGGCGAACAGAATCATTTGGAATTCTGATCATTCTGGTGTCCTCAATTTTGTAAATCGTATTGTAGCCAATCGCAGCAATTTTCCTCCGCTTCGTGATCAAAATTAGATAATATCCCTCACAAAATCGTATGAAACCTGTGAAAAATTGAAATAAATCGTCAGTTTCGAATGGAAAAAACGCATACGCATAAAAAAGTTGTTCGTTAAGCTACAGACAGAAATTAAACTGTAAAAGGTAACTTTAATTAAATTGCAATCGAATCGCGTGGAAAACCCATTAATTGTTGAATTTCTAGTAACGAAAAAATCGTTTTTAAATTTTTTTTCGTAAATTCAGCTCCAGGACAATGAAAAAAAAATCGGACGCCCCAAAAAGAAAACCGGAACAACAAAAAAGTGACTGACTGCCTCCAATGACAGCTAACTTTTTACTGGCAACATTTTCGGGGAAAAGAACCCTTGGTGAAAGTTCCCTGAAACCAATTTGTGAGCTTATTTTAAGCATCGCAAAAATTAATTCATGCAAAATACAGACAAAAATTTATTTCTCCGAAAAATATCATTAGAAACTCAAGGATAAACAAGAGGAAAAATGAGGAATACACTTACCGAAAATTCCAAAAGCAGATACACACTTGCTCAGTCCCCCTTGAACTCCACGGCCACTCAGTTGAGTATCTCTGGATTTATTCCCACTGTCGATCATATTCAACAAATTCCTGATCTCTTCTTGACTGTATTTAACCTTGTCGTCCATAATGATCAAATCCTCTGGTTCCGTGCGATCTATCTTCAGAACCCTGAAGGCGTTCTGGTTTTGATTTGAACCCACTAGGTAAAATCTCTGCAAAAAAATAAAATGAATTGACATTTCTAGAGAAAACGAACTCAAGTATAATTATTACCGCTTTTGTTTCATAAAGCGCCATTCTCTGTACAGAGCTGATCGACGGCACCATTTGAATATCCATCTGGAAAGCAAACATGGTCAGCTCTAACTCGGGTTGTTCTATGCGCAGTGAAACTCGGGTTGTTCTACTTCCTCAGAAAACACATTTTCAACTGTTACTGGTCAGCCCCATTAATCCAGCAGGCGACATTTGGGGCAGATGTTCAATTCTTCTCATTCATAAGTATGTTTCTTTAATTACTCTCATTTAATGAAATATGTCTCTTCAATTTCTCTTATTCACGGAAATATTTTTCATATTCTCTCATTCTTAAAGCTGTACACCTTTTCTTTAGTACCATGTTTGGTCAGGGGCATTTCCAATGATCCAAAAAATTAAGAAGCAGGACAACTTTCAAAAATTTGAAAAATATATTTCCTGAGTTGATCCGGATAGAAACGGAGTTCCAAAAAAATTAAGAAACATAAAGACATTAAGCAGAATCTCACTCAATTATAGCAATGCGGTTTGAATGATTTCGACTTCAAAATTGATGCCACTTCCTATATATGCCACTTCATCTTCGTATAATTTGTTCGAGAAGGGCAAACAAAAAACTAATTTTTGGCAATGAGCGAGGCAATCGATGGTCATGCGTAATTTCATTAACCATTATCTGACATGAATCACCAATAACGTATTCGGGAATTCTTACATGAAACCTGGGAAACACCAAAATGTACCAGAATAATTCACCATATTCTCGCCGGCCTTTGAACAGGGACAAAAAGCTCAAGAAATGCAATGTAGATTGATGATAAAAAAGAAATAAACAAATGTTGTTTCCAAGTGCATTGCTGGTTTCATTCTGATGAAAAATGTTTTCAAATGTAAACCAAAGAAGATTTGTGGAGGTAAAAGCCTATACGGAAATAGAACAACCCTTGTACGTCTCAGTAAAACTGGGAGTAGAACAAATCCCTTCAAATTTTATGGGAACAATTAGGATGAACACGAGCTAGAAAAAAAAACCGACGGGTTCCACAGCGAGGCATCACAAATAGTCCGCAGGCCGGAAATGATTTAGTTTGTTGATGGTCCAGGAATCAGATATCCCCTTTGTATATTCTCTGATGAACCTGTAATTGCAAACCATGATGTTTTTCCTGTGCTCCGGACTGCTCATGGGATCTCTCGGAACGTTCCCGGAATCCAAAAGAGTATGCAATCCTCGGAACACATGATATGCCACCGTCACCTCCACAAATCTTTTTTGGATTCCTGAAATTTGAAAAATATTTACTTGAGGTTTTAAAAAGCATCTCAATCTCATGTACTAAATCCATGCAGGTCATCTCACGGCTCATTGACGTAAAGAGCGAAAACTAAAATGCTCATGGATTAAAAATTGGAAATGCGTCGTTCGAGAAATGCAGCTACAAATATCGTGGTTTTTTAAATTATTTTGCAAAATTGAGAATGTTTGACACAGAGACACCCAAAACCTAAACGACTACAGCAGCCAGCACTAAACTCAAGCAAATCGAAAGTGAGAAGATGAATGTTCCTTTAGCCGACAAAAACTCATTATTCAAACTCCATCGCTCACAGAAATGGTTCAAAAATCGGAGCAACTCTCAAAATAGCTAGCACCCGAAATAAAAATTATCCGAAGAGGCATCATAACAAGACTCAATCGTTGATTGAAGGCTGGTTACGAAAGGTTGCGAAGGCTTGCTCTTTTTTGGACTTCTCGTGGTTAAACGGAAGGAATTCTATATACCGTATTAGGGTTAAAAGGACGAACTGACCAGAAGTTTCATCATAGATGATCATCCCGATCTGGTACGGAAAGGACAGGTACACATCAGTATCTTCAACCTTGAGAGAAGTGCGCTGTTGCATTGACATGCTGGAAACGCGCTCCTTGATCTCCTGCAGTGCTTCAGGAGTGACGAGCCCATTCATCTCTTCAAATTTACCTCGAGACAACAAGTCAGACACGCTCACCAGCGCCTGGGTAGGGAACGAAGAGCCTTTAAACTACAGTACTACATGAACCAAAAAATTCGTCAGCTTTTGACCCGAAGTCGACCTCTACAGTTTTAAAATCCGAGAGAGATTATTCACGATTACGACCTAAAAACAAAAATTTCAAAAAAATATTGACGTAAGGGTCAGGTAATTTATGAAAATACTGCACAAGAATTGTTATTACTAGTGAATTGATAAATAAAAATCAGAACAGTTTTAAAGCACTGCGCAAAAGAAAATCCATTTCATTCAACTCAACTCGTAAATTATTCTGCTCCCTCATTTTATTCTGCATTCGTCAAGTCTGACCTTGAATTATTTCAAGTCTTACAATTTTTTTATCAATGCCCCAAATTTATATTTTCTGGCACATTATAGACACACGCTGTCCGAGGTGCATGACAGATCAAGGGTCTTCGAGGAGTTAATGGGGAAAGAACCGAGTGTATCTTATATCACAATAAAAATTAGATTTGAGTTTTCAAGGTTTCTTCGAAAAAAAATGAGCTGACGATAAGCAACATTTCTACACCGTATTTTCTGTACTCGGAATTTAAGCACCCCCTAAATTTTTTATCCATAAAATAAAAATGCCATAATTAAACAAATATACTGTTAACACCCCTTACTTTTCAGAGCGATAAAATTTCTTACTAAATTCTGGTTTTCCTTAGAAAAGGATGAATGGTGTCAAGAAAAGGTGGACATAGGCCATCCCCAACATACACATCAGCCTTCGTCGTTGCCTGCATATTCTTTCCCTTCGAAGTCGTATTACTTGAGGGATCAACATTTAATAATATTTCGAAAGAAAGAGCATTTCTATTTATTTTGATTTCTCATATAACTTGAACATAAGAAAAAATGCGAATAGCATAAATATGCAAATACTGTATAAGCATCCCATAGTTTTTGAGCTTCTAGAATTACTGTAATGGGGGAAAAAACGGTGCTTATATTCGCGTAAATTACGGTATTTCACGTCTCTAGGCATTGAGGCTTCCTAAGAGATTACAAACCTGTTTAGCGCCGTTCATGAACTCGGAAGCAGAAAAATCCTGATCCAAGTACGGCCGAATGATGAACGTGGCCAAAATGAAATTTTTTATCGTCTTGTACACACTAGGCCATAGAATGTGTGGGAGGTCGGAAATGGGAGGAAGGCGCTCAGGAGAAGGATCCTTCTTGACCTCATCTACGTTCCGTAGCGAAGGATACAAATGGAAACATGCCCGTTGGGATACATTCAACTTCACCGCCGGGGGCAAAACGTGGTGATGAAACGCGTAAGCGCGTCTGATGGAATACAACACAGCGCGACAACGGAAATTCATCTCGAAACCTTTCCAAAGAATCGACAGAAGGTCAAAGAGGCTGATCAAAAACCCACAACGATAAAAACCACAAAACCGGCGCAAACCTAAGGAGGAAAAAAAAACAAAAATTTCTGGATGTTCAGAAACCTCAACAGTGAAACAAATGATGAAATCAACTCACGAAGCTGACAAAAGTTATATTTTCATTGACTAGAGAAAAACAGAAACATGCTTGTGATCCAGGGAAGACACATTTGCCCGTGATGCAAAAACGCGACTAGAGAATGCGGTGACAAGAACACGGCGGAGAACTCAAGATAATCCGTTCAGCAATTAAAAGCATACATGTTTCATACCGTATGTTCCCATCACATTACGGGTTTGATGAATACAAACTTTCTTTGTACCGACAAAAAGTCAATCCGATCAGAATCTTGGCTTCGAAAAATAGAATGACTGAGATCATCTAATATTCTCTCCACTGATCAAGGGAACATACAAACAAGGGAGTATCGCAAGTTTTAAGATACAGTAATGCTAAATTAGTAAATTCAAAATCTATACTTCCTTCAAAACCCTCGCGATTTTCGGTCTTCACGTGAAATGATCAGCAGAAATAGACGTCAAATTGAAATAAAACCCAAGTTTGATTCGAATTTTTCCAAGGATGCGTAGGTAGTAATGCAATATAAAAACATGAAAAGGTTTGACTAGAAAATTTGGCTCGAAGAATGAGGTACTTTCGAACGATCACGAGAGTTACTTGGACGAATTCTGCAGACAATCAAGCACACAACACATGACATTTAAAAACATTTTTGAACGATGAAATTTGGTTTCTTTCTCACTTTAGAAGGACGGAATCGATAGTGATACATTTTCCCCACCTACTGAGGATACAAGGATTGGTTCGTAAGTTCTTGAATATTCTCATCATGGATAGTTCAAATCCTCTGAAAAATACAGTAAAATCTTTATTCTTGAACCAGAAGTGCCGTTTAGCAAATCACGAGGGGAGAAAACTTCCTCCGGTTTAAAAATATACGACGTACATTTAAACGAATGTACGTCGTTTATTTTCAATTCGATTTCCTTAAAATCCTCGATTAGAGAACTGTTGCTTTAACTCAAGCATCCGTTAACAGGTTTATTTGACTGAACCTCTCAAACAACAATCTTGTGCTCCCAAACTCAAAATTGGCTTCTGCCGTCTTTTAATGGTTTTTTAATTGAACTCAAGATTCACTTTTTATCCCTGCCAGCAGCAATCCGGCATTTTACTTGCGTATGTAACTCTGTGAAGTACATCATTTTTTTTACTGGCAGAGAAAAATCGGGGTACAAAATAAGTTCGAGTAAAAACAATCAGTGCATCTGTACTGTATTTTTTAGTTAGCCATGTAGTCATTCAAGGTATTGCTGTAAAACAGCAGTAAAACTTTCGAAGCATTCCTTGTACAGCATATTCACTCATCACCTGGAATCGATTCGATTTCCATTGTCTGCCTTGAAACATTACCCAAAGTATCAGCGATAGGAGCACTTTTTTTCCGCCTTCTTTCAGGCTTCGGCCTGGTCTTTTCCGTGGACATGGATTCCAACGGAGTATCTCCGCGAACAGAAACAGAAGCCACGGATGACTTGTCCGTATCAGGCTTATCCACAGGCTTCAAGTTTCTAAACGCTTTCGGCACGGCGGCTTGAACTTGTTCACCACGTTCCCCAACATAGCCCATTTCAGAGAAATCCTTCAGCATCGTATTGAACTTGACGGTAGCCACGCCTTGGGTGCGCACGCGTGTCACTTCTCGGCCATCGCCTCCAGCTACAACGCGTGGGTCGACGTATTCCGGACGAGTGCCCGTAAGCCAACTGCCGAAACGCTGTAGAAGAGATGCAGATTCGGGCACGAACATGGCGATACGCTTGACACACCTTCCGGGGGTTACTGGGAGGTGGATCGAACCGTAGCCTCTGACCACGTCTCTGCCCCAGTAGTCGAGACCGTAGGTACTTAAGACGATTTGAGGCCAACCCTGGGTTTAATGTGGAACACAGAAGCCAGAAAAAATGAACACTCAGTCATTAACATCAGGTACTGGATGTGTTCTGAGATACGAGCGTGCGAAAATAAATGGAACGAGGTGGCTTAATATAATCAAATGCATATCAATGGAAGTACAGTATTTCAATCTCAGTTGGACGCTGCGAAATTTTATCTACTGTCAAGTAGGCAAGTCACTGCTAACTTGAAAAAAAAAACACCTCGAATCAGCATGGGTTACACCTCCACCACGGAATCCTTCAAAACTTTTTTTTCATTTGGACTGCCTAGAAACATTACAGGGCAATTTCAATTATTTTATCTATGATATTACACGTATGCTATTGAAATTCCTTAAGCATACCTAATACTTGAAACATAGCATGGTTCCAAAATTTTCTCAGCACAATAAAATGAACTACTGAACTACTTTTTCCGAACATTTGTCAGTCGAATCTCTGCAGAAAATGCGTCATAATTATATTATTTAGAAGACTTGAAGCACGATTTAGTTAATGTACTAAGGGTTTTCTTGGATTGCACTCATCGCTTCAGCAACATCTCGATCCGTGACCAACATCTTAGGGCAAACTTTCTAATCCGCATCACCGACAGAATTGCTAACAGAACATTGTCTACATCAGAAAATAGTTCGCAGACCTGGGACATAGCATCAAGAAAAGGTTCCCATGATTCATCTTTCGCAATACAAACACCATCTGCAAATCCATAAAACTTGAAAATTCGGAAGGTCGACCTCGTTTCTTCATAGCAATAGAATTGCCCCTTCAAGGCTCGGTCTTCTTTTAAATTGAAACTTAAATAATGGAAACAGCAGTAAGAAAAGTACTTACATTACTTCGCAAAAATTACATCCAACCAAGGAAGACGGACAAAACGAGTGAATTAAACCTGGAATTTCAAGTTCTTCCGGAAAACGTACCTGAGGGTTCGTACTCCTGAATGTGATGTCAAAAGGCAGATTCCAAACAAAGTCTTCCTCCCCATCCAACGCTTTCTTTGCTGTTTGACTCCAGCCTTCCTCCGTTCCAGCGACAACTGCCCAATCGGAACCCCAAACATAACAATACTTACAGTATAAATCTGTAATCCCTGGGAAAGTTCCACACTCTATTTCGCCGGTAACGTTAATTAAGAAAAAGCTTCTCTGCACGTCCTCCATAACCTTCTCTGCAAGAAAGCAAAAAACGTATGCGGTGAACATCCAGCTCTAATACATTGCGCATGAAAAGAAAATAAATTTTAAAACAAACTTCCATGCAATTTTAATTCGCATTTCAGCTATCGACAAATCAGGGAAACAACTGCAAGGTACATTTGACTAAATCCGTAGGCAAACATTCAATTAGAATTTTGGACCATCGAAAGAATCGAGCGGAGGAGGATCCAGATAATCTTCCTTTGTCAATTCTCCCTTCCTCATTTTATCTTGACGATGACGGAACATGGTGAGTTTCCGTTCGATCTAGACAGAGAGTAACAGTCAAATGAGTCCAACTTCGAAACTTGAAATGAAAGGAATCTTTTCATTACAAGGAGTGATTTAAGCACTGTTTCAAACACGACACGCATCGTTTTACATTTCTATTTTTAATCAAATTCTTCATACCTTTTTTTGGATTCCCATTGATTTAAAATCATTTCTAAGCTATCAACCGAAGAATTCCACAATCGCCAATCTTGGCACTTGTCGCAAATGAAACGACAAACTCTGATATAGCTATGTTAACTTCAAATTACAGAAATTATTTAGAGTCGTTCGAGAAGGTTTGGGTCTTTATCTTTCAAGCTGGTTTGGAAATTAACTGTGCATCAGATTCCAGAATCAAGATCAAATTTCGAATCACGCATGGATGGTGATCATCCTGGGTGATGCACTGGCAGACGGTTTATTTTTCCACCAACAATCATGATTGCAGTAGTTCATAGTAAATTTTCAATTTCAGGGCAGAAAATGGTGTGATCAATACTTCGGGATGTTTTGAACATCTAAAAAGCTATTGATTCAATTTGAATATCATGTGACAGAGAGAATAGGGTGGCACATGGTGATTAGAAATTCGTCTCATCACAAACCTGTTTCTGGTTACGGGTACACTCGATGAAATCATCCACATAATCTTTGCAATTCATCCCACCCTTTCTCATGCCGTAAGCCTCGTAACACTCCATCATCCGCATCTCAAAATCCGAGCACTTGGAAATACGCTGGAAATTCCAGACCACAGCGGTCACATCCATGAGAGGAACTTTAATTACTGGAGACCACGACATCTCAACGAATTTGTGTTCCCCGCCCCTACGCAAAAAGAAAATCAACTTGTTAAAGCAACATGTTATCACTCATAAAAATTAAAAAGAAAAATTGAAGTGCACAAGATTTGTATTAAAGTATAGTCAAGCATTTCATATAAACACAAAAAGGGCTCTCGCGTCAGAAATGTTTTTTCCCCGTTTTAAGACGTGGGACAGACAAGGCAGGATTTGCAACAATCGGTCTTCGATCACCGGATGATGCTCGATTCCCTTCGTCGCTTTCTTCGTCTTCACTGTCTTCTGTAGTATCGGACTCGGACATTTCCGACGAGGTGTAATCGGAAGATGAAATCATTCGATCGTGATTGGCTTGCCACGGTGATCGATTTGCGTTTCCAGCGAATCCTATGAAAAAGAGTCCGATTCAGACAGTATAATTCAAGGTCATTCGCCGTTCTTCTTAAAATTCTTTCGATTTTCTTTTTCTCGAAAACGATCTGATCATCAAAAACAATAGTGCACGCAATGCACAATACCTTTCGCGAAAAATCTTCATACCTAGCCCACCAAGTTCCCTGATATTTTTCCACTCAATTCAGAAGTTCTTCTCCTAATCCTCCCACTACTGTAATGTTTTGCCAATAATCTACAGTTGGATCAGGCTTTCAGATAAAGCATTTCTTGCCGTCGTAGCACTCAGAAAAGAAGTTTCAATTTTAATCCTTGCTTTCGATTCAAGTTGAGAATAAGACCTACATCATCAACGTGCATTCGGATGAGTTGGGAGTCCTTCAGAAATTCTGGAAGTAAACTAGCAGCACTGGCGGTGGAACTTGTGTGGCGTAAAAACAAGTTCAAATTTCTATGAGAACCGCCTTAAAGCGAAGTTGAGAGGGAGATTCGGTGTGTATCTCGTATAACTGAACGCTGAAGTTGAGGAACGATAGGAATATTGTGGTACCAGTACCACTGGCAATTGACATTTACCCGGCAATGCTGGGGATCGAAGATGTTGTCTGTGCGCGTATTGCATGTCCACAGCGCTAATTTCAATACTCGCTTCCTTGCTTGGTTTCCCGTCATTCACCAAAATTGACATGTACTTCATGCGACCTGCGGCTGCGTCAACTTCGTCCATTCCACCTCGTCGCCGCAACGAGGGAGCAACTTTTCGCTTACCAGAAGATTTAGCTCGCCTACTGTAATTGGAATAATCAATACAGTATATTAAAATTATAATTTAAGAAAATAGGTGGATTACAATCAGATCTTTTTAGATGGTTTCAAACTAACAGCTGCAGGCAGAAAACTTCATTAAAAGTTACATCCGGAACACGATCAACCATTTGTACGCTGTTAGGAATACTCATGCGCAAAGAGGACATTGAAGTAATTTAGGTTCAACTAGGGATTACGGTGTGAAATCTACAGACCAGTTTGGAATGTTGATTACTTTTACAAATAAATAAATTACAATAAATTACATTTACAAATAAATTCCTTAGAATTTGCTTTCAGTCCATTCTTAGTGAAATTCTGTAGAGAAAAAATTTGAAGGTCTAATGACTTGGCATGAATCAGTGTGAAATTATCACGCTTAGTAAACTGCCTGTGGCACCTACCCAAGTGTATGGTGTATTACAAATCAGGAATAATCATCGTACCGGTAAATACGTCTCCTTGCTTAATACCTTTTGGGACTTGACAAGTGTTTTGATTCATATCAACATGAGCAATTTGTAATTCTCTACCTCTTCCCCGGAGCAGGTAAACAATGCCCAAATTCGGGCTTGGCGAAAGCATTGGGATACCCCGGGTGCACTGGCCCATTGCGAATAGCAGCGACAGCTTCACGTCGAAGATCGTCCATGTCCACAAAACTGGCACCACAGTCCCGTAGCCTCCTTAACGTCGCTTCCAAAGCCGCGTCTTCCGGTTGACGCGAAACTTCCACTTGTTTGCTCCGCTTCTTCTTATTTTTAGCTTTCTTTTTCTTCGATTCATCACCCGGAGGAACCATTTGATCCTTCACAGGAGCGATACCGGACTTATGCAGAAAATCAGCCACACGTGCCTGATGATATATCGGCCAAAAGTTATCAAGAGAATGACGTCTCCCGAAATGAAGCAGTATGGAGAAATAAACCATTCCTAGCTCTTCGAGGAAATAATGCGACACAAAAATCTTTTTTTTTTTTTTTGTGGTGAACATTCCAAAAAACGTTTGAGTGGAATATCATTTGAAAATTGGCTTTTAAAAATAATTTTTCGTAAAAAAATAATCTGGGACGATTGCCGATTTTTTGCTACACTTGCATTAAATTTAGAAGAAGCTAAAAGGCTGTTCGTGAAATGAAAAGAAATCAGCTTGTTACCTAGCGTCAAGTAAAACTGAAACGATTTCTCCTGCGGAATAATGTATCATTGAGAACTGTGCGTGGCCAACTAATTATAGAAGTGCATTATTTTTGTGTCCAAGCGAAGAAAAGGAATAGTAAATATATTGATCATTCCGAACTAATGATCTTCTTTAGAAGCGCTCGAGATGGAGGCATTTGAATTACTAACGCATAAAAAACGCACCATAATGTTATCGTAGAATTGCTCATTCGATGGATTATCAACGACAGCAACTTGTTTCCCTTGCTCTTCTGTCCCACATCCAACAGATCTGTGTTCCCCCAACAACACAGTTTTTGACTCCGGACCTTCAACGATGCTCGTTTGCGTCGCAATGGATTTCTTTCCGTTTGCCACGGTCCAGCAATTGGTGGAAGGACCTCCAGAAGCACAACCACACGACGAAGCCCCAGACCCATGCCTTACAGCCAGCAGTTGAAGCGCTTGTTGGAAATGTTCCTGCTGTGTCTGCTGTAGTTTAAGAGATTGCTGCAACTGCTTTTGAAGAGCATTCAGCCGCTTGTTTTGGTCGGCAACCAGCTGACGCAATAATCCGGTTTCCAATTCTTGTTCAGATGATGGATGCACCGTCGGAGGGTCAAATGGGAGGTTTTCCGTTGGATTCCTGTTCTCCTTGGATGAAAATCGACGAGGCTCCAGAATTCTCTAGAAAGAAAAAGTATAATACAGTACAGTATTGGACAGACAAGGGCATCAACAACATAGAAATGCTTATATTTCCAGAATCGAACAGGATTTTAAAATGTTCCCCTCTCCTCATTAACCAGCACATTTGAAGTTCATCCAATGCAAAGGCAGTCCAAAGAGATACAAAAGCAAGCAAGGAAATGGTCATCACCTCACGTTGTAACTTCTAGGACATCCAATAAATGCACGTATAGTGAAGTTCAACTTACCCCGGTAGTATTATTGAAATTCACACGCCGCGGTGGCTGGGTTTTAGGAGTCCTCGACGGGACGTTTCTCAGATCAGACGGTTGAGAAACGCGGAACTCAGGGCTCGTCCAACCGCCATGATCGGCATAACGAGCACTGTTCGGCACAGGATCATTCGCACCTTTTTGCGGGAATCCTGGATCAATCGCCGATAAATCCGAAAGATTACCACCAGACGGAATATTTTCGATCTGCGAACAGCGTCAAAAAGATTATTAGTTCGAATAAAGGGTGATCCATCGTCACTGCTAAGCGGGAGTTACTCACCAGAATGCTACTCTTCACCGTATTCGGCAATTCCCACGGATCATCCATTGCTCGCGCAATTTCGCCGGTCAACTCACCACTCTTTCAAAATCCTAAAAAAATGTTTGGTACAGTAAAACTTCGGTTCAATTCAAACAAAATATCAAAAAGAAATCGACATCTGATTCAACCTCCATTTCTAATTAAAGCACGCCAATCAGAGACATCACTGCGCAGACAAAAATTTCGTGAGGATGATCACAATCGCATCGAATCCGGTCAACGAAACAAAACTGATTCCTGGTCCAGATCTCACGAAAGAATACTAATCACATGCCAAGATCACGATGATTTCGCAACAGCTCTTGAAAGAACTTCCAGACTAACAAAACTAATGCACTTGAACACTGCGTTCACATCCGCTCTCCTCAACAACCGGAAAACCTGAGATCTTTTTCCTGGTCTGATTATGTTGACGACGATCGGTTCGCAACTCACTGACTTTCTGGCTGACACTTCAGGACGAATACAATCTAGTTTCGATCATAATACAGATCAATTAGCCTACTCCGCTCGGAGGGCATCACAGGGTGCATCACTGAGCAAAGTTAGCAGAAAAAAATATATGTTCATAAGATTTCGCTGGAGGTGAGTTCCATGTTTTTGCCATGGCTAGACTGAATTTCGGCGTCCAGAATCGTTATCCTCGGACTTGGATTCTTCTTCTCCCGAACTACAGTCCTTCGACAGAAATTTTTCGCGATCCCTCGGTTTGTCGTTGTTCGGACCGGGATTCCGCATCCGAAGTTGTGGCGGAATCAATTGGCAGTAGTTCGGTGGGGTCGGGGGCACGAAAGAGTTCACATACGGGATAGCTGAAATACCACGAATCATTGCAGTGATATTTTATTTCACAAAACTTTTTTGGGTCTTATTTTGCTATAAAAGCGGTACATCACACCTTGAGAGAAGTACCGTCGTTATAAGAAAATTTTCAAGACTCCCTAAATTGTAATAGGCACCCTTAATTTTTCAAACGTATGAACTGGTGGCGAGTTAGCTGAGAATTATAAAATAAACTGTCCCTCCGCTAAACAAGAAAGCCAGAAACTGAAGCGTGGGGTGTGCCAAAATTCGCACGAATAAAACTCGCAATTTAATGGCCATTAGTTTACCGGGAAAATATTTGCTGCGGTGTAAGGGCAGGAAAAGTTGCCAAATACTTCATCGCATTTCATCTTCAAGTCGAATCTAAATGCACGTGCTTCAATATTATCCACGCTAGTAAGAAACGTTCAATAGGTTGATGAATTATTCACCGTATTACTAATCGGACGGGAAGCCCAGTTTCGAAAGACATAAAAATGCGTCTTGAATTCGCGAAAATAAGGCAGTTCCCCGAGACAATCCAATTTAAAATACAGTCTGATCTTCATTGAGGATTGCTCGAAGAGAATATCTCCGATAATTCAAATTTCACTTACGAGGACGATACCACAAGAATTTTGGCTGGGTCTGAATCAGTGGCGGACGAAAGTTTGAGTTTCGAGGCGGAGGACCCTGAAAAAACACACAATGAACAGCTCGGCCCAGGAAATCAAAAGTTCATAAACACACAGCAAACGGTGGCGTTGGCAAAGCTCCGAGACGAACTGGAGGTGGATTAATTGGTAGAGGACATCCTATATTCAGAGTATTCGCCGGAAGGCATTGGGGAATGCCCGGCTGGACGGAAGCGAATTGCATGCTGGTACTGATCCTCATCATTGCATTCATGAGCTCCACTCGAAGATGTTGCGGAACGCTGGGAGACTGAGCGACGGTTTCAAGCTCACGAAGAAGCGCAAGAACTCGGTACTGGTGACCGAAAAAAAAACCAGGTCGAGAATACATTTCATTTGGAATAACTTCCAGAACGAGGCCTCTGAAGATTCTAACCCTACCGGAGGAATAAAGATCCGTGAGTTAGCTTATGATATTAACCATTTCCATGGTAGCACATTTTTTAGGCCACCCCATCGCAGTTGTTCTTCACGCGAATCTGCATCACCATCACTGTCAAGATTTTGATAATGTTCGAGTAAAAAATAACAGGCCATATAATTATTATTCAATAAATACAGCGACTTACTTGAAAATCCCCATCCTCATTACATGTATTCGTTCAAATCACGCAACCCTATCAAACATTTTATGATTAAGGGTGATGCACTGTTCTCATGTACTGCATGTTTATCGGAAGTTTCGCTTTTCTGCAGGATTTTGAATTTCACTTGAAAAGTCTTCTGAACTTCGGTAGTCTAAATAGTTTATATTACTTCAACTCATGAGATCAGATTGCTGGGCAAGTTCCAGACGAAGTTGATAACTAAATGGAATTAAACTTGGTTGGCATTGAATTTGAAACCTACGTTGTTGCCACGGTCGCATAGTTTCGCGAGACATTTCCCAACCACGTGGATAAGGGTTTCCATGAACACAGCTTCATGTTTTGAAGACCATAGGTTGGCCAGTTTGTAGATGCACATGAAGATGGTTTTAACTTTAACTGGCGCACCGAGTTCGTATAGTTCACTAACGAATACTGCAGTGGCAATGAGGCGCTGCTTCATGCTCGTCTCCTTCGCTTGCAAATCCTTCAATGCGTTTCGGTTTTCTTCACGCTGCAAAAATTTCATCAATTACCCATGCAATTTCGGAAAAAGACAAGGCGTATTTTACCATCTCTTGGGAATCAGAATTGTTGATGAGGGAACGACGAAGATCATCGAAACCACGATCTATATCCATTTCCATAGAGCACTGGCGAATCAAGTTACAGAACAAATTCGACGAAAGATTCATTGCCAATCTCGAAGCGAGTCTCGGGTCGTCCACGACTTTTTCGTAAACCAATCCTGTCACGATGTTCACGTCATTTGGACCACCAAGCTTCATCTCATTCAATCGTCGTGCACAGCCGTCGGCATTTTCGTAAGTTAGAAGCTCGATAACCTTTTTCGTCGTGTGTTCGATTTCCTGCAGAAATTGAACACTGTGAAACAACATGCATAATTGAAAACGTGGAATGACTTACGGTACGGGTCATACAGACGCGGTCGTTCGGATGACGCTTGATGATTCCCATCGTCAGATCAGTGAAAAGATTCGAGTGAAAAGTCTTACAATACGGGCTTTCCTTGAAATACAGAAGGAAATCGCGGTCGTGGTAAACCATTTTGTGGGGACGGTCGACATTCTCCTCAAGAGACTGTTCTTCAGCAACTGGTTGATCGCCTCTCCCATCCGTCGGCATGGGAGCCGAAGCTTGCGTGTTTACAGAACAGGTATCCGCCATTGTAAAGTTGATAATTGTTCGATCAAGATTGATACAAGCTTTCAGGATACTCGGAGATTATATGATCTTCTCGTTAAGCAAAGTTAAAAGGGCTTTAATTCCATTAGGATACTATTGCCCCTTATTTGCGTTAGACGGTATTTACCCGCTTTTTCTCCTAATACGCTGTTAGTGGCAGCTTTTGGTGGCGGAGAGTGTCTTCTACGACATTATATTGCAATCAAATCCTCTGACACGAGCGTTCACTGCAATATTAACGAAAGCATGAACTCAATCACACCAAATCAGTGAGCAACAGCTCTGCACCCACAGGAGGAGTCTCATCAGTCGTGAAATCGCGGGTAGTCGCTACTTTAATTTAACGTGGCGTGGTGAAGGTTAGAGTATTAGACCTGATGCCAGTTCAAGGCAACCCTAAGATGTCTACAGCGTACTAAAACAGTCCGCCAATATGTCACAATACAATACCGTACCAGTACTAACAATTTTACAGGATCACCCATATAGCACCATGTACTGGACAACCCAAGTCGAAGTAGGGTAGTTTGTTTACGTCACCCCTACTGTCGAAGTCAGTGTAAGTCTGTCGACCTACAAGAATTACAGAATGCATCATATATTGTAAGGAAAAGTCGCGTTTTGGAAGTTTTATTTGTGAAATGTATTTGATTTTAAAATCCCGCCGAAAAATACCTTACGTACCCTCAGTAAAATTTCAAAAAAGCTGGATTCTACCAAACCGGAGATCTTGGCGCCACACGACACTGGAAGCCAATTTTTGATACAGGAACAAAATTCTTTCTCTTCACTGGAACATACTTTTAAATACTGTATATAGGGTAGCATCAACATCATCTAGCATAACATGCCCTCCGAAGCGATTCACTTTTCAACAAAATCGAGGGTTATTCCGCATGATAAATTGCATACTCCGTACAACAGTGAACATCACCAATTGTAATTTTATTGCAAGGTCATTCCGTCACGGGAAAAAAGTACAATACTCAACTCGCCAGCCTTCAGTTGGGACAAAAACCCGACTGCTCCACAATTTTTTTGTTCATTATTGGGGTATATAACCAGAGCATGCTGCTATATAGACAAAAAAATAAGCACACATTTTTGAACACGTAAATTGCCTGCATTTCCACAGATAAAAAGAGATCAAAAACCAGATGAAAAGCCATACGTAACAACTTCCCGAAATGAAACTTGTTTTTAAGGGAAGACAATTTGAAAAATGTTGACTTATTGAATTCCCACAGCCGAAATTTGATTATATTAAAATGACCAATATTCCACACTTACAACGGAAATGAACCCAGGCACCGATACGAATTACATAAAAATTACGATTACCAGACGATTCCTTCAATCATTTCTTTAGAGAAACAAATGCAACGCCTTTATCAGCGTAGGAACCCAAAATTAATCGTTTACCATCACGAGCTGGAAATGCGCAGCTAATGTGGGTGTAGTTTCCATCAACAGTGTGGAGGGTGCGTAAAACTTCTCCTGATTCGCTGAGTTCCACAACCATTCCATGCTTCACCTTTGTGAAATAATCGTTCAAACCAAATCCCCCGATCTGAAAAGCAGCAATAATCGTAGAAACATGTAAATCTCAAAAAATACGGACAGGCACAGACAATATGTTCAGACACCAATTTACGACATACTTTCCATCAAATAATATACTGCTGTGCGCTACGCAAAATCCTCCAATTTTCCACAAGGCAACTTTCATTGAAAGAAAGCACGAGTTCAAAATAACAAAATGAGAAAGTCATAACATATTTTTTCATACAATACTACTGTACAGCGAAAAACTACAGGATTCATTGACAGAATACATGAAAACGGAGCAGAATTTGCAGCATACTCAATTCCTCCACTATTTCATAAAAAAGGCCAAGACGAATACATGCATCATGAACATAAATTAATCTACGAAATTGATGAAAATTATTTCTGAAAATAAATTCGAATAACTGATCAATATGATGTAAAATTCTTCCTTCAAAAACGAAGTAACTCACATATCATTGCACACTCCACCGGTTTTCCGCATGTCAAAATTCACGGCATGAATTTTATTTATGAAATGCATAGTAAGACTGACATTTCCCAGGACTCTACACTAGGAAATTTAAACAAACAGGTTTGCTCACGAAAATTTGCAACAATAAAACTTAAATGAGTGACAAATTATGGGAAAAGCATCTACTTTTCGTGGCCCTAAAAATAGATGCATTTTGAATGTAAATGCCGATGACATGGAATTTACACAGCTTGAAGTATGAGATTTTCTTCAGAGTTGTCTGAAATAATGATTTTCAGCTACGTTCCATTTTACTGAAATGACCAAAAGGACGCGTATAAATAATTTCCACTTCATTTTACTTCAACCGATTGTGCCGATACGCAGCATGCACTTCACCTGCGAATCTGAGACGCACTTAGATCTTTTCAAAGCCAACTTCGACAATCCAAAAAGCCTCGTGCATAATACCCATAATTCCTTACACTACTTCATTACCGCATATATATATATATATATACTGTATATATATTCAAGTCAATAGGGAATCAATACTTGCTGTGATACAACTCACAATCCACCCAAGAGGCAGTAAAAAAGAAGAAACCCCTCAACATGTCGACAGCAGAATGTAAAATTACTCTATACTCACGGAATATATACAATTATACTGTATAAAGTCAGAATCAGATCAACTCACCGCACTACGAATCACTCCAGTAACTGGATTAGGGAAAAGCTCGGTGATGAAATCAAACGGAAGTCGGATCATATATAGCAGTCGAGCAATCATCGACCTCGTCAATGGATACTCCGAAAGGCTATCGATAGGGTTGAAATTTTTTGGATTGAATACAAACGGTATCGCCACCAGAAAACCTCCTTTCTTATTGCCGCTAGCCCGAATGTTATCCACAGCTCCGGGGATTCCCTCGATGAACGTTTCAACCACGCCTGGACTACCCTGTTCACGATTCAGGTTGTACCTGAGAAGTACAGCATATTCAAATAAAATGGCATAAAGGAGATTATAAATATACATAAATCAAACAAAAAAGTACGAATCAAAACTTGGATAAAAATCTCAGGCATCGTCTGCAAATAATAAAAACAATAGATTACGAACATTTTTATCAATTGGGCATAATCGAAAACATGGAAGACATTTCCGCAAGAGATGGAGATTTTGCACATTCCCTTGAATTACTGTACATCGCGAAATTGAAGAACGTTCCACATCAAAACTTCCGAAAATTTCACTCCCATTAAGATATCATGCCATTAAATATTCCGCGAACTGTACACATACAGTGGTTGACTTCAGTTTGGGACCAAAGTATGAGCTATCCCTCACCAATGTTACAGACGTATCTGAAAAATTCACGAGGATCGACATTTTGCTACAGCACAGACATTTTTCAGAGTTTATATTCAAGATTTTTTAAATATCGGCTCTTGAATACAGCGCTCATTTCTGTTGAATTTTGCTCTTGCTTTTTTTTTCTTTCTAGGATATGTCAGGTAAGAACAGTTTTAGAAGTTTTTCATGGCCAATTCCAGATAATAACGCGATACCTGAAAAAAGCGAAATCACAAAAATATCATACATACCTAACAATTTTCCCTCTGAAGCAATCAGCCACCAAGACAAAACTTCGGTCCTTTGAAAGTTGCACACCGTTGGCAAAATACAATCCGGTCAATAGAACCGATACTTCCCCAGTTTCGGCGTCCAACTTCAGCAATCGACCACTGCCGCTGGCAAATAGCGTGAACATTCCGAAGTCAAGAGGGACATCCAGGCTCGATTGCGAAAAGTAAACATCGCCATTGGAATCCACGTCCAAATCATTCACCAACACTAGGGGTGAACCTTCAACCATGGTGCTAGAACTCACGAGAATTTCCACAGTTCCTGTAAAATACGAAGTTATTCCCATAAATTGCCAAGAACTCATGAACTAAATCAATCCCACTTTTGAAAATATTACACTTACCATCGTCCACATTCACAGATAAAAGGCCACGGTTCGCATCGGCGACTAATAATTTATCCCCTCGAAACCGCAATCCAAGCGGTCTTCCGCACCTGTGATCCCAGGTTCCAGCTAAGATTAAAAATGCCGTTAACATTATCTTATTCAACAAGTATGCATTTTTAAGGATACTTACAACAACCGGGATCCTGTGACTTGGCAACAGTTTCATACTCGAACGTATTGGGGTGAAACTTGATAATCGATCTACAAGATGAAAAAAGAATAAAACTTGGATATTATTAAACTTGGATATTAACGTATTGGGGTGAAACTTGATAATCGATCTACAAGATGAAAAAAGAATAAAACCACATGGAGTACTGCAAGAGAATTTCCGAAAATTTTTGGACACCTTGACATAGCGACCAGACGATTCAGCGCGTTACAAAAGAACGTTCTCAAAAGCAACGGAAATAAGAATCCCTTTTGAGCAGAACAGTGTGCCATCTGTTATGCGAGAACGGCAGAAATGCAGAACTATTCCTCGAAAAATCGCGACGTCAATTGTAACGATTACCGGAAAATCACTTATTACAATAAGTTTCCATATTTGAGCAAAAATAAGCCCCCCTAAACTTTTCATGCAAAAAATTTATATTTTATCAATAGGCGAAGAGCACCAACTTACTTTCCAGGACCATACAATTTCTGACAAAATATCGGGTTTCCCCGAAAAAAGTGTCACACAACCATTGCTTTTCCCATGCAGTCTACGACTCCTACATCTTATAGGCGCATACTTATTTAAATTGCAGAAGTATGCGAATATGAGCACTCCCTTAGTTTTAGAGCTTCTAGAATTGGAAAAAAGGTGTTTATATTCGTAATACGGACAAGCAGTTGACACTCCTCTGGTATAAGTTCTTTCAATAAATGTATTAATTTAAACTTGAGTTGCTTTAAGCTGGAAAAATTGAGAACAGTTTCTGAAAATATTACAGAAGGGTGAATCACAAAAACTTGGGAAAGCACCCTTGTCGTAAAAATACCAACAAGATGAAGTCGTTTGCATAATTTTTACTCACCCGCCAGCAATCCCCGTGTAAATCCAGGGATCGTTGTCTCGCATAGCGAACGATTCCGGACCATTCAAGATCTCACTCAACTTGATATTAGGATTCTTCAGGGCTTCATTTGGTTCGTATATCCCATCAAGGGAATCAAACTTGAATCTATTTTCAAGAAATAAATTGCATTTGACAATAACTGAAAGAAAACACAATCATACTTTTCGGCGGTGAAAAATCCGATGGGATAAAAGGCAGGCAGGAAAACCAAAGGCAGCAGAGCCAAAACTCGCAACATTTCAGCAACACAAAGCGGAGCACTATGAAAAAAGGGAATTCGGCATTAGCAATGCATTTCACTCATACTAAAATTGTCAGATCCCAGAATGACTAGCTTCCATGCCACAAAACCGAGGTTTCACGCATTCAAAAAGGCTATCACTTGATACACGAACTTCCTAGGAAAAAAATAAAACAAAACAACAACACTATAATAACTAAATACGATAACAAGCTCGGAAAAACCATTCAAAAAGTAAATTAAAGCAGAGACTTCGTGATCAAATGACTTTTCTTGCAATTCACATCGCCACCGAGTAAATTCACCACGAGAAAAATGCCGCCTAGTCCAACGCACCTTTTCAGAAAGAAGTAATGTGCTGAAATTACACAGGTGTAGAAAAAATACAGTAGACCCCCGAATATGCGTATTTTTTCAAGTTTTACTAAAGCTATGAACATTGTTAAAAGCTATCAGTTCCAAAAAGTTAGCTATCGATTATATCTCATAACATTCCACAATACCGCGTAAATACTACACTGTAACCAGTATTTACACATCCAAGAAAAGCCATCATTTCTAAAAGCGACAATACAAAAGCCTTTCAATTGAACCAGACCTGAGAAAAATTTCGTAAATTCGATTTTCACAGACATGTTCACACGAGGACCAACAAAATCCTGCCAGCTGTGTTATTTACTGTCCGAAGCGTTTAAAATCAGAACAAATTTTCGATCTCTGAAATTTCGAAAATTTGCATCAAAATCGATTTTTGTGTCAAAAAGCTACACAGTAATCCAAAAAATCTGGAATCTAAAATAAATCTTGAATACTCGCTTTCGAATTTCATATGTTTCGGCCACAAAAGGTGTCCTGTATTGAAGCAACTGCACTGTAAATGTATCAAACGATTTCTGGAAACATCCGAACTCTATGGAATTATCAATATTTCAATCAAAAAGCTCAAATCGACGAAATCACAACGAAGAAAAAAATTCATCTTCAGCAACGTTATCCATCATGGCCGGATCAGACTTTCGATGGCATCTGGATCCACAGAATTTGAGGAAAGATTTGAAGGTTTTCAGGATATGCTTATTCTGTGGAAAAACAGTAAAGCGTTCAGAAAACGTGATCAACCAGATCAAACACAAGAATTTATCGGTATCTGCGAGAAGTGAATTAATGATAAGTTTTCATCACGAAAAAATGGGAATTCGAAGATTCCACGATGATTGGATTGAATTGAAATACGGCAATAATTTTGATTCGACCTCTAACTTCAAACAATTATTCCGTTCTTCTCATATTTGTCCTATATGCAAGCCAGGATGAGCGCACTTTATTATGCCTAGTTGCTCACCGCACATCTTACTTATGCATGGAGAAAATACAAATGACGAACATTTTAGAAAATTTAACATGATCATTGATGGAAAAACAATTAGGGTATCAGCCAATATTGCATTTATCCTCTTCTTCTGCTCCATCCGTGCTACAGATTTCTTAGTAAAACGTACGAAGTGTCACTGATTGTCCAAAAGACTTATCTGCTGCATTGGATTCCCAGTTCATTATTACTGGATAAAACATTTAACAAAAAGTCTGTGAAACATTTTCCCCCGACCGTGAGGAAACCAGACAAACTTCGTATAAAAAAGTACCTGATCGAACCCGTTCTGTTGAAATATACCTCAAACTGTGATTTTGAAGTCAGACGCAGTATACGGAGTAGCAAGAGCGATCTTCTCTGTGGTTGCCGGCCCGCCTTCAAAAAAATAAATTTTCGGTTGTTCGAAACAACTACTGTATGAACAAGAAAAAAGCCCAAACTCACTCAGATTCCACCAGTCCGTAATATTTTTGTCATTTCTAGTTGCCTGAACTGCCTGTTTAACGGCGAACAGTGAGCACACGCTCATGCATAACGCTGGCTCGCCAGTTGCTGAATAAAAACACGTTCTATTGAAATTATTATTTAAACAATAAACATTATCCATCCCACCTTTGGATCGTCGGAAGCCGAAAGGATTTTCTGAGTTTTGCAGGAATGAAACCCTGAAGTCGATCGGAATATCTTTGCACAGCGGAGGCTTGTACTCCTGTAATTAAATGAATATTCCAGTTAGGTATGATCATGAAGATTTAGGAGTGAAATGACGAGCTGAATAGCTCACCCAAGTTCTGTTCGTCAGATGTTCACCAGTTCTCGGATTGTATTTGATTTCTTCCTGAAGCCAGTAACCCAAACCCATCACAAAACTTCCTTCCAGCTGACCAATGTCGACTTCCGGACTAAGACTCACTCCGACATCTTCCAGAATATCCGCTCTCAAAACCTGTAAGATATTAAAAATTTTTTTTTCTCAAGAGGTAACGAATTCCAGAACACCTGCTGCGAGCAAGAATACTGCAGTACAATTTAAAATCGAGGGACAACAACTAGCAGTCAACCTGAACGTTTGGTATGAATACGGGAGTTTATCAGAACTCCAGCGAACAACCGACTAATTGTCCATGCAGGCAATTGAAGCCCAGTGATTAATTTTTAACATTTCTTTAAAAAATAATAACTCCATAAGGTTATGCATTTCATTATGAACCAATCAAGTTGAGAGTAAATCAGAAACCATTCGAAGAAACTGATACGCTAATCAAATGGGGAGCATTCAAATAAGTAAATGAAAATAAAAAAATCTGATGCTTCCACGCGATATCAGTCAGTTCTTTCATTTTTTTTTTAATTCCACATTTTCTTTGAGATTTAAATCAGTCTTTCCCATCAGCTGTTGAACAGCTGCATCCATTGAGCGCAAGTTTCTAAAGAATCTTCCAAAAATCTTCGGAACAACTAATTTCCTACAATTTTCAAAGCCCCCAGCGGCAATCGTGAGGCGCAAGTATTCGTCCCTGAACAGTTTAAAAATTTTCCAGGATTTTGTGAGACATCCATGATATGTCCCTCATAAAACAGGCGCCCTCCTTCATACAGGGCACATATCCGTCATACAGAAGGGATTCTAAAATCGTCGCCAATTTGTCTCAGTGGAACGGGATTTAATCTTACAAGGAAGGAATAATGCAAGTGAGTCACACGAGTTTTGATAAAACCCTGAAGACTGCCAAGACTGCAGAACTTCAATGACATGCGAAGTGCAATATTTTTTTTTTCACACCGGGAAGTTTTACATGAAAACACATACCTGTTTCTCTCCCGTGATCACGTCAATTTCTACTTCAGTACAAGCAAGGCCGTAAACAATATATGGCTTCAAATCTGGATTGCCACCGACCGAACTGCAGAAAAAAAGATAGTCCACAATTATGGATGATAATACGAGGGAAATGCACCAGCAACTTACTAGTAAGTAGCCCTCAAATCTATTCCAGCATTGAAGCTTTTAGCAACCCACTCAACCCAAGTCAAGTCCTTGTTCTCTTTCGCTTTAACCGGTTGCATCCGGTTCAACAAGTCTTTGCAGGCCTCTTGCGTTCCCTACGGAAAAAAGGTAATCATGAATCAGTCTTCGGTCCATAAAAATGTCCCTGAAGAATTTGTTTTCAGGTAAAATGAATTAGGTAAATTTAATATTTTTCAGCATTGATTTGGCCGCGGCCTGATCGCGTTACGCCGTCAACAATTTGAGATAAGAGGGGAAGCATTTCTTGACAAATAGCTTCATGAATGACTTGACAACTTGAAAGCGCTCCAAGGGCACAAGAGGAACTCACATAGCAACACATTTCACTGCCCATGCTGCCTCCAGTGACAGCGGAATTAGCATTTGTGAAGCTGTCACTGGGCCTGATCATGACTTTGTCCATTGGCACGCCGAGGGTTTTCGCAGCAACTTGTGCAACCTTTAAAAATATTACCACGTTTGAAAACGTAGAAATTGACGGGAAATTTTTTAAACCTCACCTTGGTGTTCAACCCTTGTCCCATTTCACAACCACCGTGACTGACCGTAACAGTTCCGTCATCATGAAAGACGGATACGGATACAGCGAACCGGAAAAAGGGCGGATATCCGCACGGGTATTTCATCGGGACGACCGACAAACCGCGTTTCTTCCACACATTCGCCTGCCGAGAACAGCCGCAAATCAATTTAAACTTCCTGTGAGAATAAATAGCCTAAAATCTTTGAAGTACCTCATTGTAAGCTTGAATTTCACTCATGCGTTTCTCCAGCTCCGCAGATTTCTTGAAAATCTCCACCATTTCAGGAAGCCCGTTTGGCTCGGCGGGAGATCCGTTCATATCCAATTCTCCTTCTTTAATGAAGTTGACTTGCTTCACCTCAAAGGGATTCTTCTTGAGTTTGAATGCTATGTGCTCTACGATGTGCTCGATTATCGCAATCCCCTCAGTTGTTCCTGTTGAATATAAAAAATCCATTAGGATTTCAGAATAATTTCGTCCATGATCAGAAAATGCAGCGGTAGTTAAGACGAAGGGGAACAAAGTCAAACCCGAGAAAAATGCAAAACCAAAATAAATCAGAACAGGATGTCAAAATTAATTTCAAAACTATCACAAGAAAGAATCAACCCCAGGAATGAAAGAAAAACCAGCAAACGTCAGTGAGAAGGGATATCGTTATTTTGTCAAATCAACATACTTCGTTACTAAGTCAATGTCACTCATGGATGTTGTTCATCCACACAGGTTCTCAATTAAATTATGTTTGCTTATCTTGTTCACAGACTCTGCCACTTTAACATTTTTTTTCATCACAGCCATCGCTCCCGACACTTTTTTATCTCAGAAACATTTTTCATGTTGCCACGTCGTACCCGAACACCGTTTCACAATACAGTAATTCGTTGACGGAAGAAAAAGCAGCACGAGGGACAAATCATAAGGTCACCTGGTGATCTAGTCCAGGTATTGGATGGAGTATTCGTCAAAACCGCAACAGGCATGTAGTTCCATTTCGGAGAGAAATAACAATTTTGAGCCATGCTGAGGCCAAATGTGATCGGGCTTTCATTCACCGAGTGTCCCACGTCACCGTAGATTTTGGCTTTCACGGCACGCAGTTTCCCGTCATCTTCAAAGCCAGCCTGGGCATAAAAACAGAAAACTTGAAGAACGAAAAAAAGCTTGAACATAAGATTCTCTCTGAAATTTTCGGATTTCTTTATTTGAGCTTCAATACCAGGCCATAATTTCTGGAACGCGTGTCTTTGATCGGCATGTAGGCCAAAATTAACTGGATCTCATCAAACTAATCCACTACCAAATGCGTTAATCTTAACGTATTTTAACACAAGTTAGCCTCAATAGAACTTTCAGACTTGAGGTAACACCCACAATACGGCGAATATAATTGCGGAGTCGAGGTTTTCAGGCATTGACGTTGAAAAAATCTGATCATTTCAGCAAACCATCTCATATCAGAATCTATATTACCCTTTAAACTTAAAAGAAACGAATTCAGCTACAAGCCTAAATTAAACTGAATTGCGCCACGAATTATGACGAAAACTCGCATTACCATCTGACAATCCATGCATTGTATTAAAATAAGGAGCATTTCGGGGTTAGATATCTGGAGGAGCCTCAAGTCCACAGGCATCTCGCAATTGTCGGCGAAATTTCATTTTGATTTAGGCCACTTACAACACCAGGGCATTGGAAGGAATTCATATTCTTTTAGTGCTTCACGATTTTCCAGGAGAAGGTAGTCATAAACCGGACAGCAATTCTGCATTACAGTATTCTAAAATATCTGTTTTTCATTTCACCTGGTATTTGACGATATATGCCGTTCGTTTCCCAATGATGGCAAGGTTCGTCTCCATGTCAAGAGCCATTCTTACAGGCTTTCGCAGCTTGTAAGCAGCCAACGCGGTCGCAGCAGAGATTTGGTTCGGTCGCGTAATTTTTCCTCCATATGCTCCTCCACAGCGCCTGACAACGACGTTTACGCTATAAAAACGAAAAAAAAGAGCACCATCAATATCAAATAGTTCGTAACGAGAACTTATTGATTACCTGTTTTCAGGAATATTTAAAATGCTAGAAACTGCTAATTGAACTTTGTCAATCCATTGCGTGGCAGCAAAAACGTCGATTCCGTCTTCCGTTGGTCTGCAAACACAGACCTGCGTTTCTAGGTAGAAGTGATGCTGGCTGCCGAATTCCATTTCCCCGACAATCCTTTGAGGTGCCTTCAACAAGTCATCTTGGTGAAAAAATTAAAATTCAAGATTATTCATGACTGCAGAGAGAAAAATCAGAAGATAATCTCAAGGATAACTATACGCGAGACAAACGATTACCAAATTTCATAATTCTATCCTCCGAAAAAATATCCATAACAAATGAAGGCGGACACTATCTAAAACGAAATTCAGGGGACCAGAAGAACATTTTTTGTAGAGAACCCCCATTCCATGGGTGGAAAACATTACGGGGAAAAACTTCGTTACATAAATCGTTGTAGACGGACCTGCATATAGCAAGGGACTTCAAACATTTGCATAGCCCTAAAAAAAGATTAATTCCAACTTTGGAACTAGTGCGAATTGAAAGAAGACACACTTTCTTTTCGGATAATAGCTCAAAATGTTGTCGAAAAAATTCAATTCAGATTAAGAACGCACCTTCCACGTCGACTTTAGCCAAAGGATGCTCTTGCTGCACGAAAACTTCATCCTGATCATCCTTCTGCAAAGCTTGTCGTATGTCGACCAATGGAGTCTTGATATCATCGTACTCGGCCGTTACTGCTAGGGAAGCAGCTTTGGCGATTTCAACGGTTTCAGCGACGATGATACCGATCGGTTGACCATGAAATTTTATTTGCTCAGCAGCCAAAACCTGAGCAAGTTTTTGAAAAGAAAAATGTTAACAGAATCAAAACGTATGACAAAAAATATACATTGTATCCCTGAAAAAGTGGGATCCATCCTGACGAGTCAAGGCATCCCATAGTACAAAATTCGCATTCATTCGATTAAAAGCCATGACCAAAATTTCTAAAATACATCATAAATTATGGAAGTTTACATTAATATGATGAAGCATCAAGTACAACATTTAGGCAATGAAAGTTCACGCAGACGATGGACTATCGAAAAATATTTTGTCAGCAGAAAATTATCAAGAGAATGAATTTTTTCGGGTCAACGTGGATATTCTACAGCAGCAATTTGTTGGCACTTATCCACAACTGTTTTCTGAGCATAATGCATCCAATCGGGAAGAAATGGAAAATAAATGCTGTCTGAATCAGAAAAGCGACAGAATTCTTAAGAAAATGACATGCGTTTCAGCAAATATAGATTTTTTTCAAAAAACAATTTAAAACATATTCATAGAAAAGTCTGCCGTGCATTATTGGAAGAAAAAATGAATAAGTGAGATCTGTTAATTTTGAAGAAAATGGGTAATTCATCATTAAGAATACCTCTTCCACTCCTTCTCCTTGCATGAAGTCATTGGCTCCAGGAATGTCTTTCGCGGAAAAGAAACCAGCCACTCCAGGCATAGCCTAGAAGGAAAATCAGAATTTATCAAACGTAAAGAGCGAACATTTTCGACATTTCCCTTACCAGTGCCTGAGATGCGTCAATCGACTTCAACTTCGCTCTGCCGTAGGAGGCAAGAACAAACACGGCGTGAAGTTCTCCGGGCAACAACGGGATATCATTCGTATACTGTGCTTCACCTGAACAGGATTCAAAAAGAAATACAATTGACAAAAATGAATAAAGTTTTCAGTTGATTTTTAAAAAATTAACGTACCCGCAGTTTGGTTCCAAGCCTCGATCTTAGGAATGGGTTTGGAAATCGGGTAGTCTTTTGGATCCGACGTAATTTCTTGTTTTCCGGACGAAATTTCGCGGCTTAGATTAGTCGCTCCGGATCGCAGCTTTTCAGGAACCGCATCGCCCAAAACTCCTAGGATAAACTAAAAAGGAAATTGTTCTTAATCGATGTACTCAAATGTTTTTGGAATTGAAGAAACTTATAAAAGATGCGAACATATTGGATTCTGCAACTTCAAAAATAATTTTTTGGTTTGCAAGATGAATAATTTAAAAAGAAATCCAAGTGAATCAACTTTAAATCATACCACTTGGGCCTAATTTGCATTATTAAGGTAATTTGAAATCGGATTACTTTGCATTTATTTAAAAGGGGATGAAATTCGGGGAGAGATTACTTCGGTTCACAAAAAAAAAATAACCCGTCTGTGGTTAAAAAAGCAAGTATTCAGCTTCAATACATCTGTTTTGAACGAGACACAGTAATGAAAAAGTTGATTTGTCAGCTACAGTATTACTATACGATCTTCAATTCACTGGAAAAACCGCGACAATGCTTACCTTGTAAAGCAGTCCTTGAGCCAATCTCGCACGATACGAAAAAGACGCTTCAACATCCGTTTTGGATTCCTTCAATTCTCCTCCTAATACCGCCAATGCCTCTTGCACAACACTTTCTTCTGTCAACTTCTTGCCCGTCAAAAATTCTTCGGTTTCTTTCGCATGGACCTAAAAGTGAATCCGAGTAATCGAAAAGGAGCACTCGCGCACCAGAATGCTGGAAATTCAGTTCCAACCTGCTCAAATCCATCTTTCAATTGAATTCCTCCGAAAACGATACTGGGACGACCTTTAAGCAATGCTTCAGCCCCATCAACATCGGCAACGAACGCAGCATTAACGTAGGCGTGGGCATTTTGCAGCCTGGGCGTGATCTTGAAGGTGCGAATCCGAATATCCGGCGAGAGTGGAGGAAGTGATACTGAGCGAATAACCTTCTTATTCATGTCTTCACATAACAAGGCATTCAACGGAATTTGCTTTTCGCCATCGGGGCCAGCTGAAAAACAAAACCCACAGCAAATAAAATACCATCAACCCTACAATAGTATTGGCATATCACATTATTCGAGTCAAATTTACATTGGAGATACGAATCTATATTTTCGCCGAAGTACTGTATTTCAAACGATAACGTAAAAATGATTATTTTCCATTATTAAAAGAAAAGATTCTTAAACTCACAAGAAACATGAAAGCATTCCGTTTAAAAGGGAATACAGTATCAACGTGAACTTTGTTTTTGTTCCCTTCGGAACTTGCGAATTGGAGAAATAGAAAGAAAAAAAAAACCCCCACAGGCTAGGACCCCGATAAAAAATTCCGAACACTTCCTACAGACAGACATTTTCCTTAACAGTACTTCGAGAAATTAATCAATAACAGAATTATTTTGGCACTCACCAAGAACAACAGATGCACCCACAGCTTCGAATATCGTGAACAGATCTGACTGGAACTCATGATGTGCATGTTTAAGCATAAGATTGCCGCCAACACTCCCGCTCTACAAAAAATGATCGATTGTAAAATATCAGAAGAATTCGAACGCTACGTTCTCCTTTCATTTCATTAAAAACACCTGATCAAGGGAAAAAAGCAAAAGAATCCTCACATTTCTAACAGGAACGTTCGCCACGCGTCCCAAGTGTTCAGCCAAAGCGGTCACATATTTATAAGAAGTTTCCGTAACTGACACATTCTTCAGGGTCTCAATGGTCTTTGTCAGAGAAACTCCGGCTCCAATGCTCAAGCCATTTGACGTAGAAATGGCGAACAGTTCCGGCACTTGATTCAAGTCAATGTAAGTGTCTCCCTCGGCGACATCCCGATGAACACCTAAAAAAATGGACGAATTCCGTACTTCAAAACGAAGAGTGACGAACTGAAGATTCGGAAAATACCCCGGCCAGTGTTGCCGACAACGAAACGAATTTTTCCCGAGGCTTTAGAAAGAAATGCTTTCACGTCTTCTAGGGAAGTGGGACGAATCCATTCTCCGGATTTTAGGTCAAGTTGCAGGGCTGCTGGCAATCTAGGTGGTCCAGAACAGGTCAATGGAGTGCAGGGTTTCCCCTCGAGCTTGCCCTGACAGGCAGTCATGGTCTTAGGACAAACGGCATCCTTCAGCACGTCCTACCATCAACAAAAGATGAATAATAATTGTGAGTCCCATTTGATAAAATACACCGGAGGTTTTCACGCATTTATACTCAAGGCGACCGTCTTGAGATTAATTTAGTCCGTAATTTTTACTTTGATCGAATTAAATATTGATTCTACTGTATACAAATTCACAAGGGTTCAAGTTTTCGCGCCCATCACTCATCTTTTCGAACGGAATCAGTGTAATTCATAATATCAATTCATTTATCATCTTATTTATCCTTTTTTTTTCTTCAAGCTGCCACGAAGTCCTCCGGATACCAACAGATATAATTAATCAATATATACCAAAACATCTTCGCTCACTTTCGAAAATTCATTTTACAGACATGAAGTATTTTTCCAGAACATTTTCTCCATTAAAAGAATAAAAATGCGCATGGATTACCCTGACACATTTTGCATGATTCAAAGTACGATAATGATTCTTGAAGAAGTACAGCACTTGCCTACTCCTGTATGATACAGATGAATGATTACTGCCTTTTTTCGGGACATCTTTAAACTTTATAATGAATTCACACTAGAGTTTCTATGAGGTATTGCCCAACACGTAGAGAAGGAATTCAGGTTGATTTTACCTGAAAAACTAAACCTGGGAACCCGACTCTTAATTTAAACGAAATTAAATTATGCGAAGAAATTCAGGGATCGGATCTGACGATTTCAACTGAAAAGCTGAACTGACAGATTTAAAAAAATTTTCGACGAACTTGAATTGAATATGTACCTCTATGTCACCAACTTTCTTCTTCAACTCGGGAGTGGCATCAGAGGCAAAAGATTTAAAAGCATCCAAAATCGGCCGATATCCTGTACAGCGACAAATATTGCCATCAAAGCTCCGCTCAACATCCTCCATCTTGAGGTTTGGGTTGCTTTCCAACAAACTGAAATTGAGGAGATGTGAATAATCTTCCTCGATCGAAGCATAAGTTAATACTGTATCACGAAATACCTGTACATATTCATCACCATTCCTGGCGAACAATATCCGCACTGAGTGCCATTGAAATCCGCCAAACGTTTCTGGATCGGATGATAGCCGTCGGTTTTGTTGCCGATTCCTTCAACTGTTTTGATGCTCCAACCATCGCACGAGTAGATCGGCACTAGACACTGACATAAATTTGACAATAAACTTGGATTCTCAATTCCAGAGCATCTACCGCTTTTGTGCATGAGAAGAATTGTTCGAATATTGAGTTTTGCATCTTAGATTCACAAGAAAAGTATCAAGCTGATGGCGTAATACGAAAATAGGTACTCAGGTAAATGATTCCGATGATCTATCACAGCCACGAACGATGAATTTCAAATTAAGAACAAAAATGTCAAGGAGCACACATAGACTTTTTCTCCAATTGAATATTTTTTTTTTTGAGGGACATACAGTAGTAGTGCTTGCAAGATTGGCTACTATGAAACATTTTTTTTAGCCTTCCATGAAAATGTTTTTTTTTTAGCAAAGCTCTATGTTTGTGGCGACAAACGATTATTTAGTATTAAGAGTAATTTTTTAATAGGATTTGGCAATACTGTACTGTAAAAATTTGCACGTCTTAATTAAGAATAATTATACTTCTGAACAAGGAAATAAACATATTCACATTGCGTGGGACACTGACGAAATTGATGATAGATAAAATTGTGGTACAGAATTTCATGTAAACAAATTCCGTCAAAGAAAATAATATGTTTCTTAGAAAGTTAGAATCAAGTGCATTTTTCCTTCGGTAAAAAAGGGGCAGTAAATCAGCCTTTGAATGGATTGCTTTAGTGACCAATCATACCGACTATGAATCATTTTATGATCTTACAGAATTCACTGCTTTGGTGACGTGCAGCCTAGAAAACGGATCCATGGTGGTGACAGAAACGGTACATGCTCCACAGCCTCCTTCTTTGCAGAAATACTTAGTTCCCTTCAAGTTGGCGTTATTCCTCAGGAAATCGTTGAGTGACGTAGATGGCGGCAAATCCGTAGGGACTGCAATAAAAATCATCGGAAAGGCAGAAGATAATCAAGTGAGAAATAATTAATCGAAACAAAAAATTATGCACGAGTACTTCCAAAAAATGTTCACTACTTTTGCGTCTACATATCAGTTCGTGAACTTTTGAAAACCCTTTCGTACAATAAATGGCGGAAAATTGCATACTGTACCTTTGAACGATACTCCATTGATGATGACGTTCACGTTGTTGGATAGAAGCTTCATAATGAATAATACTGGAAAAAAGTTTCTGAATCGTACTGCGAAGGGAACAGTTACACAACAATTTAATTTCAAGAAGGATTGAAACGCACAACAAAAAACACAGCCTCAAGAATACTGACGAAACCTCTGAAAATAACGCCAAAACACGCAAGTTGGCGATAAGCACCGTACACACGAACACCGTCCACATTATTCTATCCAGTCCAATATTTTTATACGATGTTTCGCATTATAAATACTGTAGTTGTTAACTTGAAAAAGAAGAAATGTACCAGAAGTTCCATTTGCGACATATGTCGTAAACTTCCCGCTTCGCACCTTTCACTAAATCGCGAACTTCTTGAAGACCAAAAATAACATTCAAAGAAACTGATGTTCCACGAAGACATTTATATCCCGCAAAAATCGTCATTCATTTCAATCATCGAACATTTCACCACAAATCTTTCGGAATCGATCCAAGTCCCGCACTTCCCGCTTATCATATTTACAAATAATTTCCCCTGTTTCTTACGATAAAAGCACCAGATGAAAACGCAAGTCTCGGCGATGTTGCTAGCAAGAGAAATGTTCACTCATTCTATGCACCAAGAAGAAAGGAACGATTCTGACTAGCACTAGTTGCTGGGTGAACGTCTCTTTTTTATCCCGGCACTCCTTCAACGCGTCAGGCGAGTCGCTTCATTTCTCTACTCTGTCCTTCCTTCATAGGCTATCTCTTGCTTCAACTCCAACAGCATCAACTAGACGCCTCAGGATCGAAAACACGTGAGAGTTCTAACCCCTGGGAATACTTCATCCCATCCAGATATTCCCGAGTAACCATGAGTGAGCATGAATCGCAGTTTCATAACCGACAATATGGAATAAAAAAAGAGTTACAACATGGGATGAGACAAACTTCGGTTCGAATGCAGGCAGAAATCGCAAGTCATCAGCACAGTGTGGCACTCATGGAGAAGGAGAGTAAACGCGTCCAAAACCATCTGATGCACGGAAGACGCACAGGGAGGTATTTTTCAGAACATGAATCGCAGTGGTATCGATCTGTTTCACTAACAATTAAAGACACCTGTCGACAAGCCTTCAAACCCAATTCACAATCCCAAGCATCTTCTGAACGCCAATATAGCTAAGGATGTTGTGTCGATGCAATTTCTGAACAACAAAAGTACCAATAGGACGTCCATTAAAAACTTAAATCCGGAAAATAATACGCCGATAACAAATAGCGTTCAGTATGTCAGAAACTCCGTTGCGTAGAGAAAACGGAGTATTAAATTACCTTCGCGTGACATTTGTTCATGAATATCTACAGCTATAAAAAACTGATGATTCAGACGATTCTGGTATATTTTAAATTCAAAAAGTCATACAAGTGATTTCAAGATCGCATGAGTAAATTTAATCTTGACATTCAGCTGCTTTTTCACTTCTGTACCCATAATTTATCAGCCGAGGAATGATTACAGCAAGTATTTGAAAATGGGCACCTCGTTAACTTGAATAAAGTAATAGAATCAACTTCATCCATTCCGAGGCTGATTCTGATTTATGAAAGGCAAAAATTATTTGTTTTATGCTCATGTTGAAAGGTAATTGCATGGGAAATACTCCGTTCTCCACTTGAACGAACGCGAAACTCGCAAGTCATCGGCTTATGTGACACTCGAATTCGTTCGTCTACAACGAGCAAGAGATAACGAAAAAAGACGCAGGCTAGATGAGCAAGCAAATCGTCGAAATGAGACCAAGGCTTTCGCTGAACACACGCTATCACTTTCCTAGCAGCACTGAAACACCTGAGGAAGGAAGATTCGATTACAATTTCACACCAAAAAAAGTAAGATCTCGTTTAAGCAAGGACAGCGTAGAATAAGTTTTTATTACCACGACGCCAGGGGCAATCTTTTCACTCACTTCCCGATGTAAGTTCTAGTGGTTTCACTCGAAAACGTCCCGACGCTGGCAGAGAGAAAAAGTAGGGCATCCACAAATAATTCAAGAGAAATCGATGCTCAATAGCCCAGATCTGCCACCACACGCAAACCAAAAAACTCAAAACCAAGAGTTCGCGGCTCGGACTCATCAACCAAAAAAAAAGAAATTCCGCACACCTGTGGAATGATTCCCAGAGAGAAGAAAAACGAAGGTAGCATCGACACCGGCAGAGAAGAATTTTTTTTTCGACCGCCTTTGCAGCGGGGTTTTTCTTGGAGCAACATGTCAGTTGCGAATGTTTTTTTCTTTCTTTCTTTTTCATTAACTAGACTCGGGTGTTTTTCCACGCTTTTCTTTTTTTGTTCTGCTTAGGTTTTTCTCACGTTCGGGCTCGCAGACGAGATTTAGAACGCCCTACGACCCTTTGTTATCGGAACATTTTACGCTTTTTTTGGCGATTTTGTTTTTCGTCTGATAGATTCTCCACAACTTTTTTTTTTTTCCGAAGACACGCCACCGCAGCATCCTCGCACTCCGTAAAAACACCTGTCACTCCGAGTGCGGCAGTAAATGCGACCAGGCGACCCAGAGTGCCCCCATCAAGTGCGAGACGCCACGATGTACGCGTCAGCAAATTTCATGACATGTTTCCAATTGGCTTTTTTCAATAGTTTTTCAATATTTTTCAATTTTTTTATGCACCTCGACGGTGCGAAGTATTTTTTTCATATTTCCGAACGTTAGTTCGGTATTCGTCATTCTCAGAATTTTGTCAGAAAAATTGCGGCGCCGTTCAAGCACCAAAGAGAAGAAAATAAACACGCGCTGGCTCTGGAGAAACGCTTCCTCGAAAGAAAACGAAACGAGGAAAGAGGTAAAGGGTATGTTTCAACTCAAGATTAAAAAAAAAGAAACCTCGTCGGGTGAAACGACATTCTGGTGAAAGCTAGGGTTTTACTTTTTAAGGAACCGATCGGGGGAGGTCGATCAATTCTCCGAAGGTTGGTAAGCCTCCGATCGATTCCGTGTGCGTTCCGCACAGAGTTTTTCGCTTTTTTTGGTTGCCCCCAAGGGAGCAAATTTTTTCCTAGCGCCTCGAGCTTTGTTTTAATCCAACGTCAACATCATCGCATGTTACCGTTACCTTGATCTCACAGGGAATCAGGGTGAGCAAGGGACATGCTCTCACGACATCGCCAAGATCCGCGACAGGGGTCCACGTGAACCAATTCACGCAACCGTCATCGACTGTGATCATTTAAGGCGACGAAGATTCCCGTCCCCGACCTAGAACGATCCGCTTACCCCGGCCAAGTATCCACGCCACGAGGAAAACGTGTACAACGCGAACACCGCCGTAATTGGGTAGCCGTTCAGGCTTTTGCTGCACGGAGTCCCCCGGAAAGAAGCTGCTCGCGTCGAGTCCCTCCCCCTATGGCCCACCGCGATACAACCTCCTCCTCACGTATCGAATTTCCGCAGCTGTACGCACTGCAAGATCAGCACGTAAGATTGATTTCATTTCCACCAATCATAAGGGGTCGGGAGACAAGTGAACCCCCTTTCTTTTAACATTCACCTACTCCTCATTTGAGAAAAAGTTTCATCATTTAATAAGAAGGTTGAAGTATTTTTTTCGTCTAGCTTCACCAGCAAGGAGCAGGATTTTCGTCGTTCACCCAGTTCTCCAGAACAGCAGCGTTAAAATCATAATCGTGACCATTCCCAGCCTAGAAAGACCGAGGGCCTTACCCTATCTCGTTACAACCCCCATCAATCGGACGCAATTCAAGCAATCTTCATGAACCGTTTTTCTACACCGTGGGGCAGAGAAGAAATGAAAGGACGGAAACGAATGAAACGTAAACAAGTGACGCAAAAATCCGACGAGAGTCATTTTCCCGACCACTAGGAAGAAAAAAGTTGGTGAAATATTGAAGCGTTCGGTTTCGTGACTTCTTGTCGGCTTATTCATCCTTCATCCCGGCACTTGGCCTCGACGGCTGCGAACCTGTCATTTGAGTTTTCGCCTGGTGGGCTTCCAACACGGCAATGGCCTCTTCAACCTGCAAAATAAGGATTGATTAACAAAATATCCGAATGATGTAAAAGGTCGTAAAATGATCAATAACATTTTCAATGAACTAGTATCTAGTAAGCTAGGTTTTCGCAATAATGTATATAAAATTTCCAATCTAGGGATAAATTCGATGTCACAGCAACGACTAGCAACGCACCCTTGCTTTCAGCGAATCTGAATTTTCGAGCATGTGAATCAGTTCGGTGTTGTCAATTTCGAGCAACATGCCGGTAATTTTGCCAGCAAGTTGGGAGTGCATGGCTCGGATAATCGGGAACAAGCGTTCACCAAGCATTTGCTTTTGTTCCGGCTGCGAGGCGGAGGCCAACATTGATGCTGTCAATTCGGGTTGACCTTCAACCGCTACTCCGGTCTGAGTTTGCGGCTTCACGCCCATTGCCTGTGCACCCGGGACAACCTGAGCCGATTGGCCAGGCTGAGGTGGATTTCGCATCGTCGGCGTGTACTTGAACCCTGCTGCAGCAGCGGCACCCGGTGGAACTCCGCCGCGGGGACCAAGCGGTTGCGCTTGTGGCGCCGGGACACCAGCTGGCATGACACCCTGCGGCGGGACGCCACCGGGTGGTACTGCCATCGTACGAGGTCCAGGCATGGGTGCCATCTGAGGTTGCGGTCGGAACGGTGGGCGGAAGGTCTGCGGTGGAGCACGAGCGCGATATGCTGGAAGACCGTGCGTCGGGAAGCCTGCTTGTGCGCTTGCAGGGCCTCGGAGAGCGCCTGGACCAGGTGCAGCCGCAGGGGGCCATCTTGGTGGTCCTCTGACCTGTAGAATACAAGAAATCGGTTAAATTTATTTACTCTGGATAGACAGTCTTGTATTAGTTTCCTTCTCACAACATGTGGTCGCGGTGATATATTTTTTCAACTTCCGAATTGTTTCGCAGATGAAGCAAGATTTTTGTTAGGATAGGAACATTACTTTTTCAAGGCATCAGATCACCGTTCAATTCAATTATATATGGGGAACAGTACATGATTTTCAAAAACTGTTTTTAGTGTTTGATCAAGTTCGATACTCGGATTCAAGAAGGGAATCGGGCAATTAAGTGCAGTTCAAACGAATGGAAACGTAGGAAGTTGGGTTCCAACGGCAGGTAATTATTTGCAGTCTCGAAAACATTCGGTCAAGAAAAAGAACACACCTGTTGCATTGGAGCTTGACTGTAGAATCTATTCGGTTGGGCGAGCGTTGGAAGATAGAAGTTACCGCTCGCAGCTGCAGCGACGGCCCCAGCCATTGATGGCGGGAAGGCCTGCGGTCCCAATTGCTGCATTCTAAGGTTGGCCATCCGTTGCATGTACTGTGATGCTAGATGCGCTTTACGATCTTCCTTCCTCTGAGCCAAAGCAACATACAGCGGCTTCGAACCAACGATTCGACCATTCATCTCTGTGACAGCTTTAGTGGCTTCTTCCGGAGACGAGAAACAAACGAACCCGAATCCCTTGCTCCTAGTTTCGTCAGTCATGACCTGATGTAAGAAAAGGGATCATTGTTACGTAACCCATCACTAGCAGCGCCGCTTACACATGAGTTACGCAACTACTTCACTCTGGTATTGCAACATATGTCCACTCGTTATCCTAGGCAACCCAAGTTTGAATTACCACTTCAGGATTAACGGGTATTCGCTTTAGCCTTTTGTACAACTCCACGGTTATTTTGAATCACACGTGAAGCAGTCATTGAGGCAGCTTAACCGGAAACTATTTTAATGCCTGGAAACGGTGATCAAGCTATCGTTTTCGTTGTCGACATAACACTTCTGACGCACCACGCACGTTAATTGTCAGTGGATGCCAAGATTTTGAACCCTACGAAAAAGAATCTTACTAACGGAAAGAGATGTATTATTCCAACATATCGGCAGACGAAAGTGAAATTAGCAGTGGGTCGAACTTGAACATGGACATTGAACAATTGGTTAACCGTGGTGATGACAAAATGATCGTAGATATTCTAATACTTTTAACAGATGCCGAATTCAACTGAACATCCAGTGAAAACGATGCTTTACAGCGGGTGAAGTACGTCATGCCTCACCTTCGCACTCGTGATGGTACCGAAAGGCTCGAAATCCTTCCTCAATCGCTCGTCATCGATAGAGTCATCCAGGTTCTTCACATACAAGTTAACTCCCTGATAACGGTTTAATCGCTCCATTTTGATGGCCTCGAACTTCTTCTTGAGCTCCATTTGACGTTCGCCTTTCTTCTGAGCACGGCCTACATACAAAACTTTTCCGTTGACCTCCTTGTTGTGAAGCTCTTCGACCGCCTTCTCAGCATTCAGTGCATCCTCAAAAGCAACGAACCCGAATCCCTTCGCCTTGCCGTCGTCACTGGTCATGACTTTACACGATGTAATCTTCCCATACATGCTGAAGATCTCCGCGAGCTTTTCGTCATTCAGATCTTCTCCAAAATTCTTGACGAAGACGTTCGTGAACTTTCGTGCCTTCTCGCCCATCAGCTTTTCGCGCTCCTTGCGAGGAATAAACTTGCCTACGTAAACCTTCTTGCCGTTGAGCAACATACCGTTGACTTTCTGAATGGCCTGATTCGCTGCGTCTTCCGTCTCAAAGTGCACGAAGCCGTAGCCTTTCGAATTGCCAGCTTCATCTGTTGCTACCTGATGAACAGAAAAGGAAGTTCACAGACATGATTCACGTACAGAAGGAAATAACTAAGACCTTGCAGCTGAGGATGTTCCCGAAAGCTGAAAATGTATCATACATGGCCTTGTTATCAATTGACTTGTCCAAGTTCTTCATGAAAATGTTTCCAACACCAGATTTCCGTAAACTTGGATCGCGCTGGGACCACATGATTCTAATTGGGCGTCCCTTCATGATGTCGAAGTTCATAGTATCTAGAGCACGTTCAGCTAAGAACACGCAGGTTCAGATTAAACGCGTTAATCACGAAGAAATGAGGCAACGTACCATCTGGCGGTTGTTGGAAGTTGACATAGGCATACCCTAAAGATCTCCTCGTGACCATGTCTCTGCATACTCGGATCGAAAGAACTGGACCCGCAGTTGAAAACTTTTCAAACAACATTGCTTCGGTCACATCTTGGTGTAAGTCCCCAACATACAGAGATGCCATGGGGTAACTCGGTCCGCCCGCCGGGATTATAGATTCCATGGTGTTTTAACGCAATTCACAACGCCAAACGCAAAACACGGTAACCAAACGGGGACTAAAGTATTCGGCTCTTCACGCCCGTATTTTTTTGGATTTTTTTTACTTTTTTCGGGCTAGAGTCGAACAGGATAGAAACGAATTATTCGACCAGCATTCCACGCGCGTGCAGGTCTAACGAAAGAAGAGGAATGACTGACGAAATGTAACATCACAGTAAAATGGCGGGCACGACGCGTGACGTATTGCGTCACAAACCAGTTTCTTCGATGATTCAATCATGTGGAAATATGTTTGAATTATAAATGAAAAGTGTACTAAATAAAATAGAAACATGTACTTAAATATACCAAGATTGCCATAGACGTAATGCAAATTATAGGAGAAAATAAAGGGAACTGAATACCGAGAATGCTACAAGCGGCGAGCAATGTATTCAATTGCTTGAAAAAACCGTTCTGATACGGAATCTGCCGAAAACGTAACACTCAAGGTCAATCACGGAAAATTACGCAAGAAATTAATTTTCGATTTCGATGATCACTTTTTGTAGACGAAAAGTAAGAAAATACATTGACTGCGCCAGAATAAAAACATGGCGGCCAGCGAACGCGCGGGAGATTCATTCGATTCGAGCTTCCACGAGTAAAGCTAACGGTAATGTTAAGAAAGAATGAAGGACCGTAGCAGACCGATCCTCCGCAAAATTGGAAAAAAGAATTGAAAATAATCAGATAAATTCGAAAACTTTCATAAGGCTACGTCTCAAAAACCATTTGACCGATTACGCGTAAAACCTTCGATAAGTTCAGTCAATATTTCACGTTAGGGCAGCGTTTAACGTAATAAACGTAGCGAAACTCGGTTCGTAGATGTCATGCTAAATTTACGCTTGCGCATAGCAAGAATTATTTCAGTTATCTTTCTGTCAACGTAACTCCTGACTTGCCCTCTCTCCTACGCAGTTACATTAAACACAGTCATATTTATCCGAGAAGAAATTTTGGAAACGTGAGCGAGATGTTGCGCGTCATATGCATCACATTTATGTTCGCCATCTTCGGATCGGTATTCGGACAGAATCAGTACAACAGAATATCGGTCAAGGTTCCTGTGCCTATTCCAATGAATGAACAAGGTGAATTTCTGAAGGGATCAAGCATTGAATGTTCCCTGGAATCCATATCTTCAATGGAAATACGCGATGATTCGTCCGTCTATCAAGGACAGCCGTTCGAGATATTAAGCTTATTTTTGCACAGAGAAAATAGAATACTCCTTGAGAAATGACTTCCTTTTGAGAGTCTAATATGCATGACTTGCTAGTTGATATTCCCGCTGGAATGTAAAAAATAAATATTTTCTTACCATTTCTGAATGAAAGTAAGGGAAGATATCGACGAGATACAGGCACGAACCAATACGAATATCAACGACAGTGCTAAAGGTCAAGAAGCTTTAACGACGCATGCAGCGTCCACCTTTAATTCATGATGCTCTTTAAAAGCACGTCAGATTATGATGGCTTCACTGTGTTGGAACACTAATTGGTTCAAGCAATCGCGTTCCAATAGGTTTTCCATTGTCAAATGCAATAAGATGTCATATCACTGCAAATCTCCACAATGGCTCCACTTGGAGTGAATGTGACGAGACCGCTTGGGGACTTACGCGCAATTGCCCCAACGATCGCGGAGAAGCACTGTGCGTTTCCTCGGTGGACATGGTGAAGCACACCATTGCCAAGGGCTGCATGACTAGAGACGCCCTTGGAGTCCTGGAACTGATCAGCCCATCGCAGGCGGATGTTTGCAGGGTTTCCAAGAAATACCCAACGCAGTTGTACTGCACATGTGCTGAGGACAATTGCAACTCAGAGATGCTGCTGATGGAGAGACAATGCTACCATTGTCGTGATTGTGGGAGTAAGCTGGGAAGATTACAGTTCTGCTTTTCTCCATATGTTCTATCGAAGGGAATCAGTGGAGCAGGAGAGGTCTATTGTGTTCGGGAAACTGACTACTCAAAAGGAGGACAAATTAACCGATACTGTGAAGCGGTTGATGAACAGCCAGAAATGGGATGCTTTTATCAAGGCTCCAGTTTGAAATGTTACTGTCCAGATGATGCCTGCAACTTTGCTGAACGAGCATTAGCGAATTCAATCGTTACTGCCGCATTTTTGGTTCTTCCCGCAATCTTTACATGGCTTTCTTAATTTTGGAATTTTTTGAATTCTTTGTTTTTATCTCTCATTCTGGATTGATTAAAGCCTGCTGTTATAACTCCTGGATCACCGTTCAATTTTCCCACGCAAGTGGTGGGCCACCCTGCTTTCTTAGTATCGTGAGGGTCCGTCCTACCGTCGATCATCGTAAATTCCTTCCAATATATTTAAATTGACTCAATTCCACGAGTTGATCATGAAACTTGAAAATTTGTGAAAAAATATTCAGTAGTGAAATATTCGTGTTCCTTCGTCATGTGCTTGTTGAATTACAGCCACGGGAAATAGACTAAGCAGTATCTGCGCGGCGCGGATCAGGCATCGTTAAAGATGTCAGTAAACTTGCAATTCATGAAAACGAGATAATGATGGATGATGTTCTCTTTCGAGGCAGAGCCGGTAAATTTGATAACATGTAATAGACTCATTGGTCTGACCGGCATTCTTTTGTGGGGCATGAAAGAATGAAATTGGGATGTCGGCATGTTCGAATTATTCAAGCTTCTGTTCTTCGATTTTTAATAATTTTATATGCTTTTGCTTGATGTTCCAGGGTCGTTCTTGACCTTGAATTAGTGTTCTGATGGACATTTCCACTTGCGTGCCGTGCTGTGATCATCTTAGTTGAGGTTCTGAGAACTTCCGGTTTTAGCATCTTCTCCAAGCCCTTCAGATAATAAGCAAGGTTTCCCTGGAAACCATCATCTTTTGGTCAGTTGTGTGATGTCAATCGTCGCTTCATTGGATCTTCAGCTCAATGACGATGTTCCGGTGCATACCGCTCTTCAAGGGCTGCAACCGTCAAATAGAATATGTCGACAAACGTCACTGCCTTCTGTCAACCATCCCCGACGAAATTCTTCGATATCCTCGAAGTCTAGAAGAACTGTTACTTGACGCCAACAAAATTCGCGATTTGCCGAAAGGGCTGTTCCGTTTGGCGAAGCTTCGTCGGCTCAGTTTAAGTGACAATGAAATCCAACGGATTCCATCAGATATACTTAATTTTGTTAATCTTGTCGAGCTGGATATGTCGAGAAATGGTGAGCTTTTTTTTTTTAATTCGTAGATGGACATGATGATAGTTCTTATTTTTAGACATTCCGGATATCCCGGACCAAATCAAGCACCTCACATCTCTGCAAGTGGCAGATTTCTCCTCGAATCCGATCCAGAAATTGCCGAGTGGTTTTGTACAATTGAAATCTTTGACGACTTTGGGTTTGAACGACATGTCTTTGACATACCTTCCTCCTGATTTTGGTAATCTTTCGAACCTCGAGTCATTGGAACTCCGTGAGAATCTGCTCCGAACTTTGCCCGAAAGCCTTTCACAATTGACTAGATTGCAGCGCCTTGACATAGGAGACAACGAGATCGATGAACTGGTAAGTTTGTGCATTCGTACTGGATTTCATTTTTTCATAACGTATATTTCTGTGAACTTTCAGCCGGTAGCCATTGGTGATCTGCCATCATTGCAAGAACTGTGGTTGGATCATAATCAACTAACAACTTTACCGAAGGTGAGTGAGGAAAGATTTTGTGTGCGTTCCTACAAATGAGACCTATTCCTTGAATACGATGTTTTCAAACAATACTATGCGACAATAGACATAGGCTTCGTCATAATAGCCACCAACTGGAATGAAAGTGTAATACTTCAGTGTAGGGGTTGAAGATTTTAATGCAGTGGAGCACAATACAGTGAATTCGAATGGTTTCTATATTGACAAAAATTTATATTTCTTGCAACAAGGATTTCTCGTGAGTGAATTGCTGAGATGAAATGAGTAATCAAGAGGCAGAATAAAAGTAGGGAAAAGCAACTGTTGGTCTAGGTAATTTTCAAGTTCTTTTGCCTGTATCTGTGCTTCCGCGTTCCGAAACGTCGAGCGAGCATTCGTTTAGCGATATATTTTCTTGATGTAATTTTGAAATAAAAGCTACCCTTACTATAGCCTGGTGTACTCTTCTGGAGGAAATATCGGTACACATGTCAGTCCAATTTTGCAATTTTCAGAGCATCGGAAATCTGAAGAAGTTGATGTGCCTCGATGTGAGTGAAAACCACTTGGACGAGCTTCCGGAGGAGATTTCAGGCTTAGTTGCCTTGACGGATTTACATTTGAGTCGAAATTACCTAGAACGATTGCCGGATGGTATCGGTGCTTTGAGCAAGCTCACCATTTTTAAAGTCGATCAGAACCATCTTTTGCGTCTGAATCCAGCTATCGGCAAATGTGCGAGTTTGCAAGAAATCGTTTTAACTGAAAACCGGCTTGTGGATTTGCCGCGTTCGCTTGGCAACTGCGTGGAAATGACGAACTTGAACGTTGATCGTAATGCGCTTAGTGCCGTTCCTTCGGAAATTGGAAGACTGACGAAATTGGGCGTTCTTTCGATGAGAGATAATCGTCTGGAAGCTTTGCCGGCTGAGATTGGAGACTGCGTCAGTCTGGCTGTGTTGGACGTCTCTGGGAACCGTTTGAAAAATTTGCCAATTACTTTGACTAAGTTGAGTTTAAAGGCTATCTGGCTTTCTGAGAATCAGTCGCAGTCGTTGCTCAAGTTCCAGGCAGAAGTTGACGAAGAAACCGGGGAACAAGTACTCACGTGTTACATGCTGCCCCAGCTTTTCCACGGCGATGAAACAATATGTAAGTTTGCCATTATTATTTTTATGATTGTAATTCGAACAGCGATGTCCTGGAAACATAGTTATTACCTTAGTTACGTATTATAGTTACCTGTTATTCGTCGCCGTTCTGTTCTGTTGAGTAATCTGTCGTTGAAATGTAATCTGTCTCTTAGTTGTGGTACTGTATTCGTATGAGTTAACGCAAAGTCGTATTGTTTTAACGGGCGTTTCCATGTACAGTACTACATTCTATCGGAATGAAGTATGGTAGATCGTGATGCCAGAAATCGGTATCGTACTGAACTGGATTACGAAATTAAAGGCTTGCCATGTACCGCACTATGATAGCTTCATTTTTGAAGATTAAGTGTTGTGAAAAATGTCGTTTTGATAAGTTTATACAGATAGATAGTTTAATTGCCGGATCCATGCGAAGTGGCCGTCTTATTTTTTGTATGACTCTGTCATTACAACCGCAGTCTGCCAAGATAGAAAAAGAAAGCAATTACAAAAAATAATCCTCCAAAAGAAGGGAAGAGGTTATTTAAGAATGTATGCTTTTGCTTTCCGTAGATCTGATTTTTAATTCGTTGACGTGTGAGGAATATATAAAGCCTCGAGATGCCTTATTCTTCATAATCAAATTTTCTTACATTATTCTTAGCAGGCTCAGGTCGCCTGTACCGGGCCAACGGCGAGGTCTGTGTGACCGACAACGGCATCGTATCATTCGACTCTGAACCGACGCGTCGCAGCTCGAGCTTCGACAACAGCAAGCACGTGTCTAGCGACGACGACGACGCTGAAAAATCCCCGGTGCAGCGGGAAGTGTCGCGCTCCTCCGTCGTCAAGTTCGACGCGGAAGACAACGAAAACGACAAGGAAACGCACTTCGTCCGCCACAATACCCCGCATCCGCGGGAATTGAAAACCAAAGCTGCCAAGCTTCTCGCCAAGAAGGGCGAGATGGTGAAGGCCGTCAACGCGAAAGACCGACCCCGCGACGAAGACGTCGTCGTCGAGGAAGAAGAAGAAGGAGGGGTAGAACAAGAAGGAGAAGAGGACGACGTAGGACAGCGTCGTGTCGTCGCCGATGGTTTATTAACGTCGGAAAATCGTGAAATTTACGAGTTGGAGGGAAATGAAACTGCTTTATTGGACGAGTCACTGCCTGCTTTCGAAGCTGTTCCTGCGCACCGTGAAGAAGTTGACTCTCGCGTCTCTGTTGATGCACCCACCGAAGAAACCAAAGAAGTCCCTGTTGATTCGGAGCTTTCGTTTGATTCAGCAGCTAGTAGTTACGCGGAACGTCACGTGGGATTCGCTCTGGAAGGACGTGAAGAAGATGAGGAAGACGATGATGCGGAATGCTATGACGATGATGGGAAGCGGCCGCAACGATTGCATCGTCGTGATACGCCGCATCACCTGAAAAACAAACGCATCAACCTGAACAAGGTCGATGAGGAAAAGGCTGCTGATTTGATTGCTCAGGTTAGTCGTTATTTTAACTCTAATTTTTTTTTTTATTCAGTGAAACTTATGAACAGGGTAGAGATCCTCAGTCTGTGCTCTTTTTTTTTTATCAAGACGAACATAAGAAAATTGAAGCATTATACAAGACAGGTATACTGTATTAGAATAAAAGGTTTCAGGTTTTTATTCATTCCTTAATTTTTTCCTGCACATCAGTGAGACTGTAGGTCTGTGCAGAGGTTCTCAATAGTTGCCCCGCGGCTTCCTCTTTGATTCTTAATGGCTTACAAAGAAATTGAGAATAATACAGGTGGACTTTCCCTACACCGATTTTCTCCGTACAACGAAATTTGTTTTGGTCTCATATGGTTTCTCCCTGTATTTTAGGTTTTCTTTACAACGATATCTCTCTACAAATAATTTTGTTCAGGTCCCTTAAAGTTCTTCGAGGGAGAGTCCATCAGTAAATGAAATGTGTTACAACGTATGTTCGCTCCTGAAGCAAGATACAACTGTGAGCCCAAGAAGTGTGACTCATTAAAAATCAACGCGGGTTACTTCTCTGAAACTTAATTTGACTTCTTGGAAACGAATTAATTGAGGGTTCCGCCGAAGAAATCCGAAGCAAAAAAGGATCCGCTGACGGATCGGATGATAACTTTTAGGTCGGGGTGTCGAAAAATGTGTGTAGTGATACATTTGTGGACACGATCGCTTGTTTTTGCGACAAACAGCCGGGCTGCAGGCTTTTTGTTACATTACTGAATTCTACTTCATTCCTAAATTGGCTTGTACTTGAAAACAAATTACACCTTATTAAAATGACGAGCGAGAAAATCGCGGATTAGGATTTAACATGTTGGTTATGTTTTTATGATGAAAAGTATTATTTAGTGACATCTTCCAGGCTGGTGAATAGAAAATGAATTCGAGCATGCGGGGTATGTGGGAAATTTATTTTTTAACTGTTTCTACTCCAATTAGAGTAAAATTATTTTTGTGAGCACCCCAAGAAAGTGATTATTTTCATGTTCGAAATTTTGGTTTAAATAGTTCATGAAAACATTGCTCTGACGTATCGGGCAGTGAATTCTTACTTTTTTGGGGAAGGGAGGGGGCATCGTTTTGGGAAAGCAAACACGTGTTTGCAGACGAAAGCATGAGTGGCTTCTCTTCGACACTGATCAGCACATTTAAATCACACCTGCTCGTCATCCCGATGAAAAATGGAGTCATGTTTGAAGCCTCGCGGAACGAAATGCTTGTTGAATATGCTCAACATGTCGGGGGTTTCTTGAAGTTCATACAAGTAGGTATATTCAGCAAAACTCATCTTTTGCCTGACATATTGGTCTATACTGTACTTCATGAAAATTGGGCGCACAGTCAAACAAGATCTTGATCGTGTAATATAAAAAAGGCATTGGAATTACAATATTTTTGACAACGTTGAATTATATTGCGCGTATAATTGCTTACCGCACCATGCAAATTTGATTCGAAACTTGGAAGAGATCTCTGGGAGTACATTTTAAATTTGTATTGATTTAAATACAGTTTCTTCTTGTCCTGGGTTCCTTGCGTTTGTATGGCCATTGTAGCCTACGGGAGTTCCTTGCGTGCCAGCTTGAAAGCAAAATAATATTTTTTTTTCATTTACCCTTTCAGAGGGTTTTTCAAGTTCTTTGTGATCAGGAGGCATTAACGATTATCAATTACTTGTACTGTATTTTAATTTACTGTACCGTGTACGCTGTCGAGTTTCCTGTGCCCTCTTGTGATACACGCACCTCAATTTTTAAACCAGGACACATCTACTGTTTTTGAGGAGCAAGATCAAATCCCGAGTAAGATGCGCGACACAGTTTTCTGTGTCAAGGAAAGCAATTTATTTTCTGAAATAAATTGCTATTCGTGCCTTGAAAAAGCCGCTAAATAAAACACGAAACGCTGAGATTTTGAAATGTTAGACTGATGAAATTGTATCTCAATCGTGCTGCATTTGTTCTTGTTCAACATTTTCACTTTCCAGTTTGATTTAAATACGTGTGATTTTACTCATTCTGAATCTTGTTTAACTTCACTGAGTGTGTTTCAAATATGACGCGCACCCCGCTTTTCGAGGTTTATTTTTTTTCGTGTTGTACTTGAATAATACGGTTTTTTGCGCTAATTTCAATGAATTTCCACGTGAATTTCATTTGTAATGTCGAACAAGAAAATGCTGACTTTTCTGTAGCTAGGTAACTTTTGGAACAACCTGTGTGTGGCGCGTGTCGTGGTATGCGAGTGTTCCGTGTGCTGAGGGTGTGGAACATTTGGTCTTTTTCTTTATTTCTACGTGGAACTGTTCGTGTCTTGCGCAGTGCAATCCCGTTGGAACGTGAATGAAGAGTTGAAATGTTCCTCTCAACTTCCACGCGGGTCTGTTTTTTTAGACGAGCCTTACAAATTCCTGCCCTGTCATTCTTTGGAAAAGGGGAATGCCTCGGCTCATTAAGCTCGAATCCGAACTCTTTTCGTTGGAAATATTTTTTTTAATCTTTCAGAAACATGGTATTTTGCGAATTGGTGCACTGTTTACGCTCAAATTTTTGAGAGGGATCCATAATCTCAAATCACGCATCCGTTTATGGGAAAATGACGGGCGAACGGGCAATGTTGTTCATGTCGTGATCCCTTTGATCTACTTCAAGACAAACTTGTGAGGCAATATTGTAAACTTTTTTTTCAATTCTGTTGATATTCTTTGAATTGCGAAACATTTTGTTGGGAATCAATTGTTTTAAAAAATTGACGATTTTTATCTGGCTTCAAAAATGCCTTATTGGAATAACGTTTCTTTAGGCTGGTATTATATTTTATGGTGATCTCGGAATGACTGGGTTTTTTTCAGTAGAACCCTTTTTTGTCTCTCTTTGGGTTCTTCGTAGCGGAAATTCCTCTTCCCGAAGATGGCAATTTGACGTGATCAATCGTTTATGCAGTTGGATCGTGTAAATTTTCTTTATTTTAATTTCTTATCGTTCCAAGCAACGTCTATCGTGATTTTTAAATTGTTGAAAATAATTTTCAAATATATTGAATAACCCTAAAAATCATTTTCAAAAGCCACTAAGCCCCACTTCTCTTATCTGAATTCGACCATGAGACCAGATGCGGGTACAGTCGTCAGACAGTAAACCATTATGTGATTCTGAAAAATCAAATTCTTATTTCTCCTAATCCACCAACGTACTTTTTTTTTTAGGAATACAAACTCTTGACATTTTGTTCAAGTTCTTTGCAACTTATCATATTTGCGTGACTTTGAACCGCGCATGAGTCGCAACGTCGTAATGGGCAGCCATGTCAGAGGGGAGAAAGTTTGTGCATACTGTACATGGCTTGAATTACTAGGTTTTCCGATTGTTTTTGAAATTTCAATATTTGTCATGTGCAGTACTGAGAAACAATTTTGAATTACGATATTTGAATTTATGGAATGCTATTCCATCATAAGCCTGATTAATGAAATTTCTGGTTTACGTTGCTGCCTGGTAAAATGTTATACGCGTCCCACTATCTTTTTACTAAAAATGCTTCTTGTTTTTCCTGCGTACCCTGCGGTTCCTTATGCGCAAGATCATTTTGTAGGAATGGCCCCCGTTCGTAGTTTTGCTGCCTACAAATTAATTTTCTTTAATGATCACTCGCATTTATTCACCTTACATGGATGACCATTGGAAGAAACTCCAGTTCGAATCTTGCTGTTTTTCAACTCCGGAACAACTGAAGTAGGACCGGGAATCTCTGGATTTTTAATTTGTATTTCAACTAATTCATTATCATTTTTAAGAATCATTTAAGGATAATTGTTCATCATTGAGGACGAATTAATGTACTGTATTCCAACTAGACGTACTTTTTGTGGAACGAATGAGTCTTATTCGAGGTACATCAGTGAAATGCGTCAGAATCTCGTTTCTACGATTTCTAGCTTATAACGGATTTTAGGAATATCTTCGTCTTTTTTGCGTTTCGGTGTGACGAAATTTTCATTACTCTATAACGCTTATATCAGATGACAATGGCTAAGTTAGAAAAAATGTGTATTGATTTAGCAATTCCTTTGCGTTTGTGAGTCGATTTTCCAGCTGCATCTTTTCTCCGTGACTCGTTGATTCCATAGAGGCATGAACAGCAACGCTTTGTAGCTCACGAAGAAATCAGTCTCCGTTTCCTGCTGTGCGACCATAAAATTTTTTTGTTGTCTCGATATTGCATTTTCAAAATTTCAATATCAGATTTTTTTTCCTCATGTCCCGAAAACTTTAATGAAGCTGAGGTAGTGTTTATTCTACTGGGATTCCTCGGGACTAGCTTGACCAAGACAGATTATAAAGCTTGTGATTCATAGGCCCCAACACGACTGAGTTCGGAAGTTTGGAACACTGCGATTGGAAGCGAGGGAGACGAGAAGAATAACTTCCACGCTCGGTCGGTTGTTTGACGACGTCTACTCACTCTGCCAGCGCCTGCTGCATTAGCCGCGAATGAAAACTCGAAGCGAGCAAATATGAGGAGGAGGAGGAGAAGAAAAAATAAAACTCTCGCTGTTGCGGAGGAGTGGAGAACGAAGAGAACAAAGAATTTCTTTTTTTTCTATTCTTTCAAATATTATTCCGCACACGTGACGACACCAGCTTTCGATGTAGGACAGGAGTGTAATGGGAGAAAAATATGTATAAAAGGCGAATGCGGCCTCCTGATCTGGTCCCCCCCCGTTTGGCGTCGATCGCGATTTCCCGTCAGTCAGTCGACAGGCGGCTGTGTGGGGGGGAGTTGTGCGGGCATGGGCAGGAAAAAGGTGACTTTCTGCGACGAATCTTTGGTGAGGGGTTTTCTGGTGAATTTCTCTGGATCTAACTGTCTGTGGTGAAATGCGCTTTACCTGTGCTGTGGCGAATCTCGCTGTTTGGAATCACCTTGAACCGGGTGGAAACAATTGAGCAACGCGGGATTATTCTTTCTTTTGTTGTGGCACCGCAAATGCAAGGCCTGAAGATGCAGTATAAAGAACAGATTAATTTTTGACGTTGCCAATTGAAAATTTTGAATGTTTATTACGATTTTTGCGGATAATTAGACGACCTATTCGGTAATTTTAGGGGAAAGTTCTTAGTTTCATTGCGAACAGAAACTTACTTGATGTTATATTCAGAGCAGTGGAAGGACTTATTTAATCACCTACTTGAATTTTTGAAGAAACCTTAATTCAGATTAATTATTCGCATCAAAAATTGAAAATTTTGAATTTTTATTACGATTTTTGTGCGAAAAAGCATTGCAGTTCTTGAGGTTTTCCTTTTACATTAACCTTTTACAATTTTCTTTCATTTTTCCCTCATTAGTCACCCTGTACGTGACATGCGCACTGTAATCTGAACATCTTGATCGACGCACGATGATTGACGAACTATCCGTGTTTATTTTTGTGCGTGTGACGGATTTTCCGCGTCAACTGGACCGGAAATGATGTAACATAATACTGTATAGAATTTTACTGCTCTGACGTGGACGGACCTGGAACAGCATACAAGTCGGAGCACTGTACAATCGTGCGACTGAAAAAAGGAGATACCGTGTTTGTTCTTGTTCCATTCGGCAAAATTAATATTTTCGCGAAAATTCGAAAACGATATACAGTACATGTTCGGGACGAGAGAAACGTAGGCAGATGGCGGTTTACCAAAGTTTCCCAATTCTTGCGACATCGGGCAGGTTGGGTGTAGTCCATAAGCCCCCCCTGCCAAAAGCCCCCCCCCCCCGGAAAGCCCCCTAGGTCAAACCCCCCCCCCCCTGCCAAAAGCCCCCCCTAGGTTCAAAAATTGGGGATTACAGGTATTCTTGTAACTCTTGATGGTAAGCTGAACTGTAGATTTTGCAGAAGTCAGCAACTGATGATGCTTTGAAATTCAAAGAATCACTGATGACCATTGCAGGTGAAGAATCCCTTTATATACTCTTACCATCAAGAGTTACAAGAATACCTGTAATCCCCAATTTTTCAACCGAGGGAGTTCTTTTGGACTACACCCGTTCTCCGTAGCAAAACTTGGTTGACGGCAGGTCTGCTCTGCGTTGCGTTCGCCAGTTTACTGTACTCAGAACGTATAACGGCTTGCAGTATTTTAGAAGGTTCACTGGATTATTTTTGGCGGAAAACGGCGTGAGCTTATTCAGGAATAGACTTGTGCATGTGTTGCACAAATTGGAACTGCAGGTTGAACCGAAAAAATCGCCATTTTTAAATCATGGACTAGTATTTATGTATTTTTTATTTTAAAAAATAAGAAAGAGCATTAAAAGGTTTTTTCAGTTATTTTTTTATGATTATTCCACGAATGACGCCGTTGAGACGGTGATTTGGTCCGACGCCGGTCTACTATTTTTGTGCACCCTGTGTGATTGTGCCTGGCAAACAGACTCCATTGTGATGGGGTAGGATTATGTTATGCCTTTCTGTTTAGCGTATTTTTGTGGAACCGATTATAGCTTTTAAATTTTCATCTGCTGAGTTTCTCTTTTTAATTTTTGTTGGTATACGAGTGACGAATATTCACGAGGAATTCATTTAAAAAAAATTATAGTACTGTACAGAATTGATACGCGTTTCATATTTTATTGTTTCTTCGACCACTGTTTTTTGTTCTCGAAACTCTTGTGAGGAATAGCAAAAGCAGCTGCGAGTTTTTAATTACAAACATTGAATTTAATTCTGCTGTGACAAGGATTTGAAATCCTCAGGTACTGTTTCACTTCTTTTATCACAGCTGTGGTGATCACCACCTGTGCGTTTGTTTGTCGAATCGCTGTGACGGATTGTTTTCACAGCTGTCTGTACTCATAACTTATTTTTCGAAATTTGGCTAAAGATTTTGGGAGAATCCTTCTGAAACTTGTCGTGATTCCTTGTGGCTCGTGATCTCCAGGGAGCCGAGCTTAATTTTTTTATAAGCTGGATTTTTATTTTTTTGTGCCAAGGTTCAAGTTTGTCATGTCAGTGACGACGGATGTTTGCGCTCTTCTGTGACCTCGTTTACTTTTCTGTATGAGCTTTAGTTCTGCTGCCTTTTTTAAAAAGTATTATTGTTCTTTCAAATTCGCTTCACGTGATGCGCGATCTACGGATCAGTCTCCTTTTGTTTATTTAATTTCGTTCTTTCAAAACAATGCCCCTTTTGAGTTTTCCATTTTCATATCGTGTGCCATCATGCTTTTTTCCTCTCGGAACTTTTTTTCTGGAGGAATGGTGGATACCAGGTGCGAGAACCCATGGCTGGAAGGATTGCAGCTGGTTTTTTGTGTGTTTGTTTGGTGTCCTCGTTGGTGACAGAAGTTGATTCGTACCAGCCGGTTAACATGAAGGGATTTTTTGTGCTTATTTTCGCTGGATGTCATGTCTTGTTTCATGAAATGTTGGGCAGATGTCGTTTGAATTTTGTCTGATTTACTCAATGGTCGTGGGTTGTTCCATTTCCGCGTAGGCAAGTTTAAAAAATTTATTTTCATCAGCGGTGTGCTGTTTTTACTGTTAAAGACAGGAATATTTTTTTGCATATCATAGAATGCGTATTGTGTTGGGAAGGCACACAAAATATATTGTTGAGGATTTTAAAAAATTAGTGGCTGATTCAACTGAGATTTTTCCCATGGAAATTCTAGAGTAAAATAACGTAACGTTTTTTATTTCTTTTCTTCCACAAAAACTCTGATTTCACAAAAAACAACCTCTTGCCGAATCTTGGACTTCAGGCCGTAACGTGACACGAACTAAATTTCGCTCAAATTCCGGCACAATGCGAACAAAGGTTTCTGTCCTTGATGAAATGACCAACAAAGCCATTGGAAAAATACAGTAACCGAGAAAACTGCAAATTGGTGTATAGCATGTGGAAATTAATTTGAAGCCTTATGTGGATATGCTGCTGAAATGCGGTAATATATTAAGAGTTGAAACCACGAATTTACCGGATTCGGTAAAATAGAATGAATTTCGATTCGTCATATTTTTCTGTGTGGTTGCCGTGCCTGTCAAGAAATATGACGGCTATAAAGAATCGGTCTACATTAAAATTTCGTAACGACGAAGCCATTTGGGCTATTAACATATCTGGAGTTTCATTTAAAAAAAAAATTATTCATGAAGAAAACAAAACATTGCGGCTGTTGAAGGACCTAAAAACGATTTTCTTTCAACGAGTTTCTACTGCACATTACAGACTGTATTTTGTTTTTCATGCATTAAAAAAAAAAACAGACGTCACCAATGAAGGGCAAAAGAGAAGTTCAGGAATGCGAAATTTTAATTTCGAAAAAGACGCGTCGACTTTTTATCCAGTTAGTTCGCATCAAGTTCGAAGCCCTCTTCTTGCCGTCAAACCGAAAAAAAGGAATTTATTTTACCAGATTGTTTCTTTCATTTCCCTGCAATCGTGAACGAAAGTATTTCAATCTGTGGACGTTCAAAAATCCATGGCTTCATTTTTCGACACTGAAGTACAGTACTGTACTGTAGTTCTGACACCGCGACCGATCTCACAGGAAGCGTCCCGTTAAGAAAAGATTTTAAAAAGTAATATTGTATTACTGTACTGCATAACCAGCACCGGTCCGTGAACCGCGACCATGAAAAATGCATGTACACGTTCCTTCCTCCTACTCTGGCGTCCTGTCCAAAAATGTAATGAAATTTCTGTCTGAAAGCGAAAGAATAGGGCTGTTCCAGATGACGGAATATACGAAGGGTTTCTGTGAAGTTTTGCGAATCACCTGCATTTTTTTTCGACGATACGTAACTTTTCTTTCATCAGAAAAGTTTTGTTGGTTTGGAGAATAATAATTTCAGTCAAACTTGTCAAACATTTTGGTCATCTGAAGAATAAAAGAAGCGTCCCAATACGTCCGAAAGGCCGTGGTAAAAATAATGTATGTGACGGGAAAATTTTCTGCATTGCAGTCCAAGGAGGCAAATTCGCCGATCGTTTCTATTTCTTTTTTTTGCAACTTCTTAAGCACCGGTTATGCGTCAAGTCGCTAAAATCGCCCCAAAAAATGTTCATAAAAATTGCCTCGGAGCGAAGCCATACATATTCAGGTGCTGATTTTTCTTGTCTGTGATTTTCCTAATTAGTGAAGCCAAAAATGAGAGCTTCGGATGAAATGAACCAGAATAGGTGGACATTCATCATCAGGTTTCATCCCCGTGCAATTCAGTTTTTCAGGGTGACTAGGAGAAATTTTCATCCTCCTTTTTAAAGTTAATTTCCCTCAAAACTTGCACCGAGATGTGTAAAAAAAATTTTTAATCCGTCTTGGGAAGACAAATTTTTGGCGGCACGTTGGAATTTTGAGAAACTCCTCGTACTTTTAACCTATCTTTCGATTGAATGCAACCATTTTTAGACTTTGATGGAAGTACCGTACGTAAAAATAAATGACCACATGGTTTCATCGACCTGCGATTAAAATGTATTAGTGACTCCCCCCCTGAGCCAGTGATTGTTCAGGACGGACCCGTTTGATGCTTATGATAAAAGACCAGTCGTTGTAATCCTCTGGGTCAGAAAAATTTAGAGATGAGCTGGTTGGAAATCAATTCTGGGAACACGGGACTTTTGAGAAATCCATCCCCACATCCGTCTCAAAAAAAAGGGCACATGGAACCGACCGAACGGACGAACGAACGAAGGAACCACGGCCCGGCTTATCTCAGGGGAGAACAGCCGAAAAACGTGTGGCTTATCTCGTTCTGTTCGGGTTATCTCCCCTCCCGGTGGTGTCGATAAATCGTCCTTTACTCTAGAGGGAAGAAGGAAAAAAACCTCCCTTTAGTTTATTCCCCCTGTCGGTTCTTCTGGTCGTCTTCGTTGTTGCAAGTGTGTGAAAGAAGAAAGAGAGATAGAGAGCAAGGGGGTGGGGAACCATCGCTGGTCCTTATGGACCAAGTAAAATACAGCTCCCTGCGCCACGACGACTATTTGGTCGGTTGTGGTTCCGGGAGGAAGAAGAAGAAGTCCAAGGGCAAGCAGCTCTTGTCCAAGAAGACCCGGGACAGGAATTTGTACGCTTCTTGGAGCGGATTGCCAACAATACAGCCGTCGTCTTCGAGTCATCGTCCGCATCATCGCGAAGAGCACGAACAACACGTGTATACCGAATTGAGTTACGGGTACGAGCGTCCGTTGCGGACGGCGCCGCCGCCGCCGCCCAAGTACGTGTTTGACGAGGAGCGGCATTATTATAGGCAGTCGTTGGTGTCGCGACACCGGGTGAGGAAGGGCGGTGGTGATGGTGGTGGTGCCGTGGACGCCGACGGGTATTCGGTAATTGGGAACACCTCTTCGGAGTCATCCGAGTACGGCTGGCGTCGACCGCCTGTTGCGACGCGATTCTTCAGCACTCTGGTTGGTGTTCGGAGTTGAAATGCAGTAGAAAAAAATGAAGGGAAGATGACTTGGGGGGATATTCGTGTCACTGTTCGTCTGAAAATGTCGAAGCGTTGAAATTGATGTCTGATTTTTTTTTCCGCATTTCCTCAAATATTATTCGTCCCTAATTTTCTTTTCTTCCGCCCTTCAATTAAAGGAATTGTGGTGCGGAATTTGTTTTCAATTGTGTCTTACATTCGCAGGTAAAATGCTTTTGTCCCGCGCAGTCTCGTGAATGTAAATCCAATAGAAACTCACTTTCAACAATTATGGATACTGGTGTAGTTTTTATTTCAAGGGTACTAAAGTAAGAATTTTGACTTCTATATTTAGGGAGATTAATTCGGTGACAGAATCGTGTATAGAAACAAAAGGCTCCCGTGTTTCTGAAGAAATGGAAAGTCAAAAAGTGCTTTTGATATTTACCGGTAGCTTTTAATCAGTTTTTGAAGCTCAAAAATTGGAGGCGTCAATTATTTTGAAGTCAAATATTATGCATTATTTTCAGTCACTAATCCCACACGACTTTTTGTTGTTGCTCTTGACGATCTAAAAATGGGGAAAGGAATTATGAAAAAGCGATCGAGAAATAATTATACAGTACAGTACGGTAATTGAAATAGTATTTTGATTACATTACTTTGGGCTCCTTCTTGCCCAGAAATGATATGATATGAATCATTGTGAAATATATAATATATATGATATGATATAATTGTGAAAATTTATGATAATCTGGAATGATATGATCCATCATGCAAAAATCTAACGCTTCTTGTAGCGTTTTTTTGTTTTTGAATTGACTTGAGAATTTGCGGGAGATGTCGTTCTTCGGAAAAATCCAGCCCTAGATTCAGATACGCCCTGAAATTGCTTTGAAGAAATCTTGCTGTAGACTCAGTGAGTGGGTTAGATTTATTTGGATTTTTACTGTCTTGAATTATGAAAGTCGATTTGCATCGCAAAATCCAACTTCCTGTTGTCGATAACTTCTCCGTGATTTCTTCATGTAAATTTATGGAAAAACTCGGGGCTACTCAACGCGTGTTTAAGTTGTACCCGTAAAACGTCCGCACGTTTTGGTTGGGCGAAGTTATTCCGAGTTTTCGGGGAATTTATTCTAATGCATGCAGGAAGAAAACTGGACTTCGAGGATGCGTCGCCCGATTCTTTCCGCGTTACTTATTTTTTACCCAGAAACGAAAGTCCATATGGGCGTACTTGGTTTTAAAAACGCCTGGAAATAGGTGAATTTTTGTTTGCGTGTAGAATGACTCCTAAAAACTGTGAACTCCGAGCAGAAGTAAGCAGAGCTTTGTCTGTGTCCAATGCGGACGAAAGTTCAGAATTTTTTGGGTTTTTTTTTGCAGCTTACAAAATCATTGCCGCATGATTCTGGTCTTCTTTGGTACAATATTTTCTCATTCTCGCGCGGAAATTATTTCGGTTTAATATTCTCGTGCGTGAAATCTTGGTGCGGAATAATTCGAAGAATGAAAAATTCCATGTTTTTCTACTCGGATGGACGAGAATGTTGAAGCTGAAGCAAAAAAAAATAACACGGTCTGGCTATGATTTTCTTGGAAAATCTCGAATTGAACTTGGGATATTATGTGTCGAGCGTAACATTTTTGCTTGGAAATTTCGAATTTTTCTGTCAGTGCAGAAACAATTTCGAAGGTTCAAGCGGAAAGTTATCATAATGTTGAGAACATTCTGCGTTTCTGTTGAAGTTTGCATTACTTGCCCTCAGAATATCTCCGAGCTGTGCATTTGCGAAGAATGATCACGAGAAAAAGATTCTTGTTGTGTTGATGGTAATAAAAATATGCAATAGTTGATCATCATAAACAAATGGAAGTACTGTGCGTCCGAAAAGGGTTGCATTTCAGTCGGTTTTATGTGAAGAGCTACGGAACGTGCTGTTTCATCTATCATTAAATTGGAATAATCAGATCATTCGGGTGGCGGTCAGTTGTCCAGACCTGAGTAAAGATTATCTCGCCGCTCATTTTAATTCCGCAACGTCTCAGTGTAAGTCATGAAAAGAAACCTCCCGAAATTCATCGCATGTCCCGCTGCGCGCGACGGCGAAGAGAAGTGTTCGGAAGGGAAACGACCGCGATTCTCATCTTAATGAGCTTTGTTTTTCTTCAGCTGTTGAGATTTAAATTCATCTTTCCTTCGAAATTCTCCCTCGAAAGGCGCTGAGGCGCAGTCGGGAAGCTGTTGATACGAAGTCCAAGTCGGAGTCGGACCTGGAGCTAAGCACTGCCCTGGAGGAGTTCGAGTTGCTGCTGGTGAGGACTGCGCACGGGCTCGGGCTGTCGATCGCTGGGGGCCGGGGGTCCACGCCGTTCAAGGGAGACGACGATGGAATCTTCGTGTCGAAGGTTTGTCGCAGTTTTAGTTTTCTCGACGGAATGGAGTACTTAGAATTTCGTAAAAAAAAATAAGCGACTGACGATGGCGAGAAAAGGGATCAAGCATTTCGTTGTGTTCTTCGTAGAAGTAAATTATTTCAAATTCCTTTTTTTTTTCTTGTGCGTTCTGATCATACTTCAGGATGTGTCATAACGTCTTCTAAAATTTTGATGGCGAGAAAAGGGATCAAGCATTTCGTTGTGTTCTTCGTAGAAGTAAATTATTTCAAATTCCTTTTTTTTTCTTGTGCGTTCTGATCATACTTCAGGATGTGTCATAACGTCTTCTAAAATTTTTTGGACGTATGAAATTCAGACGCCGTGCTTTTCTTGCAGTGAAAATGAGTGTAGTAATGTCCTCTCTTCCTTGTTTAAAGGAAATATCTTCCGCGATACCAGGAAGAGATTCAACATTACCGTTTTTTTTAAAGTCCTGCGCAAAATTTTTATTCAAGGTTTTTTAAGGGATCGAACGCGTTTACGAGAATTTTTCGCATTTTTCAGCGTCTGAAAAGAATTACAGGGTTAACAGAAATTTGTATAAAAAAATCACGCTTTTCGTGCAGTGTTGGGAGGGGAAAAAGGATTGGCGTACGAAAATTTAGGCTAAGTTCCCTAACGAAAAAACAAAATGGAAAATCACTTGGTCTCGGTAAATCCTGTTGAAAAGGAATGATCAACTACATCATTGATATTGTATGCATCAATGGCAATTTATTCACGTTGAGAATTTGTGTTGATTTTATTTTTCGTCTCAGAAACGCACAGAAAATGCGTAAAGAGAAATTTCATGTGTAGAGTTGAATTATTCGTTCTGAAAAATTTAATTTTGTCCGAAAGTGAGCGAGGATTCAATGAAGTGTGGTTCGAAAAAGAAGTTGAAAGCATGTTCGAATTTAGAAAATAGATTTTTCAGAGCGACTTATCCACAAATTCGTTTGAGAAATGAACATTTGGCGTTTCCTTTAAGGCTAGTCGGTTTTTTAATTCATGATTTTTGTAGAATTATTCTTGAGTGACCCATCGAAAATATCCATGTGACCTGCCTTCCTCCAAATCGTCTTCACGTTATGAAGGTGGAAATGAAATACTTTTCTACTTCAGACAGACGGGGTAATCGACTGAAAGAAGTTATTTGTCCCGAACGAGCGCATTTCACCAGCTGAATTATTTTCAAATGTCCCACCTTTCGATCAGGAAGAATGTCCCAGGATTAATTTTTTCCACATTTGCTGTCTCAAGATAAGGGTGAATTTCAGGAAAAACGAGCTGACGCCGTTGCAGTATTCACCGTTATCTGTATGAAATACCGAATTTTCGGACGCATTTCGACTTTCCCATTTCTATTAACCGTTCAGGGTATTGAAATAATTCACGTCCAACACCGAAATTTGTTGTCGACCAGTGTTAGTTCTTTTTTGGCATTTTTCTGCAGGTTACTTCGGGTGGGGCAGCTGCAGATTGTGGACTGAAAGTGGGAGACAAACTGCTGTCAGTCAATGGGATTTCCATCGAAGATGCAGAAGTGATGCTTTGACACCTGCAAAACTTTTTGCGACCAGGACTCGAAGCAGAACATTAAGAGGCTCTTCATGGACACGGAAGGCACTCATTAGAAAGACAGCTATACCAAAAACACACAATCTTTCGTTGAGTACCTTTGTTGAACAAACCAGTTGAGCGGAAAACATACAAGTACCAGTTTGGAAGGAATGTGGAGTACTGTTTGAGTAAGCGATATATTCTCAAGATTCTTGTCTAAATTGGTTGCGTGGAAGTTCATGACACTACTGTATTAGCATACACGGGTTCAGGAGAGAAGCGTCGCTCATACCGTTTGTGATGTCTATTAATTTTTATAAGTAAAATATGTATACAGTAAATGTGTGTGTGAATACTCATTTTCATGGCTGCCCGAAGTTCTCGTTCTTTTTTCATGTTTAAACATGAAATCTTGCTTACGGCGCTAAAAAATTAGACATTGTTGGTGATTAATGTTTGATACAGTACTGTATACAGTAATTTCAACTTGCTTCCTGGAATGTGAGACAAATGTTGCTCGAATCACGGACCTCTCCAGCAAGAAAATTCATGAATTCTAGATTCTTCAGGCTTTGAAATGAGGAAAAAAAAAATCATGACGTAATTTCGACAATGTTCCACATCTTTGCGACTGATCAGGTTTTCTTGTGGCACTCGCAAGGTTTGACCTTTGCTGTAATATGAGCTCAAAAGGGGCTTATTAAAAGTCTTTCGACTCAGTCAGGCTTCACTTTGAAACGGGAGCCTTAACACGGGCAGGGGACGAGGCAGTAGTCCTCGTCGAACATCAATTCACTCATCTGTCAAACTTCAAAATCAAGCGAATAGAGAAGATGGTCTACTGAGTCAATCGTTCGCGTCCTCCATGGGGTCGCAGTCCGCGTTAGGGTTGAACGACTCGCGTGGAGAAGACGAGGAGCTGGTTGTGAAGCATGATAAAATTTACACTACCCTGATTCGGGATCACAATGGACTGGGCTTCTCTATTGCCGGTGGACGCGGTTCTTCTCCGTTTAGGGACGATTCAAACGTGAGTAACAGTCTCAGTACTGGTACATTACTTGAATGGTCATCAGTCTGCCTGAATCGATGAGCAACGAACGTCAATCGCAATTTTTATCTCGTTGGTCCTGTATATGAATTAGTGGGGTGTCCCTTAATTTACTGTGCTCTGAAAAATTTGGAATCGCGATAACGGATGTTCCTGCTCATTCGATTGACATGTCGAATCGCCTAATTGTGGGTGGATTTTACCTTTTGTCAGAGATGTATTTTAATACTGTATTACGCTGATTCATCCGATTTAACTTGGCTTTTGTTTTTCTTTTTGGTCCATTTCAAAATTGTTTAACTTCGTCCATTCTAGTTTTGAAGCTCTTGTAATCAGTCACATTGCAGTTTCATTTTTCACTAACTCATTCGATGCTATTTTCTGTGCTCCTGTTGTTACTACAGGCGAACTCTCTCTAACAGAGGGACAACACTGACAATCAGTGGAAAAAAAAATTGTCCATTGAGAGAATTCCGTTGTAGAAACCATATGGCACCACGAAAAAATCCGTTGTGCAGAGAAAATCGTTGTAAAAAAGATTCTATACTCTATACCTGTGTAGCATAGCAGAGGTTATCGAGTTCTGGGCGAAATTTTCATCGAACAAGAAGAAGTTCTTTTTCCTCCAAAAAATTGAGACTGAGATCACCGTACAAAATCATGTATTTTACCCAACATTCGAATCACGCTGTAAATGCTGGCTTGGGCAGTGAACAGGAACTTGCTAAACATCCTGCCGCGTGTGAAAGCAAAATTTGATGTCGTGTTTTTTTTATGCGATTTGATTGGATTAGTATCATGTACTGTATATTCAGTATTCATTTTTATTCTAGCTATTCTGAACTGTTTTTTTTTTCTTCTGGCATATTTTCTCATTTTAGGCAATTTTCATTTCACGGATAATACCTGGTGGAGCAGCAGAGAAAGATGGCAAGCTTCGAGTTGGGGATCGCGTCCTTTCCGTGAGTTGCTTCTATCTGTTCGATCAAGGACTCCAACCCGATACTGTATTTACGAACAACGCGTTCCCTACTTGTTCTTCTCTTCGAAGAAAACATTGTATGTAAAATCGTTTCACGCTTGTTTGTTCAGATAAACGGAGTGGACATGGATGGAGCGAGGCATGATCAAGCAGTGTCGATGTTGACGGGACTCGAACGATTCATCCGCTTGGTCGTGTCCCGGGAAACCATGGTGCCAAAGTCGCAAACAAAAACGTTTGCCACGGCGACGCCGAAACCATATTTTGGTTCAGGGACTAAGTCTCCCGTGCTCAGTCCTGACTCTTATATGGCGAACCGTCCGAGTTTCACCGGTGTCCGGAAATCAACGACTCCGAATCCTCCTTCGACTGTGGCGTCAACAACGACGTAAGCTTTTGAACGTGTATAATGTTGAGTTTGGTAAACCGAGATTTTTGAGAACCGAGGTTGTAGTATTTTTGAAAATATGTGGACTTATCTATTGACTCAAGCTGTTATCTATAATTGATTATATGTATTTTCCCCCATGGGAATGAACCTTGGGATTTGCCCCAATTATTTCTAGCTCTTTAATTTTTTCTTCAACATTCATGATGGATTTCTTAATGAATCACACAATTTGTCCTGAATTGATTCAGATCTCAATTCTTCTCAAAGATACGATTAGTTTCTCGTACGTTTTATAGGCAAATTATTTTTAATTGCAAATTTTTTGCTGTCGTGAAAGAAATCGAAACGCGTCTGGGTTATTCGACTTATTCGTCCTCTTCATTTGTAGAGTTGCCAAGCCGTCATCACCCGTGGCTCCGACGCAGACGACAATGTCCACTGGAACCGTGGCCACTGTAGCGTCAGTGGCCAACGGTAAACCACCGATCCTTGGCCCAAAACCCCAGGTTGCTCCACGGACCAAGACCTTGGACCAGGATATGAAATTACCTGTGGCCCAGCATCCAAAGACGAGCGAAGAGTTCGACGCTTTCATTCCCCCGCAGTGGCGGAAAGACGCGACGAGTCCTAGTCCCGACGCGGAACCGGACCAGCGAATTATCTCGGTGACCATTCGACAGCCGGACGCTGTGGAAGAGTTGAAGAAACAGTTTCCGGAAGCGGATGTGAAAAAGTTGGGGAAAGTTACGGAAACTTTGACGAAGGCCACTTTTACGGAAACGACTGTAACTCGTATCACGGATAACCGTCTTGGTCCTGCGGCTACTCAGGTTAAGATTTTAATCATTTCTCACTACTTTTTCTAATTGATGCCATGTATTTCTGATTGTGTCTGCAGCTTATCTGTCGACATTTGGGGGATGTGCAGGGATTTTGTCACAGTCAACCCTCGCGTAGTCTATCAAATTTCTCTGGAATAAATCTCCGTCATTGATTTCTTCAGGGAGCCCTAAATTTAGTGCCAACTCACTTGGTGTCACAAAAATTTATTTTCCTGAATGAAAAATCGGCTCAAATCAACGAAATTAAGGTATTTTCTAGGGTTGTTTTTAGGTTATCACTAAGAAGCATATGCCCATGCGAAAGATAATTTAAAGAATATTTTCCTGAATTTACAAGTCATTTTGTTGCCTTATTTGGATGTCCTCCGCAATGACGAGCTTCTGTAAAACTGGTATAGCCGCTTCAAAAAGTTGAAATCATGATTTTGGGTTTGTGTGCTTTCATTGAAAGGTTGGTACAAAACTTCGAGAAACATCTCTTCGCTTGACAAAATATGTGCAAAAATCGAATATATTTTTATATAATTTTCATGTTACAGGAAGTGGTCTTGAGCAAGGAAGGCGGTCCCCTGGGTCTCAGTATCATTGGTGGAACTGACCAGAGCGCCGTGCCTTACGGAGGCGAAGACTCGGAAGGCGGGGTCTTTATTTCGAACGTGGTACCCGGTGGAGTGGCTGCTGCATCCGGTGCGTTGCGAACAGGGGACCGGATCCAGGAAGTTAATGGCAAGTCGCTGGAAGGAGCGACGCACGCGGAAGCCGTTCATGCCTTGGTTTCTGCGGGAGCTGTGGTCAAGTTGCTTGTTAGACATGACCCCTTGCCCGCGGGATACCGGAAAGTGGTCATTGATCGTCTCCCCGGAGAGAAACTTGGGATGAATGTTAAAGGTAAGATCAAAGTTTTATTTTAAATGCGTTCATTCGATTTGCGTTCATGAGTTGCGGTACAGTACAGTATCTACAATTCTACATGGCGGATCAGAAAAATTCCGCCAGAAGTTCCAATAGCGATATTGCATTTCAAAACTGTGATTACTGAATTCGGACTGATTTTGAAAGGTGAAGTCCACTTGAAACACCACACCACGAATCATTTCTTCAAGGTTTATATTCTGTCCGATAGAATGTTGTGGTGATTCAATTTCAAAGCACACAAAAAGGCCAATTTTGGTTGACAAGATTTAATTTGTCTATCATAATCATTGTTGAAGGTCAGTGCTTTATTGTAATTGAATTGATCGTTAATTCGTTCAATTTCTAGCTCTTACTCGTTGATTTTTTAAAATGTTAAATTCTGTGAACATTTTTTCACAGGTGTATTTTTATCCGAACTGGTTCGCGACCATTAATATAAATACCAGTAAATAATTAAAAACCACCCATCATGAAACAGTCGGTGAATTTGAATTTCATTTATGCAGTAATTTATACTTTTCTGCAGAAAAAATCTGCTTATGAAATGTTCTTTTGAAATTTTGAGAATTTCTTTTGGGTCAACATTTTCTGGGCCATCCTGTACGCTGCAAATCTGAAGCTATTTCATCTTACCGACTCCGCCTTTTGGCGGTTCTTCACGTCTTCTTCTCATTCTGACTTATTGGGTATATAAAACCGAATATATTTTTAGATGGCTAGATTTAGAGAGAAATATGCATAAAGGTTCTGCATTCACAGAAAATAAGAATTCACTGTAAAGTGCTCCTAAATATGTCATTCCTTCTGTTGTGTGTTCCATGTTTGCGCTTGTTGAGCATGAAAATCGAGGAGCTTTTGTTAAATGCCTTCGTGTGACTTTTTGCTTAAAGGTGGACGCTGCGGACAGCCGGGTAATCCATTGGACCCGGGAGACGAAGGCATTTTTGTATCAAAGGTGCATTCCAACGGAGCAGTGGCCAGGATCGGGCCAGCAATGTTGGGTGTTGGTGCGCGGTTGATAGAAGTGAACGACACGGCTTTGTTGGGTGTGACGCACTCCGAAGCTGTTAATGCGTTGAGGGCCGCCGGAAATCATCTGGAGCTCTATGTTTGTGATGGTTAGTCTCCTTGAATTGTAACGTTCTCGTTGTGACATTTTGTATTGACTGAATACGTTGTGAAGCCTTTTGTTAATTAACCTCTAGTAGTCCGTATTTTTTTTACATCTTTCCCAAGCAAAAACACAACAGGTATTAATTTTTTTCCAAGCAAATCTTTGGCATTATGAATAGATTATTTTTAAATGTCTATAACTTCGATTTGAACGTTCAACGGAAAGCTTTTGAGTCATGGGCAGTATTTTCAAGGATTGTGGTTGTAGATACCCTGTACATCGTATTTTACCATTGTGAAAATGCTGAATTCCGGTTAATTTGTGAATCGATCGTCTTCGGAGAAATGATTGAAATGAATTTCCGTGATTTTTACTCGTTCATGCCTTGCTTCACGCCAAACCTTTCGAAGTCGAACTCTAAAGGAGCAGCAAAAAAATTTACCGACGGAGTTTTCGAGTTAGGGAAAATAGCCTTTTTTCAGTAGAAAACACGTTAAATGATTTACATATTTGTAAAATTGATGATCTTTTGGGCCTGAAACTGCTGTATAAATGAGATTATGGAATACTGAACTTCAAAACGAGGGTACAATTGCCCCGTTAGTAAAAAATAAATAAAATAAAAAAATCTAGTCAGATATTTTTTGTTTTTCCATTTCCTTCCTTCCCAAAATAAGACATGACAAATTCGAGTTATGGAGGTTCGAGGGGGAATGTCTTTGAGTTACGGAGGCCTAATTACAGTACAGTAGGACTGTTCTCAAAAGAATTCCGACAGGACCATTTACAATTCGAGGTACGGATGTTTGCGACTTTTGGAGTATCAAGTTTCAACTGTGCTTCGTAATTGAACGTAAAGAAGTCTTCAGAAGAAAATTTCCTGCTTTATTATGTTTGTAGATGGAAAATTTCCAACCTTTGCTTTCTTGAAGTTGAGTACGATATTCAATTTTGTTTTGTGTCATTTTTCACAGGTTACGACCCGCACCTCGTGGAAAAGCTGAGGCTCGAAGGGAAACTGACCTTGCAAGAATCTAAATCAGCGTCTCAAAGCATATCTTCCTTGGATGATCCGCTGTCACCGGTAATACCGTCATCCGCGTTGCAGGTCTGTATATTTTGTTTGAAGGGGAAATTAGCTTTCGCATCGGTCACGCAGCTGCACTCCTTTTTAGCTTCACTCACCGACACGAGCTGTGGCACCTGTTAACGGTGATGACGATTCTTTAGCGCCGTTGGGCGGGAGAATCTCTGTTGAAAAGGTGAATTTCTTGTCCCTTTTTTTTCAACGCACTTCCCGTGGTAGATTCTGTATTTTGCTTTTATGTTATCATTATACCGGGTCCTGAATTCTTGTTTTTTACTTACTTCGGAGTTTTGCGGCAAAATTGTCCTATGATTCGTTCCAGAGAGCTTAATCTCTTTGTATTCACCGCTTTAAATCCGGGGTAATTAAGCGCTACGAGACCGACGACCACTTGTATTTCGGGAAGATTAAAACGCAGTTATGAAATTAGTGTCAGAGATAAAAGGGAAAGGGAGAAAGATGGGTTCTTGATCTCATCCGAACATAAGTAAAGTTTTACACCTTTTGGGAGTCATTGTCATGAGGATGACATTTTAGGTTTTTTCTTCCCCAGGCTTTGAACGCTTGTGATTGTTCGGCTGAAGTATATTTCGATATAAGTTTCCTTAATGCTATGCTCGTAACTCACCGGATTTTGCAGTTTTACGAGTAGCGCTTGAAAATGACGATACAATTATTTTTCCGAGTTTCAATAAATAAAGTATGGATTATACATTTTTTTTTTCAAGAATTGGGATTAAGGGATAAGGACAATTTATTTCTCAGCTGTGATTGAGCCTACAGTCAGCTTCTCAAAATCCGATTTTTCGCTGTTCAAAAAGGGGATAAAAATGAATTATTTCAGTGTGTAGAGTTCAGAATTTTTAGATCATTCTCGTAAGAATTTTATTCAGTCCATTTTTCTGCGAAAAACTACGCAAAACCCTGTAGAATTTTTTTTACATGCATTTGATTGTGTAGTTCTGTTGAGGGTTTTGCATTAATTCACGCAGGTGCTAGATGTTGTAAGAGCTGCGGAGCAACTGGCAAATACGGCGGAGGATGCTGAAACCCGGCCCCTGAGCAGAGGCGCGATTTCAGGCCGGTCTTCGGCCACGCCGTCGCCCCCGTGTTCGTCGTCTTCGGCAGTAGCCGTGGCGCCTGCTGTTCCTTTGCTTTCCTCTAGTGGACAGCCGAAAACGACGACGATCGTGATGACGAAGCACACGCTGGTTCCGCAAACCGGCGCCCAGCAAATCGTCGCCCCCGTGGTGAGCGACTGATGCCGCAGCGGTCGTCTGGAACAGATTTTTTTTCCCTGTTCATTCATTCTTTTATTTTTGCATAGCTTCGGTTCCGGGGTGATATAGGGTGAGAGTATTTGGTGAAGGATTGGTTTTGGCTTCTTTGTCGCGGAAACAGCGTGAACTAACTTCGTACCGGTGGTTGAGTTGTTGAGGTCAATCTTAGTTGAGTTGATTTCGCTTGATTGACCTGAAGGCTTCGCCGTTTTCTTTTTCTAGTTTAGTTTGGTTCATTTTGAATACTGTGCGTGCAGTATATTTCTTGTTGGGACCTGCAGAGGACCGCGTGCATATTTCCCACAAATTGTATAGTTTTGAACGACACACAATTCGAATAGCGGAATCCTTCGGTGCTGTTCTAGCATGTGATTGACGGCACCAAGAAACCTGTTCCAGTGCGTGATGGATTCAAAAAGCGTGACCAGCCCAACTTTCTTGTATTTTTGTGGTATACTGTTTTTTTCTGGTTACTCCATTGAGGTTCGCTCTGCAGTTACGATTATTATAGTGGTCTTTTAGCATAGTATGCGTTTCTTTAAAGATAAATATATGCTCTGCATTTGGGCAGAACCAATAACTTTGTCATATAATGATCAAGAAGGGCTGGTCACGCTATTTTGAGCTTCGCTTCGTATTAGAACAATATACAGTACTGTTCATTTTTTGGCCAGTCAAACTCGTCGGTTCATCACGTACCAGAGCAGCACCATTTCTATTTTATTTATTGAAACTTGCCGATTTCATCAAAATCCAGGATAACTGGTTCATTAGGGAGCAAATTTTTTATTTTTGTTGTTCGTGTGGTCTGAACCTCTATTTCTTAGTGAACAATTGTGGCTTTAGTAGTTCAGTTTTTCCCACGAATGTTGAACAAAAGGACCCCGATTTCAATTCAATTTTAGTGGCTCACAAAACGAAACAAGAATGGCATTTTTTTAAAGGAACGCGTGGCTTTCGGTTCATGTCAGTTATGTGCTCAGAGAGTCACGGATTTTTCTTACTTTGAAAATCGGTTGCGAACTGTAATTAAAATTCATTATTCTCGAAGGAACCTGTTGATGGACATGCTGTTTGACAACCAAAAGAAATTGATTCCTCTATTTTAGTCATCGTGTACAATCTCGATGATTTGGGTTAGCTTTTCTTAACGAATTTGTGTGTGAGAATTCAAATTTGCTCGAACTTGTTCAGCAGCCAGAAAGGGGGGAAAATCAGCACAATCCACATGTTTTTTTTCACGAAGATTTGATATTCGAAACGCTCTCGTGTGTTTTATTGTTTTTTTTCTTTTACTTGACGATGCATTTTGTATGATATTTCGTAACGGAGAACGACTACTCGAGAATACGTGTGGAGGCTATTTTGCAACTTTTGTACATCTTTTAACGCAGCTTCGACGTTAATCTTGGGAGGGCGGAAAGAGGACAGGCTTAGTTCCTCGTGTTTCGTTTTTCCCTTTTTATGACGAGATGCAGATGATGATGGAAAAAAGGTTTCAGCGGCCGACGAGCAAGTTTTCATTACGTTGGCATGGCAGCGAAAAATTATGTTTCGCTAATAGCTGTTTATGTTTATCGCGATGAGGAAAAGCGAGTGCGGGCGCATGTGTCTTTTTTTTCAGTTGGAACGCATTGTTGGAAAGCAATTTCTAATCTATATTTCTTCCCTCTTTTCTTTCTCCCCTGTTGACTGTTTAATTTTTTTTGTGTGGCTTTTTTCACCATTTTTGTTTTGGAAATTTTTTTTTATCCGGGGAATAACGTTTTCCGCACTCGCTGGGTTGGTTTTTTTGCGTTTGCACTTCGTTGTTGGCTATGGGGTTGGTTGTGTGTGGTGTGTGATAGGAGTTGAGAGTGGAGTCCGTAGTACCGTTGTATCGAGGCAGGAAACCGAAGGAGGCTTTGACGCCGGTGATGGAGGATTCACCGCCGCCACTCCTGCCGCCGAAGCCGACTGTAATTGAGGACCCGCCTCCACCACCACGTCCACCGAAGCCGCCGCAAATGCAACCCGATGCGCACCTGAAACGGGAAATTATTCATACAATTCAAATGACTGACGAGGTGGTCGGCGGTGGAGAAGAGAAACGGTTGTCCTTGTCGGACAGGCTGAAAAAGGAGCGGGACGAGTTTTTCAGTCGAGAGAAGTTGCAGCAGCAGCAGCCGTCGAGGAGAATTTTGGGTCGAGGAGATGAGTTTTTGTCGTCGTCGTCGTCTGGGGACGAAGTAGGAGATCCGCTGAGGACGTCGAAATTGCCGGGAGCAAAGAAGAGTGTGACAACGACGACGACGACCGTGACGAGTGAGGAGCGGAGACACAGGATGGAGACGGAGGATGTCGTGCTGAGAAAGTGGTGGAAGGTACTCGTGGCACTGCGAGACGCTTGTTGAGGGAAAAGCGATGCTTTTGATGTTTTATGGGAACAAGGCTTTTCAACCGTTTTGTGACGAGTGACACTTTCCAGATGAGTTAGTGTTCATGTGCAGCGCATGAACGTACACTGGCTCTTCATACAACGAAAGTAAAACAGCTTCTCATATGACGAATTAGCGTAAATAGCGAACGTCGGGGGAAAAAAAAAAAAAAATGTCCCACATGACAAGCTCTTCACCCATCTAAATGCGTCCATTTTTTGAAAGAGTCATCATATTCAATTTTGGGACAAATTAATTTAATCCTTGGTAATGGTTTTTCCATGAACGTGTATTAAAAAGGCGTCTTTTATCAACAGTCCACTTGTTCGAACAAATTAGGTTCGTTGTATGAGGCTACGCTGCATTACCGCATACAGCATCTCTTTAACCGAAGTTGAAGATGTGTCATTTCACTATAGTTCAATTTAGTTTTTTTTTTTTAGAGTATCGTTATAACGGTTTTTTGACGAATGCGTCATCCAGTCCCTCTTCAGTTTGTTCTGACGAAAGTTTACTGCTTTACAGTATGGTTAACCCATAATTCTGTCGATCATTTATTCATTCGAGCCCTCCCTCAGTTTATTTTAAGTTCGTCTTTTCTGATGGGCCATCAGTGTTACGCGCACAACCAGTAGAAATGCTCTGTTCCATTGAATTATTGTCAGGACACCGTTTTTTTTTTCCTGCGGGTTTCTGTCGCATTATTTGCTATTATTGGTCGTCCGTGATCGTATTTTGTTCCGTGTTATCGATTTCGCTTTTTGCTGCATTTGATTGATGCTGGTCAAAATTTTTCAGCACTTCAGAATTTTCTTATTTTATGCTTTTTGCGTGGAATTCTTGCCGTTTTTTATTGGAAGCTCGACGTTTTTATGCGGTTTTTTATGTCGAATTTATTTTTGGTCCATTTATGGTCTCGTCTTGTTTGGAAAGGAGTTGTTCCGGTCCACTCTTCTTTGCAGTTGCTGCGGAATGATTTATTTTGTATTTGTGATTTTTAGGAATTCATTTTCGTATTGCTGCTTGCGTAGATTTGTTTGCCCTTCTCTTCGGAAGCCCACGGCATTGGTTTCTTTGTTTATTTTTTTTATTTAAGTATTGGTTATTCAGTAAGTACACCTTCTTTCCAAATCGGCATATTGATTTTGCCTTGATTGATACTGAACATAATTTTTTGGACCTATTTTCTTACTGCTTCGGGCGTTGATTTGGTTGTAGTCAAATCGTGTTTTCATTACATTTTGCACATTTGATTCATTTTCTTCATGATGCTTATAAGCTTTTTCCCGTTCTCAATGTTTGATTCGAATGTTTTTCTCTGAATTATATCAGAAGCTGCACTAATTTTTGTCTGTGCGCAAACTGTATTTAAACATTTTTTCACTTTTTGGTTAGATGTTATCGGCGTAATTCTCATTAAAATTGTATGAAGAATGCAAATGTTCTTTCAAAAAAGCCGGTTGGAAAATATTCGCTTTTAATATATTATCAACATTTGATAATACGGTAAAATTATCAAATACAGTAACAATCGAATTTTTCCTCTGGGTATAATGTTTGTTTTCAAAAAATTTTAGTCATGCCTGAAGATTTGTCAAACAGTTGGTTGTGAAAAAACTGTTTGTGTTATTTTCTTTGATGTTAATACCACTTGTTGTTGCGTTCATTTATTTATGCATGTGGGCTGTTTGATCATGGGGGCTTGTTTGCATGTGGTTTTATGAGGGCATTTTGTTTACAAATGGAGTTTTTTTTTGTGTGAAAGATTACTCTTACACGTGGTTCTCTTTCCAGCCGGCAGACAAGAAGATGGGGGATTCGCCGGCACAAATGAGCTTTAGTGCGAAGAAGAAGTTTTTCGAGAAAGAAATCGAGCAGAGCGGTCAGCCGCTTCCCCGTCAAGGTTTGACTTATTTCAATGTGTTTTATTACAATTTTTACTTCGTTTTTCATTTGTGTGGGTAGAGCTGTTTTGGTTTTGCTTCATTTGATTTTTAATTTTTTCTCGTTTGTGGTTTTGTTTCTTACGCACGTTTCAGAAAAGCACTTCAGCTTTCTTAGCGAGGACGAGATTGAGAAGATGAAGCAAGAAGAAGGTGTGAAACGTGTTGTCAATTCATTCATTTTTCGAGTTCCTTCTTGTTCTTTTTTGCGTTGCATTAAACGTTGATATCATTCTTAGGAAAGAAAATAGCCTCTCTGTCTGACGAGCAGATCCTCAACTTATCCCGAATGGGAGAGGACCACGAAGAAGAGATGGAAGCCATTCGAGCTGAGCTTGGGTTGAATGATTCGTCCACTTTGGATGCTGAACCTTCGTAAGCTATCTGTTATTTCATATAAGAAACCGTAAGACCAAAGCTCAACTGTAAAGCTATTTTCTAACCACTGCTTTAAAATGATCACTTACCTGATTTGATATCTTGTAGTGTCCTAAAACGAAGTCTGATTAAGCTAGTTTTAGCTGAACTAAATTACTATAATTTAATGAAGCCGAACAAAATTCCGGCGGCATTTACAGGATGGCAAAGTGGAAACGAGAAGTGTTGACTTCGGAAGTACAATACTTTTGTGGCTTCAAATTTCAAATTAAAATCGAAACGTGGAGCTGGATTTTGTTACTTTTTCAACTTCATGATTTTCGTTCTTTTTCGTTAGTGAAAATGGGGCTAATTGGTTTTTCGACTTCGGTTTGATTCTTTTCTGATATTTCTTTTGTCGCGGAAATGTGAACTTCTTGAAGTCCTATTTTGCGGTTAATGTATCATTTCTCGCGCTGTGAATGTGGGATTTTAGTGCTGGTTTTGGCAGGCCTATCGAATTTTGCATTCAAAGTTTCGGCATCAAATATGTTTCAGGACCGGAGCGTCGAAGCTGGAAGCCCTTTCAAGCATCCTATCGACCGTCCACACCGCGAAAGCAGAAAAAAGACTTCGGGAAAAGTTGAAACAAGAGGTAAGTTTCGCAAGGTCGACAATCTTGACGATCTTGGTTCTCATCCCCTAAACTTTTTTTTATTTTTAATTCATTAGCACGGGATCGATTTGGACAAGGAAGAAAGCCAGTTGAACCCGGCGGAGCAGCGAGCTTTACAGGCTGCTCGTCGGGCAGCGTGGCGAGAAGCTAGGTTGAAGAGTCTGGAGCAAGACGCGCTGCAGGCGCAAGCCGTGATTGCTCACCTGAATGACCTGGGCATCCGTTCAGACGACTTGGAAGAGGACGAATTGACGACTAATGAACAGTTGCCGCGAATCGCTGAGCATTCGGGGGTCGACCTGGAAAATAATGTGGTGAGTGTATATTGTACTTTATTCCCGATCACGTCGGTTTTATAAATTAATTTGGTGTACAATGTTTTCTCGTTGAAGCTGCCCTCGCCCTCTGCTCGCATACGATGCATGAAAAGCGGCGAGACCTTTTTTGCCCGCAAAGCGGTTTTTTTTGTTTTTTATTTGCTAGAACGCGAATTTCTTTCAAAGCCTGTGGATCATTCTTTTTCCTCCATGAATCTCGGTCATATCCCTCCAGATGGACTGTGGGAGCCAATGTCCTGTGAATGAATCAGATGACCTTGAAAAAATGGTTGCAGTTTTTCAGCAAAGAATTGTATCAGGGAAGAATTGTATCTGTCGTGTGGGAGAAGTTCAGATGAAGGCCTATTCTTCGTTTGAACAAAAGCTTTTCCCCAGAAGTTTCAACCTGTTTCTCTTGCATCGAGTTCAAAAGAAACGAGAATTAAAAATTCTAATTCACACGAATTTAGCTTTTTTCGATTTGCAAGTTAATGAGGCGAAGAATCAATTGGCATTAATAAATTTGTGGACGATGTTGTCTTCCTCGTCTGTCTGGTTCACAGCTTTTCGACTTTTTTCTGCATTTTACTGCATTAAATATGTGAGTTCAACAACCTTTTAGGGATTACCTAAGGCTTGAAGTCCTTGAACTGAATTCAAAGACGCGTAAATTTCAAAATCACCGCACGCAAGAAATGTTATGGATTCAAAAGTACGACTGAGTACATTTTCCAGACTTTTTCACTTGATTCGAATCTCCGTATGTGGCATTTTCATTCTTCCACCATCTTTTGTTCCGACTCACTACTCATCCAAAATCGGGTAGCCGATTACTCCCAGTTGGGAAGCCCTGCTCTAGTTCATGAAAAAGGTCGGACCGAGTGTAGCATAAGAAATATAGGTCGAATTTTGAAGCAAGTATTTATGCATGAAGAAAGGTCGTTCATCTCGAAAGCTTGAAAAATACCGATGATCACGTGCTCATGATGACAATAGTTCTGTTTCTGATGCAGACCGAGGATTCGAATGCGAACATTTCCATGCAAAGTGCAGCCTCAGTGACGGACGACTCCGGCATGGTGACCACGTCAACGATGGATGGAGCAAGGGAAGACATTGCGGAAGTGGCCTCGCTGGTAGACAAAAAGAAGAAAAAGAAGCGTGTCAATAAATCTACGCGATAAGTGTAACATGACCAATTGTACATGACCAAAAGGAAGGAATTTTAGCAAAAGGAGATTTACCGCATGCCCGGAACAAAGTGTGAGCACTTTTGGACATTTTTGAGCGAAGTATTGGACAGAAGACTGGGATCGAGCTTTGATGTTGAGCGACAGGTTTTAGTCAAGCTCTATGTTATTTTGGGAACATGTTATCCGAAAGTACACTTAGACACTTCTGACGCCGTATCTCGGGAATTCGCTCATTTTCTGGTCTGTTTCCCCCACTCGCTGTAAAGATTATTTTGTGTTCGTAATCCACGAAATGTCAAAGCGATAATTCCATTATATCGAGACGAAAAAGCATGGAAAATTTTTTGTTTGATGTTATTTTGATCGTGACTGTTGTCGAGAGAGATGGAGGCATTTTTTGGACACTGTTGATTGTGGTGTGTGTGTTCCTCGCGCATTGCTCGCCTTGTTTGTTGAATGCGCGAGGAAGAAATCGGCTTTTGTGACGCGTCTATTCTGCGCATTGTACGATTTCGCACATTTTCTATAGATGACTGCCCACGAAGCTTCGAAAAACTGCTTGCTTGATTACTAGATCTTTTGGGTTCCGCGAGGACGTTTTTTTTTCTTTATAATTGGATCCGTCAATATATTTATTTATAAAATATTAAATGCGACCTGTCCTAAATCATTGATCCGCGTGTGACATTGAATCAGCTACTGTATGAGCTTGGGCTCATACATTTTTGGGGTCATGTTCCAGTCTTGTTTGATGAACGTAGACTGACAAAAATCTTCTGGTTTGCCTGGCTGTAGTACAGTACTTCCTGATCTTTGTTCAAATTTTCTATACTCTAAATGGAAAGAAGTCGGGATTGGAAGCCCACCAAATCACTGTTAGCTTGAATGCTCTCAATAATTCTTATTGGAGTATTTTGTTCCTGACGGAGGTCACCAATCCTGTAGGCCAAGGGAACAGAAGCCATTGTTCAGTACTCAATTTGTAGGACAGATTTATGAGCAAGCTACACTTGTTCCTTCCACAGCAATTTTGAGGGAAAATTTAAATTTTTGTTCTTCTGTCTGAAAAACGGCGGTTTTTTCCGGTACATTTAATAACGCAAGGCTTGAAAAATGTTTTTTGGCGATTCTACGTACAGTCGAACCACATAATGTAAAGGTGGGTTAGACCCCACTGCTTCTAAACTGAGGTGACTGCGCGGAATGCAAAATCAGGTAGACCCATAAGAAAATCCAGGAAGTTCTGTGCTTAGTTGAGGCTTCAGCGGTGTGCTAATGCGTCATTTGGTCGTCCCTGGATGTAATTAAAATTTCTAATAAGAAGGAATGGTCCTGTTCTTCAATCAATAGGCTCGAAATTGCCCTTCGCGTCTAGGAAGTCGCGTGCTGTCCTTCAAGACCATATGACAGTTACCTGGTGATACCCGCGATGAGTTCTGCTTGCTGTAAGTCTTGACCCTTTCTGAATCCATCGTAACTATAAAACACACTCCCTTCAGATCGAGGAAGCTCTGGGGTTATTGTCATACCAAAAGTTGGGGAAGAGGAAACGAAGGTCACGCTTAATAACACGAAGAGCTGCAGGGTTGCTGCTTACAGCCCCGACGGAAAAGTTCTCGCATTTTACGATGGAACCTGGTCAGTCCTCTTGTGGTTGAATTCAGCGGAAGTTTCATCACCAAATCTTGTGATTTAGTGTTCTTGTACATGACGGAGATACTTTCGAAGAAGTAGCCAAGCTTCCCGTTGCTCGCGCGCATGCCTTGCAGTTTTCTCCGCATGGTTCGTTTTTGGCATCATGGGAGCAGTATCGGAGTGAGTATCTGCTGTTTATTGGGTTTGCTGAAACCGTAATCACTCGATTATGAGACGCATTTCTTTGCGAAATTTCGCTCGAATCCATCACGACACGTTTAAGATTCTTTGAAAGTGCATGTTCGCTGATGATAAATGGAATCTTCGGGATATAAGTAAAGCCGAACTGATTATGAAGTCAATTAACCGAATTTCTAACCCCATTTTAAATTTCTTGGCACATTTTAGAAACTGATGCGGTTGAAAAAGTAAGATTTGCAGGAGTCACTTCAAAAGACCCACTCTTTCTCCAAAACAATTGAATCAGGTGGAAGCAAATTTTTTATTCCCGAAAAATGATCTGCGGGACATTAAAATAGCGATGCTTCTTGTCATCAGTGTAATCCTTCATGTGAATGAATATTATGTGAAGTGCATTCATCTTTTCATTCTAAAACTTTCGCAGCTACTCCTAGCAACCCCACGGGAGAGAAGAACTTGGTGTTATGGAGTCGAGACTCCACGTACGGTCAGTCAGTGGCATTCTTTCAGAAGAAATTTCAATTCTGGTGTCCTCAGTGGACAAGCGACGAATCGGTTTGCTCCCGGATGGTGAATAACGAGATCCAATTTTTCGAAAACGGAGACTTCGGAAAAATTGCCAGAAAGATCCATGTTGACAAGGTATCTGCATTTGGGCTCTCCAACACCGGCACTCTAGCGACTTTCGTTCCCGGTAAATTGTGGATGCTAAGGGTTTGTTATGGGGTTCTTGACCTCTTTTTTTTTTCTGAAGGTACGAAAGGCCAGCCGTGCGCCGTTCGGCTGTTCCAGTATCCTAATCTAAACGATGTTCTGGCGAATAAAAGCTTTTATAAAGCTGAGAATGTAGAGTTCAAATGGAACATCACGGGACAAAGCGTGATTGTGGTAGCTCAAACCGAGGTTGACGACACAGGTGCTTCATATTACGGCCAGACTTCGTTACACTTCCTTGACGTGAAGGGCGAAACGCAAATGGTACAACTAGGTGAGATTCATTCAGCATCCCAGAACTTGACAGTACCTCTCTTGTAGTTCAGTTAGTACTGTACTTATGGAATGGGCAGAGGGGTTGGGGAATCGGCGACTGAGTGTGCTGCTCTTATTTGCATCGTTGCCTTTGGTATCGCAGCCTTGTGAAATTAGTGATTCTGTGAAGACACAAGTTTGTTGGTCGTCAACGTGAAAAACATAAATTGTAGTACTTGTGGCTTGAGTTCAATGTTGCTCGGCTTGCTTCTCAAACTTTGCTGATATTCTGTGTATTTCAATCTAAATTTGTTAGACTAGTTTCGGGTTCCCGTTTCTCATCTGTTCCACTCCTCATCGATTGTTTCTTAAGTTCGGAAAGTTGAAGAATACTTGCAGCTACTCAAGTTCACGGCGGTGAACCTCATTTATTTTATTGTGGTCTGCTGGACAGTCCAAAATGAATGGCAAGTCTCGTGGTAAAGCAAACCTGCGCTGTGTGGTTGTCCGCTCGTCATTATTTTCTCGTTGGCCACGTGCGTTAAGTTGTTCTGGATTGTCACGTACTAGAGAATTATTTCTTCGATTGTTACTGGAATGCATTGGCGAAGCGGCTGCAATCCCTTTCCCAGTTAGGAGCCCTGTTGCAACGATGGTTTATTTGACAAGCCTAATACAGTATATCTGTTTGTGGGTACAGTTGTAGCGAATAAGGAGCGTTGATCTGAGTTTATGAATAACTACCGATCTTCACTCCCATTGTGTCATTATTGGATGTTCTAGAATAAGTTTGCTCATGTTCTCGCAGCGAAAAAAGGACCAGTTTACGCCGTTGACTGGAACCCGGCTACAGGAGAAGAGTTCTGCGTTGTTTACGGATTTATGCCTGCTTCTGCCACACTTTTTTCGCGGAAATGCGAGCCAGTATTTGAGTTTAAGACTGGCAGACGAAACACGGTGTATTTCAACGCTTTCGGAAACAGTGAGTGGAAGTTCTTTTGGGAGTGATGAAGTTGTTTTCCTGAAATCAGATTACCACTATGTTTAGTGCTAATCCTCGCCGGGTTCGGAAATCTAAGAGGCAATATCGAAGTTTGGGGCTTGGACGCTGCGGATAAGGGAAGAACAACACCGAAACTCGCTGCACAGTTCAGTGCGCCGGACTCGACACTTCTTCAGTGGAGTCCGGATGGTAAAACCATCCTCACTGCCACATGCTCCCCTCGGTTGAAGATTGGAAATGGGTTCGTTGTGATTTATATGTCCTTCTTGTTGCTGCCCCTCATTGCGTTCGCATTCGTTTATGTGCCTCCTTATATCTGTTACCTGTACTGGAATGGAGGTTGAGAGTGTCGGTTATGATCTCGTACAGTATGTTGTTTTCAGTAGTTAGTTCAGGGCGACATTAGTTACGGTTAAAAGATTTTAGTTCGGAGGGGAACTTCAGTTAGGTTAGGTGAGGGGTGTTGGGTTTTTAAACTTTTTATGCATTATTTTCTTGTCCGATTAGTTTAGGATACTGTAGTGTGATGGAAGTTTATGATTAGGGTTGGTCTAGTGTCGGATTAGTTTCGTTAAGTTTAAGATAAAGTTGATGTAGTGTTAAAAAGGGGTTTGTGTGGAGTCGGTTGTGAAAAGAGTTTCTTTTGTGTGGCTAGATTACTTTAATTGGTCATATTTTATTTTTGCTGGCATAGGTAATTAAAGAATCTGGAACAGTTGTTCGAGAAGGAATCACCGTTTACTGAGCTAATGAGAAATACTCACCTTCGACGTTTTTTTTTTTTTTTTTATAGATACAAGTTCATTGATTATCACGGGAAAGTCTTGCACTCCTTCTCCGTCCCGGATGGCGAAGAAATTTGGGATGCCATGTGGCGTCCTGTGCCTGCAGGAACCTACGCAAAACCGCAGATTCAGTATTTGGCAAATGCAGGGAATCAACTCGCGACTGGTAACGGCGAAGCTCCTGTTGCGGGTATGTGATGCATTGGCGGATCTCCCTGCATTATCTCTTGGCTATGTCTACATTCTTTCATTATCACTGTGTTCACATCCATGAACAATTGGATTTAAAAATTCAGGGACGAGGATGTTTGTTGCGAAAACGATGATTCTGAAGTGAATTCCTTCGGTCTGACTTATTTTACGCTGATTACAGCATGAAAATAAATGTTTGGGAGATTAATTCACAGCGTGTATTTTTATATTCAATTTTCACATTCTTCCACATCGTTCGTAACAATGACAAAGTTTATTTAGCCGTCTCTGACGTAGTGATATCATGTTGTAATTTTACTGAAAGGTTAAATACTTTCTGCTTCTTAGTTCATCGCTTATGTGTATGTTCCATGTGATTCTTGGAAAATACGAGTACAGTACTGTAGCGAAACTGTTCAGCTACAGTTTTTATCATCGAACAGCAATTACCATTTTATGCCCATCGTCTCCCTTTTCTTATGCTCGTATCATACATTTTATTTTTCAATTTTTTCATCCTTCTTCACAGCGTACAGGCCTCCGATGGCGAGAGATATGCCGAGAAAAGAATTCAAATTGCATCATTCCGATGACGATGAGGGCCCAAGTGCGTCGACAATTTTCAAATTTGTTATTATGTGTGGTTCTGAATTTTGACCTCCTCGTTATGTTTTCTATTTCGAAGGTCCGTCACATTCGAAGAAGAATAATAACAAGAAGAAGAACCGGCCGAAAAAGCCAAACGCATCTACGGGCAATGAGAACTTAGCTGTGATCAAAGACTCACCGCCACCGCCTGGCGAGCCCGTCGACAAGGAGCGCGAGATTTTCAAGAAAGTCCGGCAACTGGAAAAGGTTGCGTTTTTTACTTCCTTCTATTTTTTTTAACCTTAATATCTTGTCGTGATGTGCCATTAAGAAAGAAATCTCATGTAATCAGAGGTGATTTTCAGGATTCCCCGAGATACTTCAGATGCGAATTTTCTCGCATTGATCAGGCTAGTGTTGGAAGCCTTAAGGTTCGATACTGACACAAGCTTTCCGTTCGTCTCAGATTCAGTTTCGTTGTTGTCACTAGCTCACTACCGTATTTACTTGATATGAAGCGTATTTTTTCTCATCACTGTGTAACTCACAGAAATAATTGCTACCACTGTCGCAACAAGTTGCTCTCCAGGACAGCTCAATTCATATCTCCTTTGATGAGTTTTTATGTTCGGTTTGTGCAGAAATTGAAGGAGATCCAGAAGATAAAGGACGATGCTGCTGCGGGAAAAACTTTATTGGACAATCAAAAAGTGAAGCTGGCGAAAGAAGAAGACTTGATGAAAGAACTGCAAAAGTTGAAGGTGTAATCGCGCTTGACGAAGAGCTTTTTTTTTTCGCTTCTACGGTTTTGCCTGTTACGTCCTCATCGGAGCAATTGACTTCGATACGAAGGAAGAGAGAAGATTGTGTGACTTGCTCGTGAAAGAAAATAATCAAAGTCCTCTTCTCTGAGTCGTTCAATTTCTTGCGTCGTTGATGTTTGATGGGACGAAAGCTTGGACTGTAAGAACTATTACTGATACCTCTCGATGCAATGTGCGCTGATCATTCTGAAGTGATGCGAGACGTTTATCCACTGTAGTCAGAAGTTTCATGGGAGCCAGTCCCCACCACTCCTGACTCATTTCTAAAATTATTTTGATGCCTTTCGTGATGCAGTTGATCCATCCAGTGTTAGAATAATTCGTTTGAATAAATTTAACGCTTTGCAAACCGTAAGTGACGTTAAAATAAGTTTGCCCAGCATTTCTATTCCAAGAAAAAAAGAACGATCTTAGCTTTGATAATTGCGTTCGAGTGTCAGGAACGATTTAAATCGTGAGGCTCCTGTGAAAAAGCTGTGAAGCCAGGTGGATCAACTGTCAAGTATTTTTGAATCTGGAAATTTGAGTGGTTGCAGTTATTTTCCCGCAGGGTGTCAGTGGTATTATTTTGAAGCGCTTGTGCGAGGACACTGAAGTGTGAGACTCCGCATAGAGTTTCAAAATGAGTGACAGGAAGGCCGTGATCAAGAATGCGGACATGCCTGAGGAAATGCAGCAGGACGCCGTTGATGTTGCAAATCAGGCACTGGAAAAATACAACATAGAGAAGGTGTGTAGTTGTACTTAACATTCATGTTCATTCGAAATGTTACGCTTTGAGAAATCCCCTTTATTTACATTACGATAGTGTCACTGTACTGACGCACTTTCATGATTTTATCAGCCCATTACGCGGAAGAACGAAATCAAGTTTTTGAATGCTTGCTGAGAATTGGGAAGTTTCGTTCAACTATTGCACAAAAAGAATGTGTCCCGTTTAGTTGAGCGCATTTTTGCCTCGAGAAATATTTATTTTGAAATCTTACATCTGATCAAGACGCAGCTTTGTTTTTGAAAGCTTTTTTTTTCTCCATTTATTCTTTAGTCATATTATTAAATAATTTTATGTGTCGTTTTTCCGCTCATCTGTACCCGGCCGTCTGATTTTCGCGCTCAGTTGATGGAAAAATTTTTCTCCATTAAGTTGAATATTTGTATTGTATTCTCTCTGTAATTGTCCGTGATGGTTCGACGTAATCTCTACTGACTTCAAAATATTTCTCATCACTCTTCAATTCACAAAATAAAGCATTCAACGAATTCCGATCTTCTCGTGTTTTTCTTCTTCGGCGAGCTCATTGTACAGGTATTTCCAAGAAATAAATCAATTTCAAGAATTAGAGGCTATCATCTTCAAGTCGAGCTTGGAAGGACCCGCAACCGTTCTGATTTGGGAAGTCTTTGAGTTGCGGAGTTCTTGAAAGAATGCAGACAGGAACTAAACGAAAATTTTACATAGGGCGGTTTTTTATTTAAGGTTTGACTTAGCAAGGTAAAATTGTGCTTGGAAGATTTTAGAACAATTTAATTGATGAAGTCCTATTTCTGCTTATATTTCCCTCCCGCGGTCCTACATCTTGTCCAAAAACCCAATGATGGTCTGAATTTGTTGAGGAAGTTATCGTGGTTTTTTTCAGGATATTGCCGCGTTCATCAAGAAGGAGTTTGACAAAAAATACAATCCAACTTGGCACTGCATTGTCGGCCGGAATTTCGGCAGCTACGTGACGCACGAGACGCGACACTTCATCTACTTCTACTTGGGGCAAGTCGCCATCCTGCTCTTCAAGTCCGGCTAAATTGCCCGACTTTTCTCTTTTCTCGCTCCTCACACAATTTTCTCAATTTTCATCCTCTTCCAACGCACGGATTGCTTGAATCTCACCTCATCGATCTTGGCGTGATCGTCGCATTCCGCAGAAGAAAGAAAATGCTAGGCTTTAATAATAATGGCCAGGGTGTTGAGGCCCCCCGTGTTTTGTTTTTTCATCATCGCCGAGAGGGCGTTAACTGATAGTATTTCTCGCATGACCTATAAGTCAGGTGTGGAACGACTTAATACTGTATTTTCAAGAGATGCTTCTTTTCGAGACTCATAGCTAAGATGTTGTTTTAGGAGTTTTGCGCTTGTTCGTTGAGGGCCGCTATCATAATTCGTTGGAACCGCGCGGTGCAATTGTCATTCTTTGTTAGCTCCTGTGCCGTAATAAATTTGATTCATGTTGTCATGAAAATTCTGTGTTATTTCAATATTGATATTTTCAACAGCTATCTTAAGTGTTCTAAGTATCACCCGCGCATGAATTTAAATTTCATAGAAACTTCGTAGAATTTCCGTATGATTTACACCCTACTTCTTTGTTGGCATGAAATTTTGGAGAGTTGCTCAGAGCCTAACTCGACTGAAACGTTGGGTCCATGAATTCCAGTTCTATTATTTGATAGGTTTTCGTCTGCCAATGAAAACCAGAACAGCTCACTTTTCAGAAATGTGTTGAGACGCCCATGGCGCTCGATAAAGTACGGCTTTTATGGTTCCCTTGGTTGAACATTATACCAAGTGCTATCTGTGCGGTGTCATCCATGTCTTCAAGTTCAATCAAGTCAGTTCTTAACGCAAGTTGACGATATTTCACTGTAAGGGTACTCAGTGAAATATCTGTTTTTCTGTATAAATTGTCAGCTGCTGTAATTCTAATAACAGGATATCACTGAAAACCGGGTTTTGCTACGTATGCAGGGAGACACATTTATTTGCAAACTTTTCAGCTGAAACATTGTGGTTGATGTCTTGTCCACGGGTGCAAATCTTACTCGGGGAATACAGTAATTCATGTTCAATTAATTCCAAGTGTGAAAGCTTCAGTTTTTCGGCAAAATTAAAAACTGTCCGCGCTAAATCTCACCCAATGAGATACAACTTCATACTGTTCTTGGACCAGAGCTTGTCTGTACCATTACATTAACTTTGTCACAGTTGTGTTGAAAATTATGAACACGGAGTTAGCACAAATCCAATACATGTTGTTTTTCTCGTCGGACAAATTCGTGTACCGTCTGCCAAGTGCTTCATGCACAGACAAAGGTATACGGGTCTTGCCACCGCACACTTACTCAGCAAGTTCCAGTATACCATACATGAAGTGACAGTATACATTGTGAGATGGCTGGCGTGCGGCGACTCGTTGCCGTAGCGGTTTCAACTTGTTACTGCCCTGTGATTTGATCCGCAGTTTTTCCCGCAATGCTTTAATCGGGACACAGAAGACACGAAAAACCGTTCAGGTGTCGCGAGTAATTTTACCCCCTTGTCCTTGAGTCGCCCAGGTCTGAGAATCCAGGCTCCCAGTCTTGTCGTATGTGGGGATCGAATGTCGTTACGCTGGGTGCTGTTGATGGAACGAGCCCCCCTGTGATGTGGATGATTTGTTGTTGCCCTGGGACTATGAAGTCCGAACGAAAAGTGGGGAAGCAGGAAGTGATCCCGTCCTGTAGATTTCCTTCGGATAGGGCACTGAAGGTTTTTTTGGGGTCATGATGCAATGAGAAAATGCAGGTTAATGCTCCACGGTTGGCCTCCCTCTGACCCACCCCAGCTAGGCCTTCATCACCGGTCCAGCGACGTAAAGTAATTTTGAATTTCACTGAACATGTTATACTGTTCCTGCAAATTCTAAGATCGAATTTCTGCGAAAACTGCATACTTCCTGACATTCCATAGCACCTAGGTAGAGTTTTTTTTTAAACATCACTATACACTTGAATTAGGATCAATAAGTCAATGCGATATATGTACCGGATAACGAAGTCAGCGGAGCACAAGAACTGTTCAATTTCCTACCTATACTTCCGCACGTGTACTTCCGAAACGTTTTTCTCCAACAACTTATAACACAACTATCATCACCTCGACAAATATAGAAATACTGTACTGTAAATTTCCTTCCACGGTGGTAATGCAGGAAAATTTTGCTCCACAATTATTGAACCTGTATTTGAAAAGGAAGTGTTCATATCAAAACGTCTTGATGTGTACACACTTCAAGTGAAACTGTTGGAGAGACGGATTATATTGCCAACTTGATTCAGGAAGAACCCTTGTACCCCTTATTTTTGTGGGGTAACAATATTACGGTGATGTTGATTTTTTACAGTAAGAAATGGGCTACACAAAAATATATTGCTAGATGCATTTTCCATATGTTTCTGAGTCTCCCACGAGTGCATCTATGGCAAGCAGATAGAAATATTGGGCATTGTACAATAGTTTAAAGTACAGTATTAAAAAAGTTGTGTCTTAGACTGTATCTCCAAGCTCCTTGGTTCTTTCATTCTACTGGAAACTACAGCATAAATTATTTGTGAGTTCCAAGCAATGAAATGGCCCCTCATTTGCGTTGCTACCCAGGATGTTTTGCCATCAGTTACCCTGGATTGGCTTACAGTATATCATGAAGTGTATTGGTAATTTATTAATTTCCTTATGCTGTAAATCCTTCATATTATCCTCAAGGGCTCTGTCACTCCATCTTGTGAACCCCTTGTGTCACGCAGTGTGCCTGTGAATTAATGCCCATATACTGCCCTATACAGTATTGTTGATCGGAAGTGTTCGGGTGTTCCGCCCAAGTTATCCCTAACTTGGGATCGTGAATATCTGCTGAAGCACCAATTCACCACTGCAAATGTGAGCTCGTCTGTTAGAAGCATAGTATTTTGTTCAAATCTACGCGATTAAAATTACTATTGACCCCGTCACGACGACTAGTGTTGTGTTCTGGATTAAAACTCGCCCGTCATGACACCGACCGCTTTTCCTTTTGATGAGAGTATGAAAAGGTTGTATTAGATTATGGAAAGTTCGTTAAATCCTTCGCGACGCACGTAAAATGGATCAATGCCATGTGTGAAGTCAATTAAAAATTGAAAGCTTGAAATGCCTCAGATTCTCTGTTATCAAGCTTTCCAAGTCGCATAGCATTTGTGCGTGGAGTGTAAAGCGATTGATAAAAGAAGAAACACGTGAATATAGTAAGCCGCGCGTGTATATTTATTGTGGATGTTTTACGCTGCGTCGAACCGAATTTTCAGAAAATTGTGAAACGTTTTGAATCCGCCAACGCTCGTTAAACGATCACTTTTCCAATATGAGAAGTGTAAACTAGTCTCAATTTAACTCAGAATCCTGAACAATTCTTCTTATATGAGCGCGTGATGGATTCCCTGAGTCGATTAAAATACTGTGTATTCGTACTTCTAAGTTGCATGTAATATTTGCTGACGAGTGATTACGCGATTGAAGAGGAGAATATTCTCCAGCAGTTTTGTGGAATATTCACGTGTCTTCATGCTTCGAACCGATCGGATTTATTTTTGTGTAAGACCATAAAAAGTTCGTTGAATCCGTAAAACGATGACGTAGACCCCATTCCGTTTATGCGACTCTACTTATCCAGCCTTTAACCTACGCCTGTTTTCAAAGAACTCGTGCGCAACTAGATTTTCCACGTCATGCCTAAATCGCGCCATGAAACGTGCTTGGATGCGTGAAACACGGTGACGTGATTGTTTTCCATGCATGATAATTTACGCGTTTTCATTCACTGAGTCATCGGTTACGTTACGTCTGTCGCTCAAGTGGCCTACCAGGAAGTTCGATCCTGAAGTGTGATAGATTTGAGAAAACGTTACGCAGCAGACATGTGATTGCTGTTTTCGGATCTACCACGGAATATAGGTTTTACAGGTCTTTTTGAATGCAATGGATTGATGAGAATGAAATTCGTTTGATTTTTCGAATGATTGTTTGCTTTCGATTTTCTGCCGCAAATATTCGGTGAGAAAAAAGCTGCGCGTCGAAATAATGTCGAAAAACGGATTCCTTATTGCGTCGAATTACGGTCCAAGTGTGTGATGTGTTCCGAGTGACTTTTCAAAAATTTATTTGAACCTGTTTGAATATAGTTGTCTGTCAATTATAGGTTAATGGCGGTTCCTTTAAGTCCGATATTTTCAGTGTTACCTGAGTTGAGAGGCTCGTCCCTATAAGTGGCCCAGAAAGTGAAGTGATTGAAATATAAGCCGAGGCACTTTGACGTTAGTTGGCATCTCATTGGTTTCCTGGTTTGTCCTTATCCATACAACTGCGTTTTCTTGAATTTCCGCATTTTTTTATTCCTTCAACCTTCGGCTCTTACGAAATTTTAAAAATAATCTGCAAATATTCCGCAAAGTAATTTGGTAATTCCAAGTGTTTCGTATTACATTAATGAAAAATACTGTACATGAATACCGGGAAAATGGAATGTCCTCCAGCTATAAAATTAAACTGTCATAAGAAGATGAAGAGTAAGCTTGACGAATGAATTTTAAATATTTCCTTTACCGTTTATCATTGCTTTTTTCTATTCCCTCAGTCTTCGGCTGTAAAGGTGAAGTTTCTCGAAGAACTTTCTTTGGCATCAGTCGAACATTTTTACTTATTTCTAATATGTAATGGAAGTAAAGTTTAGGGATAAAATCCTCGGCTGGCGGCTGGCATTCGTGTAGGAAAATGGGCGGATGGCTGAAACCTGATGATGTGTAAGTGCTGTAGATGTTGTAGCAAATAAATGCTGCCTTATTCGGACAAGATGGCGTATTCTGGACAAGGAAGAGGAATGCCGTCAAGTAGCACAGGCGAAGTCTGCTGGATTCAAGACTGAGAGGCTGCTACACAGTCCCCAAGGTTCGTGGTGTTCTGTTAGAGATATTCGTTTTCCACCGAATACTCTTATACAGGTATAATTATAATTAATGCAGTTGAGATCGACGTGACAGACGCATGAGAATGTACATTTCTCTGAATTGCCGCATTTATTCACATAAAATATTTTGAGGATGGTTCATTTTGTCATTACAATATTGTACTTTTAATTGAGAGTTCGGCTACTGAAGTTTCCGGGTCAATAAAGAATCATTCACATACATATTGTGATGAATAACTTGAGTTGATATGATCATAGGCATAATGCGGGGTTTTTTCAACTTCAGCACTGATTCGTACAACCCCAGTCCTCTGGAAATCAAATTTATGTATTGGATCTGAGGCATATTGAGGAATGCCTTTTGTGAAAATTTCTTGAATTTATTTCGATTCCAAATTTTAAAAAGAATAGCAATAACAGTGAGAAATGGGGTGGAAAACTTGCGAAACACCATTGAAAGCATCAGAAAAGCTCTTTTCCAATTGCAA